ATTTTTTTACACGAGGGTTCGCAGCAGCAGAAGAAAACCCTCAGGATGCCGGTGTTTTTGAAAAAAAAAAAAAAAACATTTGTAAGTATGTTGGGTTCGAATGCAGGGCCGCTAGATTCGAACCTGGGATCTTTACAGAGATGAGCGCCGTGTCAACGCCTAAACTGTTGCGGCCACTGACGCCCCCGGCTAGGTGGATTAGAATGGTCGGAACGACAAAACTACCGGTTCACTTCCAGAAGAAATAGTTAAATCTAATCTTACAGTAGTTAGATTTAATAAACCAAAAATATGATTTCGTGGAGTTAGATTTATTCTTAAGTTCCATAAAATTGGTCTAAAAACTACAAAACGGAAACTCTCAACTTCCAAGTCATACTTTTTGCTCTATATGAAATGAATGAATTTAAGCTGTTTGTCAATGTATACGAAACAGTATAATATAAAATACTACCGAGATGAGTTGCGAGACAAAGGATTTACTAAATAATGCATTAAGAGCAAAAATCGGCAACGCTGTTATTGAATGTTGTATAAATATCAACATATTTGTCTAGTATCATATAAAATAAGTGTATTATTGGTGGCCAAATTAAGAAGAAGTAGAAGGAAATTTTATTAACAATCTCTTCAGCAGGGTACTTTTGGTCTGCATGACTGTCATTGGTAACAATGTACTACTATAATTTATAATTACAGTTGATGATGGGTGTAGGTCTTCGAGTCGGTGAACCCATGCTGTACTGGCATAAAGTCACTTATTGGGTCTGTTTTTACTCACGGGTTTGCTGAATTACTCAAACACATTTCGGCATTGCACCATCTTCAGAGCAGAAGTAATTTATAATGTACGAATCACATTTCTAACACTGAACACCAAGTAGCAAGTTATTTATGCATAGAGACTGGAAGTTACTAAAAAATTGAACTCTTTCGAATAATTTAGAAAATGTGTGTTGTATATAATTCATTGTTTCTGATAGGTCTAGTTCTTTACTGCTTGTTTTCTGAGTAGTCTTCTGTAGTCAATTTCAACTTGTATTTTGTGATGTGATCTGGATAAAAAGTAAATCCATTTCATATAGAAGTGCTTAATGTCCAACTACTCATTGGGTGTCGCAGACAAGGTGTCAGAACCATGTAGCAAATTTTTTCCAAATTATTCTCAAATAAAAGTTCAAAAGGGCTTTGTCGGATTTGAACCCAGAACCACTAGTGTGGCAATTACATGAGAGAAGCAGAATGCTACATTTAAATTTTTGTGATATTTCTTCTTATCGAAGCTGGATTCCAAACTTTTGGTAAATTTATCCTCCTATGTATGTTTTAGAGAAAATATTTTATTAGATTTTTCAATTATAAAATTATTTAATTAGCCCAAAGAAATTATCAATGGAATTTAGTGCCAAGTCTTGCTGGTGTCAGAATTCAGAAAATTCAGCCACTCAGACACCTGCGTTTTGGTCAAAACCTGTGAAGGTGCCCTGTTTGTAAAGAAAATTTGCTCAATATGTCATATCTGATCGAAGAGTGTGAACCTTGGCCCTTTCATGACATGATCCCAACATAAGGATGGTACTCGGGCAGTATCAACTGCTGGTCCCGTTCCCTTTATGAAGAGAAACTTCCTCACTTTAGGAAATGCATATATTGTGTAAGTATATGTGTATATATTTGTATATGTACACGTAATTATATAATATTTAATCTGTAAATAATTAAATTATTGGGTGAGTGATCAAGAAGAGGGCCTGTATAGGTATGGCAGAATACAGAGAACTTCATTAAAATTCACTGTTGGTAGCTCTGGTTAAAAAATACATTAACTAAACATTGTTTCAGTTAGTCTGATAATCGATTAAGTTTTGTTAATACAGTTTGATTATATTGGTTGTCTTTGGTCAGTAAATTGTCACTGCACAGAGTCTTTGAAATTACTTGGAACTATGTATTGCTAAGTTATAAAATAAAACATAAATTTTTGTTTTTGTAAGTTAGAAACATGTTTCATTTTGTCCCCATAAAATCTACTAAAACTCTATAAATATTTACTATCTTGAAGAAAAATCCAACATTCTGCAGTTATAACTTTATGAGTCTTCTTGTGACAAACATGCTATAAAGTATTTGTACATAAATGTTTTACTTGATTTTTACAATAATTTAGTTTTGCAAATCATAATTTTCTTGTTTGTAAACTGGCGCATCTTTTTGGTTTTTCTTCTACTGAGACTAATCTCAATTCCTCCTGTCTGTCTTACAGAACTCAGAGTTCAAGCTTCAAATTCCATCTTCTCTTTTCTCTCAGTTTCAACTTGTGTATCCCAAGGCTATATTCTTGGACCTATACTCTTTTCCATGTTTTCAAATGATCTTCCATTCACACTCAGCTTTACATTCAATGTCCCACAACCAACATCTCTGAAGCTATCTATTAATTATTGTCCTAAAATTAAAAATCTTGGTGTTATTTTTAACTCCAAGCTTACATGGCATGACCATGTGAGCTCTATTATTTAAAATATCTAATCAAGCCTCCATTTTCTTTGGCGCCTTAGCTTTTTCACTTCACAGAAATCTAGAGTTCTCCTGATTAAATCCCTAATAATTCATTTATTCTCTTACTGTAACCCTATTTTTTCATTTTCCTCAATCTGCTCGTTACCTTCAAATTGCTTTTCATTCCTGCATTAGATCCTGTTATGATTTTAATAAACCAAAGGATCATATTTCTTCCTACATTAATGTCTTCAGCAACCTTAACATTCTAAGCACTGTGTGGTGATTAGTGACCGTTAATCGATAATTATTCAGAGATCGTGAAATGCGATCTGGTGTGATGTAGGTTTCAGAAAAACATTTTCTTTATCGTGCCAACGTTTCGATCTTTATTGAGCCCTGAAGATGATCTCAATAAACGATCTCTGAATAATTCTAAGCACTTATAAACTTAGAGTTATAATTTATATATTTAAAATTTATTTTTTGATGTGGTTTCATCATTCAATTATAAATAATTAACATTTTAAAGAATGTATTGTTGTCATTATTGTTTTGTATGCTTTATTTTATTATTATTATTGCTGCTATTATTATTTTACTATGTTTATAAAACTAAATTAATTTCTAATATATTTGTAACTTTAAAATAAATAATATATATATGAAAATTCTGAGAAAACCTTGTAAAATGGTGCATTTAATTCAATTAAAATAGATTAGTTTGTGGAATAAACAAAATTAACGGAGTAATACAAATATGAAAGTTGATTCACAATCAGAGCAAACTTATAAATGCAGCAAAAAATGATTGAATAAACATAACAATGAACTTGCTAAAAAAAGCTAAACAAACAATGCAATAGCATTTTAAAAAAAATTTATTTTGAGATATTTTTATTGAAAAGGTTTCTTATCATTGTTAAACAATCTCTTTCTTACCATATGTTTCACAGTAAATAAATTAAAGCATAATAAAAGTGATTTTGCGTATTTTATAAATTAATCACCTCATTTTCTAGAAGAGTTGTGGTTTCTTGAGAGTAACAATAACTTTTTAAACTTTTTCATCTCAACCAAGACTTTAGATAAAAAGTATAATTAATTGAAATTATACTGAATTTTTGTAAAATTGTACAAATTACATTAATGCACAAATAATGTTTTTGCCCGCAATTTGTTACTAATGATTGATGGTTATAGAAATAATAGAAGAAATTCTTTGTTTTCATACAGTTTTAATAACTGTAGTATTTAAAAAAAAAATTAGAATTGAAAGATTTATTAATTATAATTATTTAATTTATGTATTAATCAATTAATATACTGTTTGTCTAAGGTCTTGGTTGAGATAAAAAATTTAGTTTCTCAAGCAGAATTTGAACCCATGAAATCACGATAGCTCAAGTAGTCAGAACATCAGCGTATTGAGCCAAAGGTCATGGGTTTGAATCCTGCTCACGACATTAGCTTTCTCATCTCAACCAAGACCTCAGATAAAAAGAATAATTTATTAGAATAAATTGTATAAGTTATGCTCCTTATTATAAAACTACATGAAAACCTACACAAACTTTTCTGGTTGCTGTGTAGATAATAAATAAAAATCAGAAACTTTTTCTGGTCTACTGTGAAAGTTATTTGTCTACGTGGCCATAGTTGTCACAGTTATAATAATAATAAAATAATAATGGTTTATTAGTAAAAAAAATGTTTACAAAACAAAACATATGCCATAACATAAAATAACGGCATGGATAAAAAACCGTCTGCCGGAGGTTGAAGCCACAACCATTTAAAAAANATATATATAAATAAGATAATAATAGTAATACAATGATACTAAATTAGAAAGGAAAAGGACTACTGTGTGCAGGCGCCTCAGTTACCTCCAGTAATTAGAGCGCCCTTTTTTAAACGACACGTACTTACAATGCACACAACTACTGATCATAATTGAATTCCCTAATTTGATCATGACGATACGACCAAGCTTGTCGTGTGAATCTGATCAATTGCAGACTGTTCCTGCCATTAAGGAATTCAATTATCTGGGCTCTGCTATGGCCTGTATGGGGATATTAAAATTCCAAGAGGATGGGACATACACCCAAGAAATGGATTACATCCTCCTTTTCTCTGAGGTTACAAAGGCACAGAGGGGTAACTCTCTTTCTTACCACGGAGTGTAGTTAAGAGAAAGCAACTCGCCTCTTAATTTAAAAAACCAGCTCAGCTCCGCGGGAGAAAGATCTGTATTTCTTGAATTAAGGGACAGCAGGGTAGGGGGGTACTGCAGATCTTTATATAAAAGAAAATGGTTGGACTGTCGAGCCGAGTTGTCACAGTAATTCTATATGTATCAATAACATCTGTTCATTATGATACGGTTCTTAATGAAGCACACATTTACGAATATATTACGGAATGTTTTACTATTTTTGTGTGTACGAAATAACATAACTTATAAAGAAAAAATATTCAATGACATCAAGACTTACTGGCTCATTAGAAGAATTTGAAGGAGTCAAGCTTGTCGCATTGCCTGAAACAATGCACAGGAAATTAAATTTAAATAAACTTTCCAAAAGCTGAATCGAGGATGTTTAGCTCAAAAGCTCACCTTGACTTTTCTCTGTGTCAGAGTCGTCGGCCAAAACACCCTTGGCCAAATTTGAAATCTGTCCTTTCAGCGACGACGATATCCCTTCAAACCAGGCCATTTCTTAACAAAGCAGCGCAACTTCGTGCTTAGCTGGACGCCACGACGGATAAGTTGAACATGAAGGAAATGAAGAAATCTTAAGGTCTCTCTACCTGTAGCTGTCACATCACTGTAAACACAACAGCTGACCAGCTGAGCTATAACAGCGCCAAACCCTACAGTCCGAGTTGCCAGATGTCCACTAATCAAACTCTCCACAAAATTTAAATGTATAACAAACCCAAACCATCACATTAATTTTATAATATTCTTTATCAATTAACAAAAGAAAAAAGAAAGCGTTCTAGAATATTATTAACTATGTTTGCAAACAGAATATTGCAGGAAATCAGCATTAGCGAGATCTCGCGGACCCCCCTTTGAAGTAGCAGATACAATAGTGTGTAGTAAATGAGTACAAAACACATTAAGAAATATTTAGTTTTAAGTGTAATTAGTTAAGCATATTTATGTATTTTGTATGGTAATATTATAATTCGTATTTATAATTTTAATCATAACAGTCTTTGGATAAGTGGTACATCAACTACACTGATGGACAAATTTAACGCCCCTCCCAATTTATTTAGTTTAAAATTAAATCCATTATCTTTCCACATTAATTAAAAGTAATTAAGATAGTAATAAATTTTATTTACTTCCTCTGCTTATATTTGTACTGTTTAATCAATCCCATTTTCACAAAAAAGGAGCATTATGCCCTTCCATTCTGTTACGTCTATTTGCTTTCAGTTAAACTTTTTCCTTTTCAGTTTCATACGATATTATTTTTATTCTTAAACCTTTTTCACTGGCTGTGATCAGGCATTTGACTGAGTATGACAGTGTCAGGGTGATGACGTTAGTAGAGAAGGATACTGCCTGCATGAAGTCGCGAGGAAATTGAATCTAAATCACCCTACAATAAGAAGAGTTCTTTGGGACTTCGAAAAACAGGGTTTCATACTAGGACAGGATAAGGTCGTCCTAGGACTATTGACAAGAGAGATGATTGATTCATCCGTCATCCCTAAGGGATATGGGATGAAATATCAAATAAGACAAGTTCGAACTGTTTAATTTTCCTCCATAAATGAAAGAAGAAAGCTCAACGAAAAAACCTCAGGACCTGGCATCTGGCGCTTGTACCTCTTCTTACGACAGCTCAGAAATTGGCCAGGTTTCAATTCAAATGGGCTTTTTTCAAAAATATCGACACCCCCAAGGTGCTGACCTTTACTGTTGCAGACCCTCACAAAAAAGTATATAGATGTTGAATTTGAAAGAAGAGAAATGATAGAATTTGTAGCTTTAACTCTTTCAGTTCTGTCAGATAGATAAGAAGAACAACCAAAAATATGCACCAGTTTCCATATAAGGAATTTATGATTTACATAGCCAAATGCAGTGAAAAAATCAAACAGCACAATACTAGCTATTACTTATTATTATCAACGTGGATATTATCTGAACTATTCATTTATCATCAGTGAATTTTGCAGTTTTATTTAATAAATAGAGATTTATTAACACCCTTTCATTAGAAAATTGGCATTCAATTTTTTTTTGGTGTTTGCCAAGAAATTTGTTTTAATTAGAAAATTAAGTGCATAGAGAAGAGGAGAAGCAACTCTGCTGAATTTAATTGTATTTTCTAAGCGATCGACCAGTTTTTACTCTACTAAAGTCACTTGGATTAGGGTTGTGGTCAGAAAATGGTGATTTCTGACCTCAACCATAATCCTTGAGACTATTGTAGAAAATTAGGAAAATTCCACTGGAGTCTACTTAAACAGGATTAAAATATTTGATTATAATTACAAATTATCAAAAGACATTTTCCTTATGTCGTCATTGTTTGATTATAATTAAACAGGTTTCTTGATGGCGAAAGAAACGATTGTTCGTTTGAAGGCGGTTAGCCAGAGTACTGAGTAGGTGTTGGCATGCTGCTTGAGATAAGACGTCGTGACATCACAAGGCGACGTTGAGGGCCTGAGGGGGATAACAGCTTATCAGCGGAGACTCCGTTCCTCAGTCGATCGTTCTTAGCAGTCAGTTCGACGTCTGAGATGCGGCCCGTTTTCCCGTCACCGCGAGTCGGAAGCAGCGGCGAGCACGGCCCCTGAGCGGCGGGAGGCGGAGGCGGCGGCTGCCCCCAACCAGTCCGAAATGGGCCAGAGCCACAGCGTGCCTATCACCAGCCGCAAGCGGCCCCTCACCAACTCCTTCAGGTCGCCCTTCCGCAGGACCAACACTCAGTCCTCGCTCAGCGCTACATTCAACTACCTTGAGCCAGAGCTGAAGGTAACTTAACTCTTGCCTCCAACCTGTTAAAAAACATAACAAATGCTTTTCTGCACTCACAGTTGTTACATAACACAATCCAATAATTGAAAAGGTATAAATTTAACAATACACTTGGTAATTTAGTTCTAACTCTGCTCAGTCCTTGGTTTTCATTCTATTGTTTCATTTTGATGTTGAATCCTAAATTTGCCTAAATCCTACATTGTGTGAACATCTTGTGACAATAACACAAACAATTTAGTCTGTTATGTAACATGTTATACTTGATCACAGTATGTATAAATACCATGTTATCAACTTGGTTCATAGCAGTTTTGTAAAAATCGTACAACACAAATCGTAAGATTTTCTCTTGGGGGTCAGTAGAGAGATGTGCTGGGGACCGCGGTAGCCAAGTGGTTAAGACGTCAGACTCTCAGCTAGTAGATCCTGCAGTTGTAGGTTTGATTCCCATCGTTGCCTTTGGACTTTTTTCTGAAGCCTAAGGTGACTGGTGGTCACAATTGAGAAAAAAAAATTGACGGCACTCAGCAATGGAAGGCCTGGATGGGATCAAATCTCAGCAACTCTGAATTTAGTCCGGACCCACTTCAAAAATGAGTTTCTTTGATGGACGAACATAGACACACCGGGGTGTGCTTCACATGCGTGTTGTGTGCTCCCAAAAATGAAGCCAGGAAGGGAGTACAATAAGCTGTACACTACAGCTGCAGCGCTCAGGGGGAACTCCTCCATTCCTGGTATCCATTATATATTTTTTAAAAATTAATTAATTAAAAAATCGCTGACTTAATTTATACTATTGTACAATAGTCATCTATGGAACCCATTAGTAAGATGGCCTGAAATTACATAAATTATTTAATTCAACTGCAAACACTATTTTGTCTCAGATATGATTTATATTTGCTCAAAAATTCCAACGGAAGTGGCACCAAGAACTAGAATTCATATAAGCCTTGGACAATATGCCTCTCTTTCAAGTAGAAACTGTGGCTATTGAGCATTATGCCAGGGAGATAAAAAGGCTGGGTATTGTCAATAAAAGAATATCCGTCTACTTAGAACCACCACTGAAGGCAATTGCCGCACCGGTGGTAAAGCCCAAAGTTGTTAGAGCCTTAGAGACCTGTTAGACATTGGGAAAAATAACAAAATTACCCTCGTCTCGGTACCAGGGCAGAGGGGTAATGAAGAGGCAGATAAATTGCCCATGGAAAGTTCGATGAGGCCTATTGGCCCTGAACCCCTTTGTGACATACCAAACTGCCAAAAATGCAGATCTATTAGATAATTGATTAAAAATAAGTCTCTGTTCAGTGGGAATGTAGCCTGGGTAGAGGCATGCAAAACAGTTTATCAAAGGACCATCTCAGAGACTAACGGCATAACTACTAAATAAAGGGCATGCTAGGACTAGAATAATAATTGGACCTCTGACTGGACTCCAGGGGCATATGTGTAGACTTGGAGTGACAAAAACGAGCCTGTGCAGATATTGCCAAGAAGAAAAAGAAGCAGCGGAACATGTCCTCGTTTGTGTGGAGGCCTATGTAGGTTGAGATTCCTCTTCTCCAAAATCTTTGGGGTTTGGTAAAAAGCCTTAGCTTAACGAGGAGCTCTAGATAAAGAAATGGAGATGTACAATGTAGACCGATACTGGTCGCTGTGGGCAGGTTGAAAAGAGGCCGACTCCTATCTCATCTATCTATCTAAAATATGATTTATATTTGCTCACAAACTCCAATAGGAGCCAAGGCCCAAAACAGTTAATTTTGCTCTTAATTACTTCCTCTAGTCTCTAGGAGGGCTCCTTAAGTCTCCTAGGCATCGAGTAAATAAGTGACTGGATTTCCTCTTGTGTAACAAACTCTCATTCTTTAATAAAGGCGGTTTGAAGCTGTTCAACGCTTGTAGACAGCAAATGATGGAGATGTACAATCTATATATCTATCTAAAATATGATTTATAACGCTTGTAGGCAGCAAATGATGTCTAACCCATCACTTTATCATGTTCAAGTGTGCTATAGGATTCATGTCAGTAGACTGTCCTGGCCAATTAGTAGTGATAATCCCTACATTTTCCAAGTAATGGGTGACAACTCGAACTACATGTGGTTGAACACTATTTATTTTAATTAATAATACTTTTAATCTAAGATCTTGGTTGAGAAGTAAAAGCAAGTGTCCCGAGCGGAATTCAAACCCACAACCTTCGGCTTGAAACACTGCTCTAACCACTTGAGCTATCTTGACTGATTTAGAGCAGTGGCTTATTAAGCCAAATGTCATCGATTCTTTTCCCGCTTATGATACTTGCTTTTTCTTCTGAACCAACACCTTAGATTAAAAGTATAATTAATTAAAATAATTAATAGGTTAATTATGATTGCTAAATGCATATATGGATTATTTATTTATGGAGCCACAATTATGAAGCAAAGTCTTACTTTGAATTCCTTCCTTAGCTGTCTACTACAATTCAGAGCTTCCTCGTGCCTACAAATTCATGAACCTTAATCCTTACAAAAGAAAAAATTATATTTATTTACAAGCAATAGCCAATTTTATTACAATAATTACAAGAAAAACAAAGAATTTTTAAAAGATGAAAAACATTGAACATTTACAATAATAAACATTAAATACAATAAAATGTATTCAATAAAAACATTAAACATTTACAACAATAAAATAATAACATACAAATGTACAAAAGTATACAAAAGTAAAATTTGTGATTTGACTAGTTAATAAAACAAACTGTAAATTAGATTAAGTAATTATGCATACATATATGCACAACAAGAATCAACCAGCACATCCGGTATACATTCACACACATATTCATATACAACAGACATACTAATTAACCGTTGTTGTACAAGTTTCTCTCATATTCCTCTTCAAACTGGCTTTAGATGTATTATTAATGTCTTTACAGTTGGAAACTAAATTGACCAGATCCATTATCCTGTATATGGGAGAGCGAGAAGTGTAGTTGATATGGGAAAATTGATCGTAGAACACTGTTTTACTGCGGGTGTGGACAGATGTGATGAAATGAAAATTGAGGAATGATAGCAATTCCGGGGAGTCAATATTATTATTAAGAAGGCCGTTACATCAGACATATTTTTTTCTTGCAGGGAGGAAATCTAAATTAAAAGAGCTTTATTTGTTGTAGAAGGAGGCTAATTTCAGGAATTTCGCTTGTAATTTTTCTAACATTGGGATGTTGATTTTGGTATGTTTAGACCAAACATAACTAGCTACTCTAGCATTGAAAGGACTATTGAATTGTAAAGACAGGTTAGAGTGGTTTCTGTGAAGTCATGGGAGGAAGGAAAAGATGTTTGTGCAAGTTACTAATTAAAATTTAAAAATTAAAAGGGGGCCCATATTATTTTTTGAATTTAAATGATTAGACAGGATAGGTAAAAGGTAGACATTTAATGCTTTAATTAGGGGCGTTGGTTTAGGGGTTGACACGGCGCTCATCACTGTAACGTAAAGGTCCCAGGTTCGAATCCAGCGGCCCTGCATTCAAACCCGACATACTTACAAATGGGCTTTTTTTTCTTTCAAAAACACCGGCACCCCGAGGGTTGATGTAACCTCTGCTGTTGCGAACCCTCATTAAAAAAAGGCTAATTTTTAATTTTAATTAGTAATTTACACAAATATCTATTCATTTTCACAATCTACACATACTAAATGTTTTGCCTGAATAAAGGACTACAATAAGTCCGATACTTTGTCAAAAATTAAAAAGTCATGAACTGCTGAATTGTTCATTCTCTGGCCACCACCCTGGCAGATTCTTCAATCATTCAAGTTCTGTTTAAATTTTCATTTCTTTGCCTCAGACAATTTATCTATGTCTGAATTAAACTTAAAAAAAAAAGTTAATGTGGGGTTTTATGGCCCCTTTGGTTTAATTCTTAGCTGCAGAAAATTAATCATTGGGTTCACAACATTGTCAATAGCAGCAGTCAGTCATTTCACGAAAGATATAGGTGTAATATCACCCCTGGGTTTGATGCGGATTGGGAGTTGACACGTGAGCAACTCCCCTCAGGCCAGACTCTTTATTGTTAGAGCAATGGGGGAGATACTGAGGGCTTTAAGGTCTTCCCAAGATGTTGGCTAATAGAGAAGGGCTCATAATGATTCTCTTAAGGTCAAGTAGATAACTTTCATATGTGTGTGGTCTTTTAATTTTGACTTAATTGGTTTTGAATAATATTTAATTTTATTTGTACAGCAGAACTTTCTTCAGTTTCTAATTGAATTTCGGTGATTTGTAATTCTGGGCTAGCTTGTAATTTCTGAAGGTGTTGGGTCCAGGGTATATATTCTTTTAAATAAATTTTGTGGGATTTGATTTATCTTTAATTTTATTTCACTTTAATTTCCCTAGGATATTGTTGGGTTTTATTTCAATTCGGAGTCGGCCGATCCACACAAACGGTCTCTTTCTGGCACAGTGGACTTAGACAATGTGTAGTATATGCTACTTTTATTAGCTGATGTTTGCAGCAAACAAAACGTTTGTCTTAGCCAGTGTGGTTTATTCACATTTGAACCTAAAACAATCATTCAAAAAACTAAAACAATCATTTCCAATTTGCTTCAAGCAGTATAGAGCAGCCTAGGCTGTTTGGACTAATCTAGCTTGTTTTGGGCCTAAAACTTCTATCTCTATGTTTACTCACTCAAAGACAACTTAGATTGAATAAATCAATGGAAATTTAAAAAATAAATAAATTTAATTTTAAAAAATTAATAGAAAAAACTCATTATACCAGATTCTTTAGAAAGTACTGAAATAAGATTTTGGGAATAATAAAGATCAATAATTTAAAGGAGGTACAATGGGGTTCAACACTACTTCAATACAATTGTAATAAACTTCTTATGAATTTACTAATTATGTATTAGGTAACAATTGGGGGACTGCAGTAGCTGAGTGGTTAAAATGTAAGTGTACCAAAAAAAAAGAAAAAAAAAGAAAAGTGAACATGGCTTGGCCTAAACATGACACCACAAAATATAAAGTAATAATTGTAAGTAAATTGTATTCTGACTATTTCCAGGCTGAAATAATACTGTTCTAATAACATATTTGGTTAGAATTGGTCAAATAAAAAAATGAGAAATGAGTTTTATTGTTTGTTGATTTCAAGGATGTCTTTGATTTTATAAATTGAGAACAAATTGAGTGATCTATTAACCAGACAAAGTCATTGCTTGTGATAATGTCAGTCAAAAGTGATACCGACAACTTTGTGTCATCATTTATCAGTATTTGGACTTTGTCTTACGTATTATCTCAAAGTGATAAAACATGGATTGTAGAAAATCTATACAGTTAAATATATATTTCACACTTCATACATAATATTAATTTTTGTTTGAAATAAAAATACATGATATTTATTATAGAAGATAAGAAGTTTCAAATCCTCTTATCTGTTGACAGATAAACTTTTTTCATGTTGAAACTGAAGTTTGTCTTTATGGTTCCAAAGATTTAAGCAAATATTTCTTTTCGTTGATTAAAATGTTGTTTTTGCTGCTGGATAACATAAATTTAAAAAAAAAAAAAATCGATTTATTATGTCTTAAAATACACCATGACTCAAATAATAATTTTCATAAGTGTTGGAGTGTTTTTGAAATATTCTCATAAATCAATCAGTTAAGCATTCAAACGTAACTTTACATATTAAAAAGCCTTTGAGCTCTTTACTACTGGCTTTTTCCTTTATCTTTCCAAATCAGGAAGTTTCACTGAAATTTGCATAGTTTTGTATATTTATATGTGGAAATTTAAATATGTTTGTTTCTCCAATAGCAACTGAAATTATTTTAACTCTTTTGTCTAATGACCCATTTGTCGAGGTTTCGTTGCAGTAATAATGATTTTAACTAGGCTAAAATAAAACTTGTCCTGTTGATATTATTTGAAAGAATTGAAAGTAGAATCAACATAAAACATATATCCTCTACCGCACAGTTACACAACTCTAATCTGATGTAATAATACATAATAAGAAGGTTAATTGGTTTAAGTGTGGGACAAACCACCCACATTTAAAGCAAACATCAACGCTTTGTTAAAATTGTCCATACTTCAAGAGGTTTTTAAAAACTAGAAAAATCTTATCTTAAAAAAAAGAAGAAAATCTTTCTTTAGAGAAAACACTTTGTAAACTTATTGGCCCCTTATTTCGAGTTTACAAGCAAATAATTGTTCAAGTAGTCATCTTTCTCTTCCACTTGAAAGAAACTACTTGTTATTATATATTTAACGAGGGTTCGCAACAGAGGTAATATCAACTATCAATCCTTGGGGTGTCAATATTTTTGAAAAAAAAGTCCAATTGTAAGAATGTCAGTTTTGAAAACAGTTGGATTCGTATCCAAGTGATGAGCATTGTGCCAATGCCTAAACCGTTGTGGCCACCGATGCCCCATTTCTTAAATATTAATTTGCATTTGTGTGGAACTGGCTGTCTTACAGCCATATTGATAATATTGTAAAATCATGAAATATAATTAATTACATTTGAAACAAAACTAGTAGTTCTAGGGCAAATATAAATTGATGAAGTCAGATGAAGTGTTTTTTTTTTTATATTTGTCTACGTTATAAATTATGCATTAACAAATAATGCCTTGCTAAGTAACAATTGTTATTTTATTGGCTTAAATATGTGGACAGTTTAATTTTTTTTAAATCAAATTTCTTTAAGTACTTATCAGGGGGGCTGCGGTAGCCGAGTGGTTAAGGCGTCAGACTCTCGGCTAGTAGATCCCGCGGTCGTGGGTTCGATCCCCACCGTCGCCTCTGGACTTTTGTGACGCCTAAGGGGACCGGTGGCCGCAATTGAAAGAAATTGACACGGCACTCATCAATGGAAGGGGCGGGAACGGATCTCAGCGACCCTGAATTTGGTCCTAACCCCCTTCAAAAATGAGTTTCTTCGATGGAAGAACACCAGTACAACGGGGGCTCAAGTTCACATTTGTGTTGCGAGCCCTCCCCCAAAATATGGAGCCAGGGATAAAGTACAATAAGCTGTACAGCTCAGCTGCAGTGCTCAGGAGGGAACTCCTCCAGTCCCTGGTATCAAAAAAAAAAAAACAAAAAAAAAAAAGTACTTCAAATTACAGTATCAAATATCCAAGCAAATTCAATAGGAGATACTGAATTTTCTTGTAGCAATAGATAGTAATTTCTTCATCTTGAATTTTAATAATTTTCCAACAGGTCTTAGTGTTATCAGTTTTATCTGTTGGCTATCAAATATCGAATTCTCATTCTACTATTTAAATCATAAATAATTTACAAATGACACTTTGTTTTTCTTAATTTTATTTAATTGCAATTTGCTATCTCTTATTAGCATTTGGTGGTGCACATCTGATAAGAATACCTCTCAAGGCCAAATACACCGATTTTATATTTTCATTGCTAAATAATTGAATTGAACTTTTAAGAAATAACTTTTTGTGCAAGTTTGTTTACATTTTTGTCAATGTAGTGAACCTTATTTGGTTGTATTTGTAAAAGCGCATTAAAGTTAATTTTCTGTTTAACTTTCAAATTCAACATAGGTCATGTTTAGATCATATAAGGGTGAGGTGAGTGTTTTTCGACTACTTTAAGCCTACTTTAAAAGGTAGTGTTTACTCACAGTTTGAAGACAGTTGTTTGTTGTACAGTACAAACTGTGAGTGAGAACTATCTTTTAAAGTAGTAGATCATGTTTTTTTTCTGTTAGTACTTGTTTTTTTCATGTGAAAGGATAATCTGATTAGTCTTAGGGAAAAAGATAATGTATTACAAACAATGTTATTTTTTAGACATTTTCATACATTATTTTCTTTTTAGATTTTTATGCAAATTCATATTATCTACCATTATTAACGGTGCAGAACACAATTTATGAATGGCTAAACACCTTTAAATTTAACAAACATCTTTATTCTTTATAGATAAACCAATTGAATGTCAATGTCGCTTCAGAAGAAGAATTGATGACGCTTCCAGGAGTGACGAGAGCCATAGCCAAAAATATAGTCGAATACAGGGCCGTCATAGGCCGGTTCAACAAAGTGGAAGATCTAGCACTCGTTTCTGGCATAGGGGCTGATCGCCTTGATAACATCAGGCCTGAAATTTGTGTTACAAAAAGAAAAATGCACAGTTGTACTTCTTCGAGGACACAGTCTATAGACAGTCTTATGAGCAGTGAAGTTTCTCCCCAAAACCCAAAGACCCCTCTTGATGTAAACACTGCGTCTATATTCCAACTAATGGGTATCAGGGGGATCAACCAGGAACTGGCTGCATCCATTATTGATTATAGGGAAAGAAGAGGTGATTTTTTTACACTGGATGACCTATTAAAGGCAAGTAGTTTTTTTTTTTTTAATTAGAGATAAATTTTTACTATGAAATATTGCTGGGCTGACCTGTAGTTTGGTTATTTCCAATCATTCTGTAAATGTGTGTAGTAATTAGAAATGGTTTCAGGTAAAAGGAATGAATCATGTCCGTTTAGGATCACTTAGGGCAAAACTCACAGTAAAATCTGAATGTGTACCTGAAAGAAAAATAAAGAGTGAGACAAAACCCGCAAATGGAAAAATACCAGGCAGGACTAATTTATTTAGGCCAATTTTTAACGTTTTATTATTGTTTTCAACTGTTTTAGGCAATTTTCTATGTACACCAGGTGAAAGAAAGAGTCCCTGCAATGGTGAAGTAGTGAAGGACGTGTATGAATTAGTATCTGCTTATTGCCAACGACCCATTTATCCAGAAAAAGATATACCGAAGGACCAATTTAGAATAGCCACTTGGAATTTGAATGATATGTCTCGAAGTAAGGCAGAAAACACAGCAGTCAGGGAAGTCTTCTGCCTTACGCTTCTCGAAAATAGGTATGCCTATGAACATACAGCACGAATTTTTGATAACATCAAGCAATGGTGTTCTTGTTAATTTAGAATATCTTTCGTTGCTGTCCAAGGGGTACAAGATGCACATTCACTTCGAATGGTAGACTTTTCTTTATTGACAATAATCGCTTGATAAAAATTTATAAAAAAATAATCAGAATTTTTCTTAGATTTGTGATGAGATGAGAGTTCCTATATGTAAAAGGTTGATTGAATGGAAAGGATCGAGAGGAAACTGGGTATCACAATTTGTACCAATGCAGAATACAGGGGTAAAATTGAAACTAACATTTGAAAGTCTTTGTTGTTAAAACTGTACCTTTTCAGGGGAAATTGAATCTTGGCTTTCTGTACAACGCCCAGCACCTGCGCCATGTCCTTGTAAAAGTTGTTCAGGACAATTCTATCATGCTCGCTGCAGAAGCCACTATAAATGTGAGTGCCTACCATTTTGATTCGACCGTCTTTATTTAAGCATGGTTTGAACATTTTTAGTTCTGTGGAATGAGTCTTGATGTGCTCAATGTTCAACTGATGTCCAACTCTTGCGACTCAACATTAAATACACTATTGGAAACAATTCAACCCACTGTTATACTGGGTGACTTTTCTATTATTAAAAGCTGTGGTAAGTTATCTTCAAGATTTTTTTTATTGAGTTTAAATAAAAATCTAACCAAAAATCAGTTTACTTATCAAGACTGAGTATTTTTTACTATAAATTGCATATTTTTACAATATGTGAAAGTATAAAAGAGTTAATTAACAAATCTAACATTAGATTTTTTCTGCAGTATTAAATATAATTCGTTAACACATTGACTGCGTAAGAAAGACTTGTTATGTCTGCATCCTCCTGATTATGCTTTTCTCTCCATTTCACTCACTACACAATACGTTTGAAATTCCTAGGGCCAGCTCACAAATGGTTGTTTTTTTTCCAACTGGAAGTGATTTTTTAAAAATTTATTCTGTGAAATTTTAATTATTATTTACCCATTTTGTATGATTACATAAAAAAAGTAACAAGTATTGTAGAAAGTAGAAACAACTAGTAACCAACTGAGCACCCAAATTAAACAAATGTTCTGTGAGTTGTCTACTCATTTACTAAGTGCTGTGGAGGCATAACTTTTGCGTCATATAACATCACTTAGATAAACATAAAAAAAATCATTGACATTATTTTCAGTATCAGAGAGCTATTTTAGGTCATAAATTGGTTCTGCCATCGGCATCCAAAATGGCCGAGCATCGGACACAGTCAATACAATTTGCTTAAATACCCTATAACCAAATAATCTCACAACTCGCTCTTGCACAGTACCATTAACATTTGTGTACTGTTAATTATTTGTGTTGTAACTATTTGATGTAGCAATGAAGTAGCAAAAAAAACAGGAAAAGTTCTAAAAAATATTGATATGGAGTGAACGACAAATGATGTTTGTCTCCACTAATATTACATCTGTAGCTTAAATATTTGACTATAATTTAAAAGACAAATATATTTTTGAGTCATGTTACAAAGTTATAAGGCAATATTTATTTCAGATAAGCCATTGATATCGATGTCATATCGTGCATTGTTATCTCCGTCCATTTCCACCAATGTCCTATTAAGCAGAACCAACCCTCAAACTAATTACCATGACAATATTTTCTTTAAAGAATCATCTGTGTCAAAATATGCTGGTATGTATATCCTAAAATTTGTTATTTTAAAAAATATATGAGATACTTTATGCCCGTACTTTTTATCAAATTAACAACTTCGATCTGATAAGATATTGCTTTCGTAGTAAAATGCTTGTAATAGAAATCAAATTTTCAAACAATTGCTACATTTTAACAGTACACATTTTGCATGAAATCAAAACTGACAAAAGCATCGTTGTTGATTAATGATTAACAATTAGGAATGTTTCATGAATTACTTATACCAAGGTTTATTTTAGGTGAAAGTGATGTTGTGAGGCAAGGTCTTGTGCACTTGGCAATCCCATTTGGTTGGAACTGGAATGGACCAGTAAGCCTTCACTGCCCCGTCTGGGCTCAGGTTGTTTTATGACGCAACGAATAGCGTACAACAAAACCAGAACATTTAAAGTTTTTTTGTTTTTAACTAGGGGGAACTGTCAATCTGACCATTATCCCAAAATAAGAGTAATGTAATAAATGTAGTAGTGTTTTTCTTTTTTTTCTCTCTACCTTCTTTTTTGCCACCAATTCTCAAAATGTTCTTTTGAAAATGTTTGCTTTGAACATGTTCTGTGGTGTAATGTAGCATATCATGCTTGGTTTAATAAGTCACTGTTTTTATGTTTTGTAAATTGATGTGCTCAATATTTAGCAAGTACAAGAGGATCATACTTCTTAACATAGAAATAAGATTAGGAAAAAAAGAGATATTTTTATAAATGTGCAATACAAAATGTCAAGACTTTCTTGATGTTTTAGCTCTGTTATCTATTATTTTAAATATTTTAACTAAATAAAATGTTGAAAATATAAATGTTTAAACAATTGGGTGATTTAAACCCCATTGAGTTCTTGAACAAAAATTTATTTATCCTTGAAATTAAGTGAAAAAAAGCTCTTTTTTAGTTATTTGTGTTTTGAACATTTATATTATAATAAAACAATTTTGAAAGTTATTAAATGTAACACATTATTGAAATATTGCTTAAAATATTTAATTATGATGAAATTTATGTTAATATTCCAATGTTTCCAATGTTATTCTACTTAAAAAGTACTTCACAATTTTATATTTTTTGAAATTATATATAATTTATTTTTTTGTGTGTGTTTTGTTTCCCAGTCCAGTATTATTATTATTATTATTATTTTAATAAGTTGTTATTAAATAAAACATTTATTTTTCCACTATTCCATTTATTAAAGTAATTTATTGATTTTTTTAATAAATAATAATGAATAAATAAGTTTTGTAAAATATTTATTGATATTTGTTCTGTGTCTTGATTTGTGGGAGTGTTACTACATATAAATCAGATAGTAATCACTATAGAAATCAAACTGAATGAACGTTTAATAGTGTGATTCAACTTCAATCAACCATAAATAAGATAGATTTTGCCTAAAAATAATGTGAAATTTTGGCCTTCATAAAATGCAAATATGTGTTGTTTAAATAATGCAAGTGTGACATCACCTTAATTATTCTTTTATGTTCATCATTATCAATATTTTACACATATAAGGAGAAATCAAAATTATGAACCAAATGATGATACATATGTGACAATAAAAGAAAATTCGTGAAATTGGTACTTAAACTAGATTTAATCAACAAATATTAAATTATTGTGTGATTGCAGGTGCAAATAATTAAAGTTTGGAGTAAACTTCATAATATGATAATTTTTGCCAATTTGTTTCTTATCCAAATTAACCAAAGTTCATTAATATATATATTTATATATGAAATAATACCGCTAGCCTATATTTGTACTTATGAAAGTGTCTTTATACAAATTGTTTATACAGATGTTACCATAACATTATTTATGTGAATGTGAAAGTATGAAATTAATAAAATAAATATTTTATGTTACTGTTGATAAATGAGACAAATTAATTTATTGTTAAATTATATTGGAATATATTTCTAAAAAAAGTTTTGAGTGATGCACTTTTTGACATAGCACATTGAGATGTTTAATAAATGTATTGAAATGGAAAAGTATTTTCTATTTGTCATAAACAAAATTATAAAGGGTCTGATAAAAATTACACTCAACAAAAGGTTTTGAAGGCGTGTTTTATTGAAAATTTCTTTTACTTAAGATATAATGAAAGGGGTGTCGGTGGCTGCAGCAGTTAGAAGAGCATCTCAGGAGAACACCGGAGGATAGTTACCTATTGCCTTGGTTTGCACTATTCTTCCTTGATGGTGAAAAACTGAAATTCAACTGACAGACAAAATTCAGTGAGGATAGGGCATACCTAACAATAGGTAACTATCAAATTATAAATAATTTTTTTAACATAAAGGGTCTCCCTTCTAATTTATAAAGGGCTCAGCCTAACTCCTTTTAGATACTGATCAGCTACCATCATCTCTTTTCTACATATCAGCTATCGCCACTTTAAAACACTGCATTCAGACAATATTATATATGTATATATTTTTTGTAATTAATGGTCTATTTTGTTATTTATTTGTTTATCAAGATTGCAAGTTTTAAGTGAGTGTGAAAATAAAAATGTTCACTTTACAAATTTGGAAGACATTTATATTTTTCATAAATAAAAAAATAATTAAAAACAAATGTATTTTCTGGGTTAAAATAGGCTATCCTGTATGGTTTATGTTATCATCACCTCATAAACTTTAGGATAGGTGGCTGAGCAGCTCTGAGGGCAGGAAAGGCTGCCTCTCCTATGAAAGACTATAACTTTGGATTTTTTTAGGTTGACTGATCGTTATTACAACAGGCCACTAAGGCATTAATATTTTATTTATTTATTTTTTGCAGAATGACCAGGCGAGTCTAAGACACAGTACTGTCCAAGCATCCAAGAATCTTTATTTCAGTATTTCCATAACAAAGACTGCATTCAAGTCATTCATTGTTGAGAAAAAGGGAGAATAATAACAGACTCGGGCAATAACCCTGTCTAACACCAGAGCCCACCAAAATGAATAGAAATTCCATTTTTACCCGCATTATATACTGATAAAACACATCATTGAATAATTTTACCCAGTTGTCGACTTTTGCATCAAATTTTTTTTTTTTTTTTTTTTTACAAACATTTTATTGGTACAACCTTACTTAGTATTCTTGAAAGTATTTTATATTTATACTCAAGCGAAGTAAATATCAAATCTACATTTAAATTATAATAATAAATAAGAGTTACTAAGCCTTGAGGGAGGAAAAACTATGTCTCCGAAGGATAGGCAAAGTGACTATTGTCTCATTCAGTTGACCAGCAACTGATTTTCTTCCTATAAATTGAAGGAATTTTTTAGATTCTTTACAAATTAATAAAGCTGTGTGTAATAAAAACAAGATAGTACCAAGTACAGAACCCTGAGATACTCCTCCTGTGGTACTGAGTTAGTACAATATAGTTTATAGTTGTTATTATTATTATTTAAAGGGGCATTTGACAGCTTAGTCATTTAACACCGAGCATATGCAAAATATTGCAACACATTTCAATACGCATTCACCCAAATAAATACATTCACACCTATATACATTGCATTCATTCTATTTGGTGGAATACTTAATATTCCTCCATCAACTTGCATACAGTAACAAACTAATCTAAATGGGGTCGACTTTTATAAATATTCCGCCATCGAGTCTCGTACACAGCTCAAGGGGTGATGGGGATGCTATTCCACCATCAGCCCCTCCCTATTCACTCTAATAAATACACTCACTCATACAAAACATATCTTGATGGATATATACAATAAAAAATTCCCAATTCCCCTAAAAAGCGGAACAGGGGACCCTGAAACTCACTACCGTGTTTGAGAACTATTCTTAAATCTGGCGGCATGCCTACACGCTCTCTATATGGAGCCAAGGCATGACACGCCTCTATTATGTGAGACATATCGAGTAACCTTTCTTTGCATAAGGGGCACCTGTGCAGGCATTGGCCCAAAAGTTATTATTAATGTTAATGTTTGTTGTTATGGTCCTTTTTATTTTTCAATTTTATTTATCTGCTACTTAAATTGTGGATAACCTCGTGATTTATACTTTTGGTCAAAGGGCCTTTTATCAGTATGTGTATACACTCATAAATAAAACGTATTTTCTTAACAGATCAAGTTAAAAATAATTGACTTGTTAACAAGAACAAATTTTAAAAAAAATAATAATTTATGATTTTTTATACGAGGGTTCGCAACAGCAGAGGTTATATCAACACTCGGGGTGCCGGTGTTTTTGAAAAAAAAAAGAAAGAAAAAAAGCCGATTTGTAAGTAAGTCGGGGTCGAATCCAGCAGCCCTGCTTCGAACCCAGGACCTTTACCTTACAGTGATGAGCGCCGTGTCAACGCCTAAACCGTTGCGGCCACCGACGCCCCCAACAATTTATGATTACAATTGATCTTTTAATTTTAAGTAAAGTTGTCACAAAATACAAATATGAAGAGGGTTTTGAAAGAAACACTTTTACTCAAATATATTTTGAATTGCATTTCCAATAGAACTGTAAACTGCGAGTCTTTTGGTGAAAAAAAATCGACATTTTATAGAGTGGATTCCAAAAGATTTAGACAATTCTTGACTTATTACGAATGAGTTATTTTTATTATATAAAGCTGAGCACAAATCGAGTATGAGAACTACCATAGCAATCCCGTGACTATAGAAAAACGAATTTTTCGCGTTGTTCGCTCCTCCAGTTTGGACTCGAAGGTCGTCCTTCGACCGATGGAACGATTTGACTTAGCGACCGGGAAAGAACGATTGCATAACTGTAAAGATCTAAAATTGGAGCTTGAAATTCTGTTCGGGCGGGTATGCACAGGCGCCCTGCTCGGATTTCGATCGATGATCTCAGATACACTTCCAGCCTCTTGCCAGTCGCACTCCAGGGGCAGGCTGCTCGATTCTCGGCTCAAATGGACTGGAAATCCGGCGACGGCGGTGGCCAGACCATACCCATACCCATACAGATATTCCTTTGGCAGCATACGAGGTAAACGGTCTTTTATCGATGCCGGCCTGGTTAAACGAAAACTTTCAAACAAAAGACAAGCTGTCACATTAATGAGAAATACTTTATCATCATTAACACGGCATAATAAATTTTACCATCAGATATTGCAATTAAACCACCCATTAATCGTCTAAGATTCTAAACAAATGCTGTTATGCCTGTAATACAAGGGGGCACGCAAATTACAAAGCCATTATGCTTAGTTATACACGTATTTTATAATTTTTTAAATAAATTTACTTTTATACATAGCTAATAGGAAACAACCCAAGGTTGTCATTATTTTTTAAAGAACAATTTTGTAAGAAATTAAAAGTAAAATCAATCAATAAAGCTATGGAACCTGGAAATTGATTGAGTTGGTAAGATCTCCACTTTTACAAGTATCAGAAGTTCTTCTTTCCCTAAATATTAAAAAGATTTCACCACATTCATCTGACGAATCTATAAATTTGCAGTGCAGCCTCAGGATTTTGACGATTCGGAAAATAAAAAAGTGCATCTTTTAACTAAAAAATGAAACTACCACCATAAGTAATGCCGATCTAATAAAAAATCTAAATATTCTCGTTTAATCCATATATGAGAAAGAGTTCAAATCAGAAACTAGATTTAGTCTTAAATGCTAAATGAGCCTGTTAAGACCGGCTGGTTTTGTAAATTGAGCCGGCGGCTTAAATGAGTTGAGAAGCATCGGTGTTTTTCACGAGCACGATGGGTGGCTCAGGCTTCTAGATTTCTAGAATTCACAGCACTGTCACTGATGATATAGATATCTAGATGTATTCACTTAATTACAATTACCTTAATTACTTAATAATTGATTACTTTTCTTAATTAAAGTAACGAAAGTAAGTTCAATCATTCCACAAGTCGGACATCTTACCAAACATACAGCATGTTTAATTTTTTCTCATCAGTCTCTTTGCCTTTGCATAGACATGAACATAAACATGCAAAATTTTTCAACCAAAAACAGTTTTTCACTTTGATGTAGAAGAGTTTTTGGTGTTTTTCCCGGTTGAAAAACAACGAAACAATAATGATGAATGCGAGATTTTTTGGGAAAGTAAAAATATAAAATTCTCACCCCATTAACAACAAAATACGTTAATTGTTTAAATTTTTTATTTGATCGTTACATGTGTAAACGGCGTAAATGACGATAAACACTCATCATATTATAAAACAAATAATGAAATGAAACACAATTATATAAAATTTACATATAAAAATCCTTGTAGATAAATAACAGTTTACAATTAATATAATATTAATGTCTGGTATACTAAATGAAGGAAGAAAAAGAGTTAGGGAAATTTTTATTGAAGACGACACAAGATTCGACTTGAATGACACAAGTTATCTTGAGTGGATGAGCTGGGAGCGGTGTTTATGCGGTTTTTGAGGATATCTGTTGACAAAAATTGAGGCAAAGGGTCATATTTACTCATAAGAATTTTATAGGTTTCGATGAGTTCTTGCCTTTCTCTACGATCATGAATTTAGGAATTTAATGTGGTAATTAGTGACCGTTAGTCGATGATTATTCAGAACAAACACTTTGAGCCCTGAAGATGATCCTAATAAAGATCGAAACGTTGGCACGATAAAGAAAATGTTTTCTGAAACCTACATCACACCAGACCGCATCTCACGATTTCTGAATAATTAGGAATTTAAGTCGGTCGAAGTAGCTGTTTGGTTTTAATTTTTAAGAGGTTTTGGTAAAACGTCTTGGAACTTTTTCTGCATGTTTAATGTCTTTTTGAAAGTAGGAATAATACTTTCAAACTCTAGTATTGGTCGAACGTAACATAGTTGTGATTAAATATTTCAGAAGGTGACGGAAATGTGCATTTATGTAGCTTGGTATGCAAGAAAGCTTTTTACCTTTCCTTGTCCACGACATGTTTATTCAACTTTAAGTCTTCTGATATTGTTAAACCCCATGTCTTTTTGAAATTATGTAAAGGGATAAATTACCATCGAATTTGTAGGTTAAAAGAGGGTTTTTAGGGCCCAAATGAAGAACATTGCACTTGTCAGTGTTATGATTAAGACCAAAAGTAGCGACCAGCCAGAAATCTTATCAATGCTCATTTGCATCTCAGTCAATTAAGCGAATATATTGGTTCATCTGCAAAAGTACTGCACAGTGAATTTTGTCATCTATATCACTGATATAAAGAATGAATAGAATTGGACTAAGGACCGATCCTTGCGGAACTCCGCCAAGCACTGGAGGTAGGTATTAGAATATACTCGATCAATTCCTGTCAGAGAGTTATATTTTCAAGAAATTTAGGAAAGAACGATGGATCTCAAACCTGTACAGTTAGTAAATTAAGAATCTGCGAGACACACGATCAAACCCATGGAAAAATCAAATCAATCCACATTTTTCGTTCAGAGGTTGTCATTTTGAACTACGTTTATAAAAGCAGAACGTTTTTAGATAAAGCCGTGCTGTTTGAAAGGAATAATTTTTTTTATTTTGTCATAAGTAATTGAACGTCAAATGATAAATATTCCGTGATAATTCTCTTTGAGATTTGCAGGGGCTATGACCTATTGTTTGGTCGGGTGACGGTATGACCAGCGAGAGCAGGCGGACCAAAGAAGTCGTCAGCAATGTAAAAACAGTTAAAGAATTATCGTAGTTTTTTCTGGTTTGGTCAGTCAGACGTTGGATTTGATTTATATAAGATTAAATCTGCACATGTATGTGCGCGCACGCACGCGCACACGCACACACACACACACACACACACACACACACACACACACACACACACACACACACACACACACACACACACACACACACACACACGTGCATTGATCCTATCACTTCTCAATTGCGATTCCATACTGGTTATTTATTAATATTATTGTTAATAATAACAAGAACGAGGAAAGACGGGCCTGGATGATCGGAAACAACCGAAATAAAGATAATTATTTTACTGTTTTTACGTTACTGATCGTATCTCTGGTTTGCCTACTCTCGCTGGTATTCTCTGCCTGAGACGCATTTCCGCCTACGCCATTTATAGACAGTAACTAACAATAAGTTATTTTCGAGCAATTCTCACAAAATATTAGATTTTTTACATGTAAAAATAAAGGAAGCCGTTTTTAATACATATTAAATTTTTGAAGTACCACTTGCCACTGAATCTGAAAATAAGAACGGCGCGATTTCAATGACAAAAGTATATCCCATAATTCTAATTTTCTTTTTACCAATTAATTAAATTATTCTAAAAACGAAACAACTCAAGAACTTTAAATTTTGGTCTAAATAATCGTCTTATTTTAAAAATCGATTTTTCAATACAAAGAAAATTTTTCGCCACGTATTTTTATTTAAAAAATAGCATAAGCTCAAAACATAACAACTGTATTATAGAAAACAAACGAAATCCGAAATTAGAGCGAATCCGTCACTGTAACCAGTTAAATAAAGTAATAATGAATCGTACGAAAACGTAAAAACATTCAAATGGTGGGATTATTATAAAAACAAGTCAGTCTAAAAATTCCCAATATTATTGTGATTCATCTTACGGTTGCTTATGCTACCATGTTACATTTACCCTACAAAGCAAAACCCTTCATATAATATTTCTCAACCATCTTCTTATTCCTAAACCGACCTGACTCATGCTTAATCTGGAACCGACACATTCAAACTAAAAGACAGGAACTGAGCAGATGCTTCGAACTCTATAAACTTCTTGGATGCAAAAACAACATTTTGACCAAAAACATATTGACACTTTACAAAACACTACTGAAACCGATTTTGTCATATGGTTTAGAATTATGGGGCATCGCTCAACTTACCAATATCCAACGATTTTTTTTTTTTTTGCTTTCCCAACCAATAGTCCTAAGCATCATAGTCACCGCTCCCTACTATGTATCTTATAACAATATCCACAACTGCTCAAAATACTCTTTGTGAATAAATTAATCCCCACCAAATTTTCTAAGTTCCGCGATAAACTCTCCCCACTAACTGCAGCTCACTAGTCCAATTCATATCCAATATAATCCAACCCTAAAATCATATTGACTGAAGCGAAGATGACCCTGGGACTTAGCTTGCTAGCCCTTGTGTAAAGTTGAGAGAACAACAATGATTCAACCCTCAAAACAGAATATAAAATCGATAAAATTGACTAAATGTAGGATTTCATATAGATGGTAATAAATATTTTATTAGAAAAAAATTATTATAATAAGTAGATCTGATGGTAACATGGTTAAAGAATGTTTAAATACGTATAATTATGTTTTATACCCTATTTCACTTGAAGTAAATGTAAAATTTGTTTGCTGGTAAAGCAAAAATAATTTTAAAATTATAAAAAATTCCACTGCATCACTTTTTGTCCTTTTAATCAAACTAATAGAACTTCATAGCTGTATTAAAACAGAGATAATTCACTATTTACTATTTTTACAGCCCTTTTACTAGACCAAAGTTGGGAAAGCTCCACGAAGCATCATGCACGGTACGTTTTAAGGATAAGAAATAATAGTTAATGTAAATATTACCCATTTGTATCATACACAATGTTTCCGTTGACATTTATGAGGATTCAAACAATTTTTTAGTTTAAAAACAATAATTGTTGTTTAAAATTTCACTTGTACAAATTTTATTTTTAAGCATTTTAAGTTCCAGTTGTACCATACAAATTATTAATCTAATGTTGCACTTATATATTTTATTGAAATTAGCATTTTAATATGAAACCAAAATCCACACTGACAGACAGTTTTATTCAACTGAAACCATTGGTTTAGTTGGGGTAAAATTTGTACCTGTTATTTTTAACTGACTTGAATGTCCTAATGTAGTTTGTTAACAAGAAATTTAAACAAAAATTGTACATCTGACATTCGAGAGATTAATCACAAGGAATGTCAAGCTTGTGCTATTTTCTTTGTTTTGCATTCGTGACGTTAATTGTAAATATATATAACATACACAATTAAATGTATAACTTGCTTTTTGTTTGTCCACTCACATGTGTGCTGCTACTTCTCTGTGCTTTCTTAAAACGTCCAGTTCTGCCAATCTGCCCCTGGCCATCACGTAAGTCAATTAGAAAAATAAATGAGAGAATGGATTAAAATCAACTCTTACTTTAAATTTAAAAGATAATTAGTATCATACATACATATAACACGATTTCTTTATTTGCCAATAATATCCTATGCTGATGTTCTTAAGCACTGTATAAAGTCCATTATATACTTCAGGACAAAAATATATTTCATTTTCTCATTTGAAAATTATGACGATTTCTCTTATACATGTGTGTGTGTGATGTTTTAACACATTTTATGTTTAAAATGTGCTGACATAGGAATTGAAGGAAGCATGTAAGGTATGCTGTTGTTTACTGTTTTCTCACAATGTCTCGTTTTGCCTTTTGCTGTTTAATTTATGTTTTTGGTTTTCATTGTATCTATCAGCTTCTAAGTCAACTGCTAAATTAACAAATGTCAATTATTGTTAATATTTTGTTTTTTTCAGGCTTTTGAAAAAGTTCTGGTGCAAAACCTTCAATTTGGACTTTCGAGGAGTGTCACTGAAGCGATTTCATCCATACCGAGATGGAGGCTTGTCCAAGCTGCCTTTCCTCACATCTTACACTGCACTGCTGCCCTACTTCACAATCGGTAATAATATACTTCTTAAAATAAATGGTGTATCTCACTTGTATGAAGAAAATGTCTAATAAATGCTCTTCAGTCATTACCGGGTTTTAATTTTACTAATTGTTAAAAAGATAACCAAAGTTAAATTACCATATAAAAGTTAACTGAATGTGCCAGGCAATAAAAAATAAAATATAATTTTAACTAAATTATGATAGGAAATATTTTATAGCTTTATAATCAAGTTTATTAACATACTAATACAAGTATTGTTGTCATAAATTTGACTCACTCTAATTATTATAAATGTTAAAAATAATTAGTTCTTGATATTTAAAAAAAATATTTATTTTAATCATTACACATGCAATGATTAAAATAAATACATTTTTTCAGTCAGCATTTTATGAAAATTAAAGTTAACAAATTTTTCAGAAAAGACACAAATTTGCAAAATCTGGGAGCAGCAGAAAGTAAATTGCTTTACATTCTGCATTGGATAATATTAGATGCAGCTGAAGAGTGTGCAGAAGCTGATTTTGAAAATGGTTTCTATCAGTCATCACCTTTCTACTACCAGTTCCCGATTTCTTCTATTACAGTAAGTCTATTTATTTTAACAAATTGAAACTATCAATGAAAAATATTAAATTTTCAGCTTTTTGTTTATCTACTTGCCCCTTTATGCCACCAAATAAAAGAAGGCGACTTGCAAACGTTTAGACTGGAGAATGGCATTAAGCTTTGGCACCCCCTGTGGGAATACCGCCATCCTGATGCGAGCTGTTTTACGGCACTGTGCAAACCCAATTCTTCGGTCCAGAGAGGAGGCAAGCAGAAGAAGCCCCAAGTCACAGATGGATTGACATTTCTTGGACGTTAGTTTAAATTCATCATATGCATTAAATATGTCTAAACTAATTGTATAAAATTATAGGAAAAACTCCTACTGGAGGTGATGGCTTTCTTGGCACAGAAAGCCCACCCAGCCAAACAACGTCCATTGGATTTTTTGACCCGCCAACTAAAAATGTCGAGGAAGAGGTGACTAATTTTCTAATAGTGAATAATCTGAAATTCAATTGATGTATTTTTTAGGGTTGGGTCTCTTCACCTAAAGATACTGTTTTTCCTGAGACGATCCCTGAAGAAAGTTCAAGTACTGAAGAAGAACATGTAGTATGTATATCATTTCAATTAATGAACTTAATGTTCACTTGTAAAATATATAAATTTATAAGAAGTATTGCTATATCAAAAGGAGGTGCATAATGTGAAAATTGTAACTTCAGAAGAATAGTCCGTGCCAGGTTTACACAAATTTACATGGGCACTTACTTTTGCACCAAAGCATATGTGTCTGGCATGTAGAAAAAGGATGTTTGATACTTAATTGAAGCATGTCATTCCTTGGCTCGATATAAAGAGCTTGTAGGAATGACTCCCCATATGAGAATGGAGTTTGGTCAAATGATAGCAAATATCTGGTTCTTCTGTTCCGATTTTTGGAGGAAACAGGATTGTTTTGTTTAATATATCCATATTTGTTTTGTGTCCCTACTTTTGTATTGAGAGTGAATGTAGTTATTAGCATGAGAGAGGTTAGATGGTGGAATATTGAGTACCCATTGATGCTCAGTTAGGTTAGTTATATAATAGGTGCAATGGATGATGGAGAAATGCTGAATACACCACCACTATAACTGAGTGAATGATATGTCAATAAGAAAGAATGTATTTAAGAGTTTGGATTTAGAGTCAACCTCGGCGGTGGGATGGACAAGGCTGAGGGCTGACCGCGGATTGCCAAAACCCAAGGTGATTCTCGAGGCCTGCCTATAATTTATTGTAAATTACACAAAAGCTGGAATTGCCAACAGGCTGCGAGAAGGGTTAGGTTCATCCCTGCACAAGTTGTATCTATGTACATGTATGTGCAGAGCTGAGCTTATATCATATCAGTAAATCAGTAAACATCATAAATAGAATTTAACTTAACATGACTTGCCTACATAAAATTACAATTATTTAGCAAAAAAATTATAATATTTTGTGAAGAATTTTTCTCTGAAATTCAAATAGATTTAAACAATTTTTAATGTTTGGTTTAGGTTATATTTAGACTTCCATCTCTTGCTGAGTCTGATGGCCTAAAAGAGTCTTCTGTTTACACAGTAAGTTATTAATACAACTATTGTAGTTTAATTAAAAACATACTTTCATAATATAAGTATTATATTTTCTATGTTAATTTAAGGCACCTGATGCTACCATATTCCAAAGCCAAAACAGATTTGTGAAAAGTCCGTCAGACCATCCCTCGTCAAATGATTTCCAACACTACCATAATAAGAGAAATGGGTACATCATTTTAATGTTTTTTGCATAGAATTTTTTTTATATGTATACATATTTTATTTTCAGACGAAGACAGAGCTCAATTGATAAAGATTCTATGATTTCATCTCGCACATGTGCCATAGAAACAAGTTCAGCAGCAACATTTCTAGATGTGGCTGTACTAAGGTGTCTCTTTATTTCTCAGTGGCCTGAAGAAGGTGTCTACTGGGCTCTTCAGTTTTTGTACCACAGGTAATTTCAATTCATTTATAGTTTTTTTATTTATTAATCGGGTCTTTTTCAAGATTGAGAGATGTCAATGACACAAAGAGGGAAGAACCTGAACCGAGGAAACGGAGCAACTCGCTTCCTTCTCCCCAAATTCCAACTTCGTTATTCCAAGATGAAGTGAAACAGGAAAAAGATTTCATAGAAGTCCCCGAACCTAAAGATGTATCAATACTAACAGGTACAATAATCAATTCCTTGTCAGATTTATTTTAGCTCTTAGTTGTTTATTGCAATGAATTCATCAACTTTCAGAGGCACCTTCTTCCTTCAGTCAAAAAGAGCAGGGCCATTTGAGAAGATCGAGTGAGAAAAAAAGAAAGTGCATGAAAATGGCTGATCTAAAAGCATTTGTAGAAACTAAACTGCTGTCAAAATCTGAAAAACACCTGGAGAAGCTTGGTAGCGACGAGGAAAAAAATTCCAAATCTCTATACACACAGGTATTCTTAAAATATTAACAGAGAATATAGTATATATTATACGATATTCTTTTAAAAAGATTATTATTAAATTATTCAGTCGAACATAGAAGCAATAGTCCATGTACTTTATTTCCCTGTAATTTTACACTAAGGATTTTATTCTAATCAAAAATACAATTTTATTACCATTTAAGTATTATTTTATTGCTCAAGAATAGGTCGGATGAAGGTCCACGATTAATTTGTTAATGCTTTACATTTATGCTTTCTGAATAATATATATTTTTAAGTACTATGAAAAATTAATATTTTGACTCATTGGTTTTTAGGAATATCACCGAAGCTTAGACACTGGTGATGACCATTTGATACGAGCAGATCAACTAACAAGAAACTTTTTGGAGCCAGAAAAAGGGCAAACTAATTTAGTCAAAGGGAAAAGTATGCCTAGTTTAAGGTATTTTTTTTTAATATGTTCAATTTTTATATTGTAATTAAAACATGAAAGTCAATACTTAATAGAAAGGTTTGGTTCTAACTAACATTGCTCGAACGTTTTTTAAGAGATTCAAATCAGTATTTTTCCTTTTATTTCACCGACCTGCCATTCCATATTTCCTCATTTTATTCATGTTTTTCAAATCATTGGCCACTACAAGCCATTGTTCTTTTTACTGTTATCTTTTAAAATATATTTTTTGTATTCATTCCTATAGTGTAGCTTTTTATCTATCTTGTTTCTATATCTTGTGTCTCTTACTTCCACGCTCAGCTGTTTGCTAGATGATTCATCCCACAATGGAGGAGGGTGAGTCTATATGAACAAGAAACAAAACTGAAAAACCAAAGTTGATTCTACACTGTACCAAATAATTAGAGAATTTTCATTTCATTCATTGTTTGGTTTTCTTCCAATCCCCTTATTTTTTTATTTTTTTATTATATTGTTTAGTAGCGTGCTTTTTTCACAAGAACATTTTAAGTTTTTTTTTCTTTGAATAAAAATAAATATTTTTACTGCAAACCCCTTTGTTGTATTTATTAGTTTGTGAATTTCAGCTTTTTATTTCATAATATATAGTTTTAATTTATGCTTGATACACTAATGCTTGAGAAAGCATGGGCAAAAAGGATCTTTTTATTAAATATTCAATAAGCCCTTGAAATGATTTGATTTGGAAGTAATTAAAATCTTTAGGTACATCGGGGAAAACAAGAGGGAAACATTCACTGAAACTTCACCAAATCCAATAATCACTGTGACAGAACACACTCCAGCACCTTCTCCCGATTTTTCTAAAAAAAAGGCTAGTTCGCTCTCACGAAATTAGAATGAAAGATAAATTAATAAATTGTTCTTTTTTAGATAAGAGTTGCGCAGGGATCGGTCGACAGTCAGTACGAATTTAAGTACAAAAAGGGGCTTACAAGATCTTACACAGATTCGAACATCAAATATACTTTTGATGACTGTCCAGAAGCTCCTGGCTCATCTCATTATGTAACGTCTTATGGTGACATCGACCTTCTTGTGGTTTTAAAGGTAAAAGGTTTAAAAAATATTGATTAAAATTTATTTATTATTATTGGTTTTTAGGGTATCCAGAGCGTAGTGATGCGAGACAACGTGATTTGCAGCCTCAGGGTTTGCGAAGGAATTTTAAATGTAATCGAAGTTGTTGAAAGGATGATGGACGATCCAGAAAATGCAGCTCATAATTGTGTATTAACTTGTTTGACAAGGTATATGTTAATATTCTCATGGGTAATTTATATGTCTTGCATTTAATTTACTACTGGCACGATTTTTTTAAAATCTTGGTATGAAATAATAATGTTTATATTTTAGAGTTATAAGACATTTGGGATGTCCTCATGGTTGTGGAGAATCTCAGCGGGGTCCACCAGCCGATTTTTTACGTTCACAAGTTCACTCGCTTTTGTCCAAGTTGCATAAAGCCAATACCAAGAATTTTAGGAAGTTTTTCAAGAACATGGTCTCTTCCCAGTCGATAATGGACATAGTTGAATTCTTCCATTCGTACACTGGTTTCTGTGTTGACCCAAGCTCACTTCTTTCACCTCTGAGTAAATATAAAATGCACATTGAGATAGATAATCATGCTTGGAAAGTGTATTTATGAGAGTATTTTCATTATTTTGACCAAGACCAAAAGCGAGGTGGCTGTAACAAGTCGCCAGACATGATGTCTCAGGGAACGTTTGGCCCTTTTTCATCTGGAAATGTTTCAACTTGTGTAGAAGGTCATATCATGTCGTATGTTTTTAAGAAATTGATAAGCAAACTTGTTCTTTCTAACAAGGAGATCAAGTCCCAAGAAAATATGGTATTGTTATTTAAATTATGTTTGTGCAAAACTTGATTTAAAAAAAAATGTTTATGCTGTTTTAGACGTTATATTGTGATATCCGACTGCTAATGAGTTATGTGAAAGAAGTCCATGGAAATGTATTACGAAGAGTGACTATGAGTGGTCTTATCGATACAGCTGTTCGTCCTCATGGAAAGCAGCCAAATGTACAAACAACAAAAGTCATAAGGTACAAAAAATAAAACACACACATGCACACATACATACACACACAAAACAAAAATATGTATATTTTGTTAAAGACATATTCCTCAAAGTGAACAGGATGAAACGATAAACCAAACTTCTTTCTGCTCGGAAGATAAAGACACACGTAAATCCCTTTTTAAAAAGCGAAGTACATCTTCCATTTGCGCTGTAAATATTTTTTTTCTATAATCATTTAATTCAGTTGATATCTGTGAACTAAAATGTAACTCTAAAGTGTGTGCTTGAGGCGGAAGGTAGTGAAGAGGTGCAGAGTCCAATGAGTAATATGAGGAAGAAGCATCACCACGTTCTCACGCCAAGGCATAGCCAAAGGGCTTTCAACATGTTGCCAAAGAATTCTCGATTTCACATTGGCGGTCTAGGTAGAATTAAACTATAAATTTATTGTGGTAATAAAAATATTACGGCTGAAACGGTTTCAGTGAGTTGGTTCAGACGTGAATACAAAAGAGGCGATTCCTTTGATTCCCAAGGTAGCATTGATCCTGTGGGGGACAGTGCTCTTATCCATCACGCTGCACAATTGCATCACTCTTACAGCAAAACATCTCAGAAAAGCACAACAAGGTGAGGTTTAATTGCACTCGAATGGTCTAAACTTAAGTTAATTCATTTGTTGTTTTAGTGTTGGGACTACTTTACAAAAAGCCAAAAGAAGGGTTGAAGACCAGTTCACCAAATTTGGATTTGGGAGAGGGAAAAAGAAGGATGGAAGCATCGAGGAAACACAGGGTAGTTGTAAGTTTTATAAATTTTCAATTAAATTGTTGAATTCTCCATTTTTTTACAACAAAAAATATAAAAAATTGATAGTCATTAAATCAAAATTGCATATACTATTACATGCTTAAAATATAACAGTTAACTGATCATGAAAATTTCATGTAACAAAAACATATTTATCAATTTCTTAGAAGTAAATTAATGTTCGCTTTAACAGATTTGAGCAGGAGGAACTCTGAAGAAGTAGCTGAAGGGCGTTCCCGAGATTGTGAGGTGGTTGTTTACAGAACAAGGCGTCTTATTAGGAAGGAAGCACTTTTAAATGGCATGTTGAGACTGTCTTTACTTTTTGAAACGTGTCAGCCAGCAACACTTCCTCATCCTCATCTTCTAGCTGCCACTTTGGATTTGGTAAAGTTGGTAGATTAGTATTTGTAAGTTTAATAAGATTTTTTTTTCGCAGCCCAATGCTCCTGTCGTGTCAAGAGCGGCGTTTATACTCGAGTGTGCACACTTTGTTCACTTGTGCAACAAAGGACAGTGGCCTTCTTGGTTAAAACATAATTTTCCGATGTTCCGGCCGTCAGGTCCACCTGCACCGAGCCGCTCTAGTAACACCAATACTAGGAGGTCACATGTACTGCAAAGAGCAGCAGGAAGCATGTTTTATCAATGGGCTGAGGTAATCATATTTTTAATTATTGACTAATTTGCTCAAACATTAAATTATTAAAAAAATAATTTTCAGGTTCTTGGTCAAAGGCTTGAAGAAATGCTAATAGATGATAAAAATCACATTTCGACTGTAATAAATATATTATCTGATGAAAATAAACAGAAAGAGTTATTGATTGAAGATGAAGAGGAAGATTTTCTTGATGAATGTATGTTTTAAAACTTATAAATTAATTAACTGTGTAATTTGCAATAAACTTTAAAAAAAGGCAGATAAAGTTTCAAAATGTTCAAATTCATTTTCTTTGAGTTTATAGTATCAGTTTGATTATTTAAAAAATATCATTTAATCATTAAATATATTTGTACTCTTGAAATTAGCTAAGTTTATGTTTCACTTTACTCACTTATCAGAGGTATGATTTAAAAGAATTATTTTTATATGATTGTTTAAATCTTATATTTCGTCATATCTGGCAAGATATTTTACAATTTTCAGAACATTTTATTTGTTGTGTTTACTAGCAAGCAGAAATATATATGGATCATCTTGTCCAATGGCACTGAGATTGGTAGGATGTGTTTTGCTGTTAGAAATAACAGCTTTTCTCCGTGAAACATACCAGAATTTGCCTAAGGTTTCACAAGTCAGCACTAGAGAAAAGCCGCAAGGTGGTTGGGGTGAAAAGGTTCGTCAGTTGGCATCTTTCAATATTCTAGTTCACCTTCGCGCTTTTTCTAGGTCTATTCGAAAGACGCAAACAGAAGATGGAGTATGGCTTTATCATCGATGGGCCAGTCACAAGCATCTGCTCAAAGCTTACAGAGCATAGTCGGGGAAAAAGGAGAAGGTTGTGTCAATGAGCAAATGTTATTTTATTAAGTAATGTTTGATTTTTACTTACAGTATTCGTCGGTGGGAACCAATCAGAAAGAAAGATCAGTTTTGTTCTACAGGAGCCAGACAATGAGTCTGAGGCAAGTAGCAACACAACACTTACAATACAGGTATGCTTTTGCTTTTGCTTTTTATGACATAGATTGAACACCAAAATTACACCAACCCTTAACCTGAACCACTTGTGGTAACTATTAAACCTTAGGTTATATTTTCTCTTTATTGCTATCACATTCTCTCTCTCTCTCACTCTCTCTCTCTCTCTCTCTCTCTTTCTCTTTTCTCTTTCTCTCACTTACTCGCTCTGTCTCTTTCTCTTTCTTTTTCTCCAAAATTACACCAACCCTTAACCTGTACCCCTAGTGATAACTATTAAAATTTAGGTTATATTTTTCTTTATTCCTATCACATTCTCTCTCTTTTTCCTTCTCTGCGGGTGATTATGTGCATGATTTGAACATCCTAGTGTGGATGATGGGAACATCCTCGAAAATGGATAGCATAAATGATGATATTGAACTCTGAGTTATATGGTCTTGTAATCTGGTGTAATAAACGTGGGTTAAAACTGAATCCAGTAAAATGTAAATATATGATGTTAGGACACAGTTCACAGTTACTTAAGGTGTGCATGAATAATGTAAAAAAAAATTGTATCAAAAACAGAATTAAAGCAATTAAGTTATTAAGTTAATTATTTTACTTACAATTAGTCTTGGTTATAACTATTTTTATCTCTTCATTTAATTTTAATTCTAATTTTTTCTCTCAAATATTTTTTTTTAATATTATTATTTTTTTTTTTTTTTAAATGACGTTTTAGTACAGATTCCGATTGTAAATTATAATGTTAGTTATTGCAGTGTTATCTTACATCGGTTCATGGATAATTTTTATTGTTATATAAAGTTTATTATTTAATATTTTCTATATCATCAAGTTTATTTGGAAATTATCACCCCCGGATGTGAGAGAGGTCCAAGAGTTCTACTACTAATTCTGCATGGCTAAATAAAACACTATCAATTAATCTCTCTCTCTTCTCTTCTCTTCTTTTCCTTTATCTCCTCTGTCTATCTGTATCTTTCTTATCTTATTCTCTCTCTCTCTCTCTCTCTCTCTCTCTCTCTCTCTCTCTCTCTCTCTCTCTTTCTCTTTCTCTTTCTCTTTATCTTTCTCTTTCTCTTCTCTTCTCTTCTTTTATCCCCTCTGTCTATCTGTATCTCTCTTCTCTTATTCTCTCTCTCTATCTATCTCTCTTTCTTTCTGTCTTTCTCTTCTCTCACTCTTAACTCTTACCCTTTTTCTCTCCTATTTAGTAAATAGTTTTTGTAGTATGCCATCTTAATTGTTGCACTTGATCCTTCTGTTGTTCCTAGGTAATAGTAGTGGAAACTTATTCAATTTAGCTGAATGTATCATTTTCCCTCTTAAACTACATACTTCAATGAAATAATAATTTTCCTTCAATTCTTTTTCATGACTGTGTGTTTTATTTTTATTTTATAGTATAATTTAATATCAAAGTTTTGATAAGATACAATTTTTGGTTCTTTTTCAGTTTCAATACTCAGTGCAGGTAACAAAATCAATCATTTGAATTTATTCACCATCTACATCCTCTATTAAGTTTTTTTATCTTTATTAATTTTATAATATTCTTTTGCCTATTTTATAATCTTTATACATAAAAAGTGTTGTACATATTTTTCATTAAGAAAGTCTTTGTTTTATTCCTGATCCTTCCTAAACTGGCTCACATAACGCATGCCAATGTGAAAATGAACATAGACCATGTTATATGATTGTTAAATATTTTTCACTTTATGTATTAATTAAGTGCATAGTAAAATAATTAAAATTTGTCTTTTAAGTCAGTATTAGATTACAGAATCAAATGCAGTGTAGTACTAGTATTTTTGTTAAATGAGTTTTTAATGTGTACATTTTGCTATTACGCATGTTTTACTTATATGTCAAGACATACTTTTAACTAACCAATTTACAGTTCTTTCACAATATGTTTAAGTAGAAGAAAATCTATATTTTTGAGATTTCACTTATTTTATCTTTCACCAAATTTTATCTGACAATTAGTAATCACTGAGGTATTGTAATTTTAAAAAATTGTGATTATATCATGCTGATTTAACTTAAATTATGTGTGAATTTCTTTGCATTTCAAATAGTGCTTTAACACCAACCTAATTTCAGTTTAGAATAACATTAATCTTAAACTAATTAATCAAAATTAATCTGCAAATAATTTAAATTAATAGATTTGGTATTTCAATTTAAATTTTCTCATTTTATTTTATATTTAATGCTTCTGGATGACTCGAAAGTAGAAAATAAATTTAATTTTTGTAATTATTCATTTAATTATATCTATGGGTTGGAAGATATAAAAAATGTTTAATAATGAAGAGTATGAAAATACAAGGTTCCTTTTGGTTTTGTTGGTGTCATCGTCCACTAGACACATCATTAAAATATAATGATCAATGTAAACACAATCACCCATCCATTGAATATATTTTAGTTTAAAATTCTAAAAATACATTTGATACTTTTACCTTTTATTTAAAACCCATTTATATTCTTTCTAAAAAATTGGTAAATGTTTGAATATGGTTTGAATTTTATTATTAATTTGTTTCATAATTGTTATTAATTTGTATTGCCAATTAAAGCTGTAAGATACGCACAAATTTGCTCAATAATTATTGTATGCGTAGTATCAGTGTGCAGTGTATTGCATCAAAATTTCTATCCCCACTTTCTCATTTGTAAGTGTTATGAATGCTTTTTAACGTATTAGGGTGAAGATGGTATGCCAGGCGAAGAAAAAAAAATGAGAAGTAGACGGCCATTGCTTTTAAGAAGAGGAACTGCAACATCTGCAGTCACAAATGGATCATTTAAAAGGCGCAGCTTAAAACTTAGGAGGACGAAGGAGTCTGTTCAAACTGAAAGGCAAAAGGAAATAATGCAAGAAGATTGTAAGTTTAGCTTCAACCTCAACTTTAAATTTAACTTAGATTATTATTATTATTTTTTTTTTTTGCATAGTCAGAAGAGCAGAATCCTTACAGAATAAAAGAAAGGTGTCATCACTTTCTGATCGAAGTGATACATCTGAACAAGGAGTTGGAGAAGTTTCTGGAGAAGAGAGTCCAGGCATACCAAGTGACGACCAACCTCCTGAAAGCCCAACAGATACGAATGACACTGATGACATGACAGAAATGCCATGGCTTAAAGTAACACCAACCACGTTTGTTTTTGTATTAATATAATATCTTTGACAATGTATTAACATTTTTTTAGGTTATTGTTCAAATGTTGAACTCTTTCAACTTTTATTGTTCGCATCAAAATTTCTGCCACCCTTTTTGCTACAGACGTCACATGAGAGGAGCATCACGGCTCATTAAAGCTGTTAGACAGGTACGACCATTTTAAAATTTCTATACACTCTTATATATAATTTACTGTTTCATTTTTAACGTAGGTTTATGGAGAAGAATTTGGAGTGTTAGGAAAAGAAAAGAGGCTAATTCAAGAAGAAATAAAAAAAGGAGATGGGAAAAGGAATAGAAAAGTTTCTGATCAAGTCTCTCCAATTAAAAGTAAAGAGTCTAAAAAGGAAAAAGATAAAGAAAAGTAAGGTTTATTTATTCCTTACTTATTCCTTCCTTAAAGTAGTACCTATCTTAGTAACTACTTAGAAAAAAACCCAACTTCAGTTATTTAGAAAAATTTCAAAAAATTCATATCTATTAAAAGCAAGATAAGTTTGGAAATTATTGCATTCCATCCAGTCACAGAGTTAACAACATTTTAAAAGTGATAATGTTTAATTTTAATTGTATTTCCAGCTCAACATTATTATTTAATATTTTAACATTATTTTTTATTATTAATTATTTTTTAACATTATTATTTGTAATTGGCATGTAATGCTGTGTAATCTTCATTTTAAGTTTGAAACATAATTCTTGTTGTGATTTAGATTAGATAGAATTACAGAAGGTACATCCATCAGTAAAGAATCTCATAAAGACTTGATGTCAGGGAGGGAAAAAGATGAGACCAAAAATGAAAACAAAGATATATTTGATAAATGTAAAGATCCACCACCAATATTAAAATATTTGAAAACTCAGGTACTGACAAACTTCAAATTGAAATTGCAAGATCTTAGGTTTAAATGATTGGTTAGGTTGGTGATGTTTTCCATTGTGCTCTCGGAGGGCTGGTGAAGGGTGGTGTGGTTCTCGGGGGTGAAGTCCTTTGTGAATGTCTCCCTTTCGCTTGGCATTTACTTCTTGAACCTTCACAACAAATTGCTTCAACAGCAGCTGCTCTAATGATCCTTGCAGCAGTCAAAGCACCTTCACAAGCAGCTCACATAATGGATGGAGCTTTGAGGCATCCTGATCCTGCTGTTAGGATCAATGCTGTCCTGAGGTATCAATTTTTACAAACACTTTCCAAATGCTTGTTATTTTTGTTATTTTTTTTTTTAGATTTAAAGTTCTTTGGAAAATGAGGCATCAAGTTTGGTGTAGAATGGAAGATGGAGCTCAAAATACTTTTAAAGTCCCTCCCCCTGGTATAGAGTTCACTTTACCCTCACCAAAAATCGGTATTGAATCTTTGCCAGTAGTCGATCCTCCTTGGATGCCTCAAATAAAAACAAAAGTTGAAGAGGTTACTGCAATTAGTCAGGAAAGTCATGTAAGTCCATGGTTTTACATGTCTAATTGCTATTATTGAAAAAAAAAAAAAATATGGGTGTAGAGGTCTTTAGTCACAGCAACAAAAACAAGAAAGAAGCAGCAAACAGAACTTATAAAAATGGCCCTTCAGGCGAAAGAAGATAAGAAAAGGTGTGAAAGAGAAAACTTCATGGTCACGACGATACCGGTGAATATTCAAGCTGCCTATGAGCCAAGCTTGCATCACGCTGTTGGTGATGATCATGACGAAGGTAAAAATTAAATTGTTAACCTGAGGCAAAAATTCATTGAATTCCATTAAGGAGGAGATGAAGAAGTGATCGAAGGACAATCAAGAAATGCTTCCCACCATATTCATTCTGCTCAGTCACTTTTTCCTTCATGCCTTTGCTCAGCTGTCATACAGATTATAAGCTTGCTGGATGATGCAGCTGTCACAAATGACGGATGTGCCGTTTATGAAGTTGCTTACCAGGTATAAATAAAAGATTTGAAAATATGTTACATATAAAACGGTTATTTGATTTTTGGTTGAAATTATAGGTTATTTGGAATTGCTTGGTTGAAGATAGTGCTTTGTTTCTTCGTTATATACTAGAAAGATTGACAAGAGATAACCAAGAACTAATGTTCAAAGTATTGAGGCATTTAATTCGATTTGTACCTCGCCTTCCGCAACAGGCTGCATTTACTTTGTACAACTATATCATTGGCTATGTGATGTTTTATGTACGAACTCCCCACGAAGAAGGGCAAAAGTTAATTGGAGCTGCTTTATCAATTCTTTGGATGGTGTAGTATGAACAGTTAGATAATTAATCAATATTGATTCTTAATGTTGGTCTTATTTAAGGTGGTGCATAGTGTACATGGAATTATGTTTAAAGATTTGAAACAGATTTTGAGAAAAGAACAGTGCGATGCTTCAATTCTATTGACTGCAAATGTGCCTTCCACGAAGAAAATTATTGTACATGGTCCACAAGGTATTTTTTTTTTTTTTTTTTTAATTAAGCTAAGTTGTGCAGAAACTCTAACCACTTCTTAATATTAGAGCAATCGTCATGTGGTATTCCATCGCAGTTTCCTGTTCAGGAGGACACCCAGTTTTGTCAGATACTGAGAGAGTCCTTAGATTTTTTTGGAATTGATGAGGAGAAGCATAAGGAATTCTTCCTTGTTGATTACAAAACCCGTAAGTCCTTTATCAATGTTGAATAATATAAGCTTTTATTTCATTTTAAACAATTTTAGATCAAATTCACAACCCAAATTCCTATGTGAGGGATTATTACTTTTTTAAGAGATCACAGTACCCCCAGTTGCAGCTTGTCCACATGCACCCTCAAGAAGCATTCAATGCTCTGCAGAAACAAGAGCTTATGCACAAAGTTGTCGAAATTGGTAAAGTTCTTCTTACTTGGGCTATTTTGAAAAATGTCGACATGGTTAGAGAGTCTTTGTTTATTATAGGCTGAAATGAAAATATATTCAATGGATTTTAATGAATTTTAGGTTGTCCAACGAGTCGTATTTCTTCATGAAGAATTGATGAAGCTACCTTCATTTCCTAGGAAGGCATTAGAAGCTGATCTTGATCTCTATAAAGGTGGAGAAATGGGAAAGGTATACTAATGTTTACTTAAGTAACATAAATTCTAAATCAATTTAGAAGAAAAGTGTGCTTTATTAAATAAGTGAAAATTTATTAATCTGATGGGCCAACATATGTGTCAGCCTCTTTCATGATGAACTTTAATAGTTAATTAAAGATTACTTTTTATTATTGATTACTGATTTATGTAAGCTCAAATCTGCACATGCATATACATACCTACACACATGACAGAGTTGAGCCTATCACTTCTCGCAGACCATTGGCAATTCCACTTTTGATAATTTACAATAAAATACCAGCAGGCAATAAAATTACCCACCTCATGTGTTAGCAGTTCGAGTCACTGGGGTTGGGCTACGATGGCTACCAACAGCTAGGACATTTCAGCTGCCAGCTCAATCTGTTCCTAAAACTAAACCCATTCACACTCTCACCTTTAAATACATTCTTTCCTAAATACATACCATTCACGCCATTAGAGCGGTGGAGTACTTGATAATCTTCCATTTACACATATTATATTATGAACTTAATTGAGAGTTGATGGATATTCAATTTTCCACCATTGGCTTTTACACTACACATTCATGTCAATAAATACATTCACTCGCAAAACATGCTAGGTACCCAAAACTATCAGTACTACATACAGTAAAACAACTCAGTTTTATCCAAGAATCAGAACAGAGAACCTAAAGATGTGCTTGAGCAATTTTACGTTGAGCTATATTCATATTCGCTTCCTATACGGAGTCAAGAAATGACACCCTTAAATTATATGGGACACATTGAGCAATCTTTCCCTACGTGCCAGGCTTTAGCCCAAAAGTAAGCATTGGTGTGCCAACCTCACATGACCTACTTTTAATCGGGTGAGGATGACCTTCCTTCTACAAGTCAGGTCCTCTACGGGCCAGCTATATATTATGCAGGGTGGGCGACCAAGACCCAAGGGGTTAAATGCCTGGGTAGACTCGTACCCCATCCCTAAAAGGTCCAGGACTTGGTTGGCATAAACCTCTTGGACCTGTTCACAAATCACTCCCTCTACCTTTGATAAGTGATCCATCTGTGTAGCAGTCTATGTTACGACTATAATGACTCCAGACTATAATTATAAACACAAGAGGTGACTACCTGCAAGTGCTTTTTCCTCGAAGGGGTTTTAATCTTTTTATCACTAACGCTTAATAATTGACTGTTAATAGTTGTGAGATTTTCGAGTGATCTATGTTATTGCACTTATGATTCCAGCTGCCCTCGCTAATTAATCCGTAGCAGCTGATTAGTGCTCTGAACTTAACCTCAATGTGAAGAGTTTCGGTATTGGTTATGATTTCAAATGCTAGGGTGGGTGTAGTTGAAAATGCTCCTGTCATCATCAAACAACCTAGCCTTTGAAATGACCTTAATTTATTACTATTCCCTTTGTTTTCTAGACCTTTCCACCATACTAAAGCTGCAAACAAAAATCTAGGTAGAATAATTGCAGTATATATGCCATTTGGCTACCCATTGTTTGATGCCCCATGTTTTACCGACAATTCTCCTACATTGTACCATTGATATAGTGCCTTTCCTGTATATGTTATTAATATGAACTTTCCAGTCAACTCTCAAGTGTCACACCAAGGAATTTGATTGAATCCACTAATTTTAATTCTATGCCCTGAAATTTAGGGTTTTTAAAATTACCTAATGTTCTTTTCCTGCTAAACATTATCAATTCTAGTTTAGTAGGATTAATTGATAAACTTGTCACAACACCACCCATGAAGCAATCCCCTGGTGTTTTCCATCAGTAGTGAAAGAGTCAGGGGATCCCTACCTGTGAGCATTATGGTACCATCATCTGAAAATAATTGACCGTAGAAACCTGAATTATTCAGAAGTTCTATTAAGCTGTTTACTGTAATTAGTCATAAAAGAGGTGCCTCCCTGTGGACAGCCTCCTTTGACATTAATTCTAAGAGTGCTACCACCTAAGCACATATCGATCATCCTTCCCTCCAAATAGTTCTTCATCCATCTAGTAAGGTGATGGTCAACATTGTAATTATCTAATGCTGATATAATGCAAGAAGTATCAGCATTATCAAACGCCCCTTGGATATCAAAGAAGCAACCTAGTGTATATTCATTATTAAATAATGATTTCTCAATCCTGCCTATCAGTGAGTGCAAGGCAGTTGCAACTGATTTTCCTGGTAAATAGGCATGCTGATTGGGAGTATCATTGTATTAATTCCACAATCATGCCTAATATATCTATCTAAAATTTTCTCTATAATTTTTATGAAAATAGGATTTAGGTAATTGATATGAGGCCTTACCTGGTTTGGGTAAGAAAATTACCCTTATTTCCTTCCAGCATTTTGGTATATGTCACATGGGCCACCTATAGACCGGTTGATATGTAAATGCTTCTCTGCCGATACAGCCCACTGACAGGGGGCCCCATTCTTTTAATTTCTTTTAATTTCTTTAAATTCTTTTAATCATATATTTTTTTAAATTAAATTTTTAGCCAGATCATGGTCCAAAGGTTGGCTTACTTTTTATTACATGATAAACAGATAATATTATATAACTGTATTAAAATGCATTAATAATTCAATAAATATAAAAGTATTCGTTATTTTAAAAAGAATAATCTAAGTATTTTACCTAAAACAGAAATTATTTTTTGAATAATTAAATTGAGGCAGTTTATAGCCTATTATTAGCCGTATAAATTAGTTTACTTTTTTATTACCTTTATTTGTCCCAATACTATTTGCAAATGATAATATAAATAATGCATTATTTTAAAATTAAATTAATTTTAAAGGAATTATTGGGTTTGGACGTCCTCCACAAGTTTATGTGGGTTCGACTCATAGCAAGAATGTTTGAGGCCATGGCTGGCAACTTTGCATATTCAGGAGACATCCACTTGTTTTTGAATGTTTTAAATGGGGCCGTCACCTTGCACAGCCAGGACGCAACTATTCTGCGATACGTGATGGCAACTTACATAAATGCAGCGCATAATTTCAAAAATATTTTTTCTATCAATGGGTCAGTAGGGAAATATGAGTTCGTATTATTTATAGTTTACCAAAATATTTTATAGGTACTTGATGATAGTTCCGACCCTTCTTCAATTGTATGCAACACATCAGACAAACAAGCTTGTTACAAGGACAGTCGAGTATGTCGTGAAACAATTCTACTTGATGAACAGAAAGCCCTTTATACTTCAAATGTTCGGCGCCGCATCTGCAATACTAGATATTGATATTGCATCCCAATTTGGAGATGCTCACAAGGTTAATCAATTAAGAATGAAAACTATTTTTATGACTAAATTGAAATTCAAATTGATAAATCTTATTGTAGGTACCTGCACTTTGCCTATTCAGTATTTTATTGAGCTTGGAAACGCCTTCCCCCGATCCGCTTAACATTGGAGAATTAGTCAAAGAAGAAAAACCACTGAAAGCAATAGATTTCTGCTACCACGATGACAATGAAATGGTGACTGTCCTTGACTGTATTGCTCTTTGTGCAATGGTAGTCGCATATTCTGCTGACTCTGTCAGGGCATATCAAATGCTTGTAAGTTCTTAAGTATTACCTTCATATATTGGCCAAACCTTGGCTTAATTTACAATGTTGTTCTTAAAGTAATGCTGTTCTGAATTTAGAAAATGTTAACCAAATCTTAATTCATATCAATAAAGCATATTCAAATATACAGCTTTGTGCAGTATGTCTTTATATTCAAATGTTGTCAAGTGTATAAAAATAAATAAATAATTTTTAGATTATTCTCGAGGCAATAGTTCCTTGCTACCTTCAGCAGATTCAGCTTCCAAGTTACCGCAAAGAAGGGAGGACAGAAAGAGAGATCATCAGCCAAATTGCCGTCGCAATCAACACACTTGTAACAAATTGCGAAGCATTGGCAAAGTCAGTCTCATTGTTAAAATACGATTTCACTTAAAATAAATATAAATTTTTCTACATAAATATTTTAGAAATTATAACGGGCCCCAAAGAACAAGCCCTGACCATAAAAGCTCAAGCCAGCGCAACTACAGCCGTGCACCTTATTCCCCAGGTTTTGAGTATGATGAAGACTCACATGCTAAATACATTGCAGACAGGACCAAAACCAGAACTTATGGTGATAGTGATGACAGTGAGGTTAGAAAGCATTTTTATTAATACTAAACTGTAAGTTACATATAATTTTTATGTTTAAAATTCCACTTCAGGCTGAATTCCGCAGGCCTAGAGATGTCTTGCTCTCACTGGTAACTGAATTTTTTACAAAGAGCACTGCAAGGATAAATGAGCTCAAGAAAAAATTTCCCCAAGAAAGCAAGCCTATTGACATCCTTGAGTTGAGATCTCATATTGTAAGAACTGTCCAATTTTTCAGATTTTCTCTTGTAATACATAAATTTACAGAGATTGGCGGACGTTGCGCATAGTCTTCTGAAAGCTTCACCTTACGACCCAGATACGATGTCTTGCAAAGGGCTTCAGTTATACATGACACATCTCATGCCTTTCACAGATTGGAACAATGAGACGTTACGACCATCACTGACAACCCTGCTACGTCGCCTAGACAAAACATTTACAAAAATATATAAAAAGCCAAGCATTAGGGTATGTTTAAAATTGACTATTTAACATTAAACATCTTAGTAAATACAAAATATTTATTGTTTTAGAGGAGTGTTGATTGGGAAGCTGCAAGTGGTCTTATAAGAGGAATTTATGAAACCTTGTCTCGATTTCCTTTTATTGTCCAAATGCAACATTTAAAAACTCTTGTTAACACATGTCAGGTATTTATTATATCGAGTTATAACTAATATGAGCTTTTATTCATCTTAATTATGTGTTATCAGTCATTGATTGTTGGTGAATCAGCTACAGGATTAGGTGAGAATTTGTCTTCAGCAACTGTGGCTCTTATGAGTCAGGCACCACCTCCTCACTTTTGCGATACTGTCGTCAGACTTATCGCTCTTCAAATTCTAGCAGTGGGGGTAATTTTTGGTTATTTTTATACAGAATATTATATATGTTTGTTGTGAAATATTTTGAAATCATTTGCCAGGAGTCATATACCTTAGAGCAGGTTTGTGGTGGAAGTGTATTTTTCCCTACACACGAAAAGACAGAAAATATGCTTTTAAATCTGTTGATGCCACTTTGCTTAAGAGTTGGAAGTGGTAGAAAGGGTGAGTATTTCTTAAAATGGTTAATAGTCTAGATTAAAAACATTATCTTTTCAGATGTACACATCATGAGAGAACAAGATATTCAATACACACTCAACTCAGTTTTATATGCTATGTACCCTCCGTCTGCTAGATCTCCGATAACAATGCAGAATTTCAAAACTGCTTCTGATTTTCGAACAGGGTCCTTTTCATTCACTAAAACACCTCCGGCTGTGACAAAATCATTGTATAAAGTTTCATTTTTGGGTGAGATTGAAACATTACATAGTATGAAACAAATTGTTAATATTCTAACCTTTTAGCTTTGAAAATCTTAATTGCCTGTTTTGAAAGTGAATTGGAAAAGGATTGGCCTAAGATAGCTAGAACAATCCAGGAAATTTCAAAAGTAACAGACGCCAGACAGTATTTCTGGAACTTTATAGAATTTGTTGTAACCCAAAGACCACCACTTTTTGTTTTACTACATCCTTTTATAAAAATAAAGGTTAGTTAAAGTTAAAAAAAGAGAGAAGGGCCATTTTCATTTTCTTATTTTATAGCTGAACATGACACCCTTGAGTGAAGTAGAGCGCCACATACATTTTGTAGTAAGGGAGCGGATATCCGGAGCTTGCCTTTCAGGACCAAAGTGTCGTGGTGCTTTGCTTACTGACCTCATGCATGAAATGAAATCGCTCAAAGAAGAAATGGACACTAAAAAAACAAGTAATATTTACAGATCTAGTTTAATATATGTATTTGTTTATCATAACCTTTTCGCAGAAGAGCAACACACAACAACAAAATCAGAAACAACCACAACAAATGTGTCGAGTGACCATCCCCACACTACAACTAGGCATAGGCCATCTCTGATCGACCTGCTTACAGGCAACCAAGGCTCACATACACCGATGCATAGAGGTCCTTTTTTCAACCAACTTTCGGTTTCAGTTAATTGGTTAGTTTACTGACAGTGTGTTTAATTATTTTAGAATCAGTCTCTTCTGTACCAGGAGGCAATACACAGGAGCCACCTCCACCCCTTACTAAACACACAAGTAAAACTTATAATATAAAATATACAATCAAATTTGTTTAATACTTGTAACCATGTTTTAATTTTAGGTAGTGATTTTCTTAGCCAAGAAGAGAGCACAAGTGAAGCTGGGAAACCGCTAAGGCCCAGGCTACAAAGATCGAAAGCTCAAAGCAGGAAAACATTCAGGCTGAGAAAGAGTCGAATAGAAGTGAGTATAATTGCATTTATATTTAAACTTAAAATGATTATTTATATGTTTAAGAGCCATCGGTCTGAGCCGACTATATACAATGACGCTCCACCTACACCTACTAGTGTCCAACCTTCCACTGTGACAACCAACACAAATATTCTCAACCAGTCCATCACAAACAACAATATAGGGTATAAACTGCTGTTTGTACTTTTTCCATCAAATCAATTATCAGTAGGAATGTTTGCAGAAGAGGTGAAAACTGTGCCTTGATAGTAACAACCGAGTCATCGTCAGTGATGTCTGTCGCTGTAAACAATATGGCTCAAGCCAACTGCCCAAACACCAGGAGCCAGGTAAATACGAACGCCAGCAATGGAGGAGCCGGTGGTGATGCAGATTTATCTCCTAATATGGCCGATGTAGGCCAAAGCCAACATTTGATGATGGTGTTTGATGAAGATACCCTCATATAGGCGAAAAGATCGCCCATGGATTGGGTGTAAATTTTTTATTATTTTAAAATATTACATCTTTAGTTTTAATTTTTGCTAAAATGTTATATTTTAACATTTTAGAAATATAATTGTTATACCAGCTAACCAGAAAAGTTTGTGTGGTTTTTCATTTGTTATTCTTTTAATAGATTAATGAACATTTCTATTTAAACAGATTATTTGTTTACATCACATAGCGTCACTTCATAAAGAAAAAGTCTCTTGAAGTGAAAATGATAAAGTATTTTATTTCTCAAGGCGTCAAAACCCACAATTCGTGCATGGCCGTCACTCATAAAATTTGCACTGCGTTCTGTGATGAACCAATAAACAAGAACACTGCCCAAAAGTGGTTCAAAAAGTTTAAAAAAGTACTCTAACAAACTCAAAGCACCATCAAATAATCAGTTTTTGCATCAATGAGGCAGGGACATTTAGTGACAGCTAATAGTACGACCTTCTGATGTAACTGCACAGGATCGATTTTTGTCACATGTGACAATCCAGACAAAAAGGTATCTGTCTTATGCCATTAAAGCAATGAAAGACAGATATTTAGAATCTGAAGCTTGTTACCATTAGTCAATTTATGAAGGGCCCATTTGCTGAGCCTCCACGTCTCCCCAAGTCGCAATGTAACCGAGAACAAATGGCTTCATTGTTCAAATTGAACACTCTGACAATCTCTTGACACGTTTCGACTCTAATCAAGTTCGACAGCTTTCCTCAATTGGTTGCCATTCAAAGCACAAGGTCTACTAGGCCATGGTTCATCTTCAATCAATTTTTGGCCAGTGGGATATTTTTTAATTACTAGATATAGAAATGTTGATTAATGGCATTAAAGTAATGATAAATGAAAAAGCGTACAAACTTTTCTGGTTACTTAATAGTTAAGTTTGAAAGCTTTTATACAAGTGTTATGTTATTCATGCTGCTCTCAGCAGTAATAGTTTGCATAATACAATTACTAATACGTACATTTTCTTTTCATCACTTATCACTCTCAATCATTATTTAATTCAAAATCCAATTTTTCTCAATTGGAAAAGTTATTTAAATTTTTAATCAATAAAAATATTAAATGAGAAGAAAAAAATGCGGGTCACTATTTAAAAAAAAGTCTTGAATTTCTTATCAAATGCAAGTTAATTTAATTTTTATATTTATCATTATTATTGTGTTATTATTTGAAATAGTTATTTCATCATTTTGGATAAATCATAAAAATTCCTTGTAATAGCATGATTAAATTACTAACATGACAAAAATGATGTTTACTGTTGAAATGACTGCATAATAATGTAAAAATTCTACTTCAATTGTACCGTTACGACTGCAGATAACGACTACTCCAACTATGTGCCAAACACATAGTATTTCCAGTAACCAAGTTGTAAATAAGTTTTCTGCAAATAGTAACAAAACAAGAAAAAAAATTGTTACCATTTATTAAAGAATAGTGAGACAAAATTAGATCATAATTAAGGCAATTTTTAGAAGCTAGGCAATTATGTAACAGATTAAATAGAAAAAAACAAAAAATAGCATAACTGTTAAATTTTTTAAGATACAAAATATTGCATTCTGAGTAAAATAATTAAACTTTATTTTGAAACAACTCAATTAATGCAGTTTACATGAATAGCAATGCTAAAGAATGAAAAATAAAAGAACTGATTGATTCTTGCTATTAATAAATTGTTAAGCGGGTAATGGAATAGAGGAATCTGAAACTACTTTAATAGATATTTTATTTTAAAATGATTTGTAATTTTTTTAAAGTATATTTGTATTGAGTGATGAATAAACAAGCTATTTACACGTTAGAAGTTTGATTGAAAAATCACTTTAAGGCAAAACAAATCAAAGGACAAAGAAAGTCAACTTGGAAATAATTAAAAAATATACATATATTATACCAATAAATACAATATTTATAATTATATAAGATTAACAGAATAAATAAAATAAGATCTCAAAAATATTTACAACCGTATTCATAATTATGAATAGCTAGTTTTATATTTCTTTATTACCATTTTTATATTGTGGATATTTACAAGTTGTGACCGGACATTTGGGGTCAGTAGCTTATGGAAACGTTCATGGTACTGCAGCAAGTGTCCGAGTGCAAGCTGGAGAAGTGTCGACCCAGTGGGTAGAATAGAAAATGACGTTATTATTTCCTGGTTCAGTAAATCTAAGGAATTTTTCCAGGTATTGCAAAAAGACTGAACCACAGCCCGAGATTTATCTACAAAATTAAAATTATCGTATTATTATTAAAATTATCGTTATTCAGTAGATGAAAATTTTTGAAATTAAAAATAAGGCAGATAAAGTTTTCAATGTTTTGTTTATAATTTTATTATTTTGACATCCTTCCTAAATTTAAACAATTTATTCTAAGACATAATAGCCATTCGGGACAATCTCATTCTACATTACCAAGCTAAGTTGGAATTTAGATCAAAGTACACTAGTTTATGCATCTTCACAGATGAGTAGATGACCATGAGAGTGTGCCCACTTCATGGTGCTCCCACCGCATTTCTCAGCGACATTGTAAGCGATTTGGTACGTGCTTGAGGTGATTCATAGAGGATCTGCATTCTTGTATTGTATCCCTTAGCATGGTTACTGCTGACCATTACAGGTCTTCCGTCGACACTTTGTTATCTTGTTTAAAAGATACCATGAAGGGGGATTAAAAATAGGCCATGCGAGGTTGGCACACAGACACAGACAGAGGGAAAGAAGGTTGCTCAACGTGTCCCACCTAATTGAAGGGTACATTTCCTTCTCTATATAGATAGCATGGCAGAGTGTATCTGCATGTCCTGTTTCGATTCTTCGAGGCAAGATGGTTGTTTTACTGTATATAGTACTGATATAAGTGTTGTTTTGTGTTCCCTAGAGTGAATGTGTATAGTGAGAGGGTCGATGATGGAATATTGAGTACCCATCGATGTTCATTTAGGTTAGTTATATAATAGGTGTAATGGGTGATGGAGGAATGTCGAGTACTCCACCTCCTAACTGAGTGAATGGTAAATAAAAAAGAATGTATTTAAGAGTGAGTGAGAGTCTGAATGGGCTTGGATCTAGGAACTGACCTCATTGGGTCTGAAATGACCTAGCTATTGGTAGACCCTGGAGCCCAACTTCAGCGGCTGGATGTGCAAGACCGACATCTGACCCTTGACTGGAAACACCCAGGGGGTGATTCTTGACGCCTGCATGTAATTTATTGCAAATTACAAATGCTGATTGCCGGTGAACTGCAAGAAGTGGTAGGCTCAATTCTGTACACACGTGTATGTATGTACATGTGTGCACAGATCTGAGTGTATACAAATCAATAATCAGTAATAAAGTGATAATCATAACCATATCAACATAATTATAATTTATTGAATAGTTGTTGAATACTTCATTAATGAAGAACAATGGGCCACAAGAAAAAAAAGTATGAAAAAATATAAAAGTCAAATTCAAAGTTTTTTCTTTTCTATCATGTAAAATATTCTGACATCAAAATCAATAAATCCACTTAAATGGGACACAAAATATGAATCATTATAATTATATTAGTGTAATTTACCTTCATATTTTTTAAGCACTTCAGGGTTGTCCTGATGGGGCTCGACCTCCTTCACAAACTGAATCATGTCACCAAAATGAGGTGATAATACTTCTTCGACGTACTCGTTGCTCCTTTGTTGGAGTAGTTCTTTAATACATTCCACCTCTTTGCAATTCTCTCTCGTTCTTTCCTAAAATCTCAATTTTTATTCTAATTTTCTTACTTTCATTTTTCAACTCACCATAAGAATTCCCAAGATCATGTCATAGTTGTTGATTAGAAAAACAAGCTGCTGGGACCTCAGGTCAAATATTCCTGCCATACTCAGTAAGAAAAGCTGTACTTCCTCTAAGAGCTGGGCGAGGAGCCTGCTCACCAATTCATTTGGAAATGTCTCACTTATGCTGACTATTGCCCCGCTGAATTCGGCATATCTTCGAGCAATCTAATAAAACCCATCATTAATAAATGTACATAAATTTAGAAAGGAAACACTGACATAATGAGGTTTCATTTCCTTTCCAAACTTTGATGTCTCACAATCTTTTATACTTTTGATATTTAATCGGAAAACATGCTCAAACCTAAAAATTAAGAGTTTAAGAATTGTGTAATACTGAAATTAAAATGAGTAAGTCGATTGATGTACCTGGGCCAAATTATGCTCTGAAGCGAGTCCCAATAATCATCCAATGCTGGCACAGCTCTTTTATGACATAACATTTGGTATCTGAGAACTAATTGTACACAAAGGAAAAGAGAAATTGTGTCATAGGATGTGTTGACATACGTCTCCAAATTTTTCTACAAATTATTTACACATATAAAATCTATTTTAAGTGTGCGAAACAAAACTAAAAATATGTTTTTCTAGTTATAAAGTAAAAAAGACTAAAGAATGATAGATAAGATTAAGAAATGAATAATACTGTTTTAGCTCTTTGCCTCTAGTATTTGCTAGTATTCTCTGATGGAGTGAAAATATTTTGTAATGGTAAAACATTCTTTTCCATCTCAATATAGAATACCGATGTTGTTTCAGAGTTCGCCCAAGCTCAGTACAAGAAAAACAAGTCTCACCATTTCTACAGCTGAATTGCTATTTTTTAAATGTACCTCTAATAAACTCATAGTTTTCCCCATTATTCTAGAGAATAAATCCATAGCCTTAGAGCCCTTTACTATGAAGAAGTCACAGATAAACAGAAACTCCCGGCAAGCGTTGTCGACAAGAGCATATTGCTCGCTCCGGAATAGCGCTTCATAAGGGAACCTCTGGTCTGCTTTTTGAGCCGAATGCGGGATAATTATAGGTGCATCGAACTGACTGGTTAGAACCTCGGCACGGTTCCCTATTGTGAACACCGTGCTCTTCTGTTTAAGTGATGACTTGTGAAAAAGACCCCGAGAGCCTGTTTCCTCGATTCCCATTAGGTCATCCTTCGTAGCAGCATTCTCATACTAAAACATTTTTAATGTTCTAATTTTATTCAACACATTTAATATTATGACTTACCACTAATTTACTAAGTAGTGATGAGTATGATTTAAAATATGAGTAATAAATTTTAGACATTGTATCCGTGTACTCCTCACATATTTCTCTAGCAACTTCCCTTTCGTTTGTTAGTACAAACTCATAAAAGAACCTAAACAAAAAATTTTGCCACATGGTATGAATGCAAATAGTTTAATATTTAAATTATTATACATTATTCTGTGCCAACATTGCTAGCAATAATCAGTTGCCCTCGGTGAAGACAAGAATACAAGAGGAAGGAGATAAACTAACACATTTTATCTTTTAAAATTTTTGTTTGAACTTAACTTGAATGAACACATCAGTCCAATTTGATTGAACTTGACAAAAACTTATGTTTATATAGAAAATTTACAAATTAAATTTAAATTATCTTGTCTAATAATTAAGAATGTTCCTGCAGCAATTCATTAAAACATTGTAAGTAGCGATTTGGTAAACAATGTCTTATAATCTGGAAATGAATAGAGCAATTGTTTTAATGAAGGGGCAAAAATATATATCTGTCATAATAGATAATATAAAATATATTTATAAATTTTTTATTTTATAAAAAGTAATTTAAAAAAAATTACTTACTTGTATTTTAGCATAGCATTTTGAGGTATTTGATAATTAGCCATCGGCTTGCGAAACTTGGATATCTGTTCAAGGAGGTATGCTCTTATTTTAGTTACAGCTTTGATTTTGAGATTTTCCAGTGTCTCTCTGACGTCCTGACAACATTTAACATCTTTTCCGCTTTGCTCCTTGACAAAACTGATTTTATGATTAAGGCTCAAAAGGTGTGAGATGAAATCTTTGTCAGTTACTGGATCTTCTAAAATACCGCTGAAAATAATTTAAAAACCTACAATTATTATTGGTTGGTTTTTTTGAAAAATTTATATAGGCTCAATTAGGCCAATATCACAAAATTTAATATATATACAATAATAGGTTTAATAAATAAATTTGTGTAGTAAATCTACAAAGATATAGAATTACACCAGTTTCCTCCAGAAATTGGAATAGGGGACCTAACGATTTGCTTCCTTACTAGAGCACAATTCTTATGTCAGGTGACATTCCTACTCACTCCTTTTATGGAGCTAAGGGATGACACCGTTCAATTATTGGGGAAACATTGAGCAACCTTTCTCTGCATGCCGGGCAGATATGTAGGCTTTGGCCCAAAAGTAAGTGTCCATGTGTCAACCATGTGTAGTCAATTATGAGTCTGGGTTAGGACAAAGCGTCGTCTATGCTTCAGATTCCCCAGAGGCCACCTACCTTTTCCACCTTCACCTTTTCTTTCCATATTCTTAATTTCTTACTTAGTGTCAGCAGGTCAGATTGTGATAGTAAGGTATGGTTTATCTGAGACATTCCAACTCAGCATTATTATTAAATAAGTTTACATAGTTGAATGTATGTATGGAGTGCCGTAGTTTAAGAGTCAGACCCTCAGCTAGTAGATCGCATGATTGTGGGTACGATTCCCACTGTCATCTTTGGATTTTTCTGATGCATAAGGTTATTGGTGGCTGCAATGAAAGTTGACAAGGTATTCATCAAAGGAAGGTTTGGCAGGCCCTTCAAAAATGAGTCTCTTTGATGCAATAACACAACTCACCAAGGGCTCAATTTACACAAGTCTTGTTGTGAGCATCCAAAACGGAACCAGGAAGGAGTATAATACGCTGGAAAGCTGCAGGGCAAAGGGCGAACTCTAGTTCCTGGTATTCATAATCAATAAAAATAAATAAATGTAAGGAACTTGATTATAGTTTCTTTTCATACATCATTTTGCTTTGAATAAGGTGAATGCCTCTAGTTGACAGAATAATGTAAACAAGGTAAGTCGGCAAATTCAATCTGTAACTTCGGGATAAGGAATCATGTTGAGCCAGGCTTGGTCAGGAAGTGGAGCATTGTTAACATGCCATGCCTGGGCGAGGAGATTGGTGGTGATACCAGCTTACGAGCTCAGTCCCCTGTCTTGACCACTCACAGACCTTCCTTACTGCAAGTCTTAACATGTCCCTTATCCAATTGTGATGTATGTGTGTAAAAAATGACAAGTTTATAAAAATATTATTTACATGAAAGTGTTATCTTAAAAAAGATTTATTGAAATACAGTTAAACAACAACTGGACATGTTATAACTACAAATTTGACACACCACTTAATTTGTTTAGTTTAAAAATGAAATTGATTGTCTTTCTACATTAGTTACAGCTATCGCAGTTAAAATAATTTTGGTATACTATGTTAACTTTTGTACTGATTAATCCTATGTGTACAAAAAGAAGTGTTGTGCCCTTCCATTCTGTTACACCTAAAGATCGCTTTCAGTTAATCTTTTATCTTTTTCCTTCGTTGAATTCATTTGATAGGGTTCGCAACAGCAGAGGTTGTATCAACCCTCGGGGTGCCGGTGTTTTTGAAAAAAAGCCCCTTTGTAAGTATGTCGGGTTCGAATCCAGTGGCCTTGCATTCAAACCCAGGACCTTTACCTTACAGTGATGAGCGCCGTGTCAAAGACTAAACCTTGCGGCCACCGACGCCCCCCATTTGATACTATTCTTATTCCTAAACCTTTTTCAATGGCCCCGGCCAGACATCTGATTGAATATGATAGTACCTGGGTCATTACATTATTAGAGGAAGGATACAACCAGCGCGAAGTCGCACAGAGACTGAGTGTAAATCACTCCACAATAGGTTTGGCGGTTCAGAGAAAGATGGCTTCACACTAAAAGGCCAGGACAGGGTCATCGTAGGTCTACGGACAAGAGAGATAAGAGATTCATCCGTCATCAGGCTCTATGAAACTGCAGCATATGGGGAATGAGATAAGAAATTAAGAAATCTGATAAGGCAAATCCAAAATGTTTCAATTTCCTCCAGGACTGCAAGAAGGCTCAATGCAAATAACCACAGGGCCCGGCATCCGGCTCTTGGACATCTTCTTATCATAGCTCAGAAACTGGCCAGGCCTCAATTCACATGGAAACGATTTGGACATTGGAAGATTAGGGACAAGTCTCTTTACAAATGAGGTGAAATTTGGCCCCAAATCTTCAAATGGGCATAATTTCATATGGAGATGCTCAGGAGAAAGGTATGCCCCATGCAGTATGGTTCCTCAGAAGGTCATGTGGTGGGTCATTGACATTCTGGGGTAGCATGTCCTTGGAAGCCCGCAACGAATTGGTTGTTTTGTGAGGAATATCTTTTACTTCACAGGGGTACTGATGATTGACAAGAAATAATCAAACATGTAGGGCCATAGTCCAAATTTGAACCTGATGGGACCAACTCAAGTAACGAGTACGATGGCCAAACCAAGGCCCTAACACTACAAGAGTTGGAAATGACTGTTCTTGATGAATGGGAGAGAATTCCTCAGGATTTTATCAAAAATATTTTCCAAGGAATAGAAAGGTGTTTAATGGACGTGATTCATGCCAGAGTTGAAAATACTATTAAAGGGGACAAAAATGTTTTAAAGATTTTTTTCTTTACTCAATAACTGCTTTTCTCGAATAAGGTAATAAACGTTTTCTTTTTAAATATCTTATTTTTACAACCAAACCTATTTTTGTAATGTAAAATATGAATAAACCTAAATATATTAAAACTTAAGGATGGTGCATTAATTTTGTCCATCAGTTGGCAAAATGGTAAAACATGTCTTTAAGAAAAAACCAGTGAGAATGAGCAGACCTTAATAATTTAGACATTTTGCAGAGAAGTTGGTGTACCAATTCATGTAAAGAAGGCTCAAACAAAAATTGACCTAACTCACATAATTAGAGATTCTGGTATTACGATATCTTCAATAAATTGGCTCAGCTGTCCCCTGACCGCCTGGCGGTTGTGGAGTTGCTGGCGCATTTCTATCGATCGCTTTTGCAGGCTCACTATCTCAGAACTGATGCTGCCAAGGTCTGTTTGAAAGTTGAGAAGCATCGATTCCATCCTCTGCGGACATACCGAAAATAACATTTCGATTAAATTTCATTGCATCTTTCGGCACCGTACAAACCTCGAGTATGTTGTCGCAGTCCACAATCTGATTGTGCAGGCTGACTATGTTTTGGCTCTCTTTGATATAATCTTGAATCGACTTGTTCTCCACCTCTTTCAACTGCTTTTCGATCTGCTTCGAATACTGCCTTAAGTCAGTGCCAGTTTTAAGCACCTCTTGCACCACTTCGTCTTCCAGATAGTTTTCCAGGGCTTCGTCGGTCTGCTTCCCTTCTCTTTTCATCATTTTGGCTCCTCTCGACTTAAATTTTCTATATTTATCTGAATACACACACAACACAGAAAAAATAAATAGATAAGAACATATAAACAGACTGTGTAACAGTGCTGTACGCTTCACGATTGAGGCTACAACCACAGAACCATCTCATTAACCATCTGGACACTGGTTGACCCAAGTTTAAAACATACATCACTTATAACAAAAAATTGCACTACAATATTATTTAATTAATTTTCCAACTTAATATAGCGTTGGGTTGTATATGTTGAGCAATTACTGAATTAGATTCTTATTATTATGAATTTATTTATATTTAAACCAAAGACAAAATTTCAGAAAAAATAATTTTTGTCTTCCTCCTGATTTCCCTTTCCTGCAACAAAACATTATTTTTGAAAAAATACCTTTATCCATAAAAAAAAAATTAAAAAATAAAGAAAGAAAGAAGAAATGATTACGCTCGGTGGTTCCAGTCATTTCCCCGGAGAATAATATTTTTCTGTTTATACACTTTCTTTATGCCAGGATCTCCTCTCACCAGCTTAAACAAATGTTTGAATTAAGATTAATTATACAGAGCAAATTTTGAACGTTGCATTTTAAAGCTTTTAGTCAAACATTCATATCACAGTACTCACTATTTGAACTATAATCTGGTGAACTTGCCTAAGTCGTGTATGTCCTCTCTTCAACTTGTTTAACTCCTATATGCTATCTACCAAACTGAAACAATCCAGTAATTTATAAAAGAATAGCAGTTTTGTCCGGTATACCTCAGGGGTCGTTATTTGACCCATTTCTTTTCAAAGTATATGCTAATGATCTTTCTCCTAGTTTTTACTTAATACTTTAGTTAAGTTCTCCCTCTTTGCTGATAACCTGAATGTCTCAATTGCTATCTTCCGTTTAGCATCTGCAAAAATCTTTAAATAATCTTATAGAGTGGTTTATAATGCAATGACATGGAATTAAATATAAGTAAGAGTAAATTTATAAGTAGTACCTTACAAGACATCCAATTGTACAAGCTGCCATTAAAGACCTTGGCATCACCTGCGCTATTTAACTTTCAATGCACTTCATAATTAATAAGGCTAATCAAATTTTAGAGTTTCATACCTAGAAATACAAAATATTTCAAGGATGCAGAAGCAATGATTGTATTTTAAGACTATTTTATCCATCCCATTTTAGAATACTGTTCAGATGTTTGGTCACCACGTCAGAAAATACTTATACAATAGAAAACATACAGCGATGATTTAGTCACAATCTTTGGTTTAAAACCCTGTTAGGCTTTATGAGGCAGGATTTATCTGTAAACCCTATTGTTGGAAAAATACGCCAAGATAGAGTAACAACCTCAGAAAAATGGTGGTTGTTGTCTGAGTTTGTGGACACATCGACCTAGAGGGTAAAGAATGTGCAGACGAGGTGGTGAAGCTGGGACGTCCCATCCTCCAGACTGGACCATCTGATCAGATCCTTTGATGCTAACCGAGTTGTAGAAGAATGTGATAAAAGAATGATGGCAATTTCAGTCCGAGAGGCTCTTGCATATAAGGAGCACGACCTGTAGATAGCCCCCCAAGAAAATGAGCTGGAAATGTGGAATTGTTACCTGACTGTTACCTTACCTGACTAAGAATAGGTCATATGTGGTTGGCATATGGGCTCCTGCTCTTAGGCCAAAGCCCATGCATGTGCCCCTTATGCAGAGTAAGGTTGCTCAATGTGTTCCACTTAATGCCTCAATGTGCCTTGGCTTCTTAAAGAGAGCGTGTAGGCATGCTACCGGATTTAGGAATGGTTCTTGGGCACAGTAGAATGTTCTGGGCCCCTGTTCCACTTTTTAGAGGAGGTGAGTTTATTATTTTTTTAAAATTGTATTTATGTTTTATGTGTTTTATCTGAGTGCATGTATTTATTATTGTGAGTGGTGTAATATACCATCACCATCACCGCTCAAGCAGTGTGTGTGTGTGAAATTAAAGTACTCCATCGAAATTTAGATTAGCATAATACTAATGTGTGTAGTCAATGGAGGAATATCGAGTACACTCTACTGACTAATCAGAAAGAGTGCAATATACACAGGTGAGAATATATTTATTTGTACTTCTAGTTAGTTTTAGGTTAGAATATAGTTTGGAAGCATTGGGGGTTGAAATGACCTAGCTTTTGACATCCGTGTTAGAACCTAACCCCGTTGGTTGGGAAGGGATGATCTCCTGGGTATTTGGGTATTAAGGGAGATACTAGCAACCCAGCTGCATAATGGGGTGAACTCAGCTGAGGTATGGACTCTAAGGACAGGACATGGGGGAGTGACAACCCTTCTGGGTGAAAGTTGATTTACTATTTGGATTTCCCAAGGGTATAAATAACAATACAAAAGTAAGACGTATTATTTTATTTTGTTCTAGAGGAGTAAATTTTAAAGCTTATATAGAAAATTAAACTGCTCTCTCTGCAAACAAATTCGGATAAAATCTTAGACCTTCTATCGACTCATCACGGCAGATATAACCCAATTTTTCAGTGGTCGCAAGCCTTTCTTTAGCCAGAAGAATAGAAATGTTGGAGGCGTGTGACACTTCTTCTGGACTCAAACTGCCATTCTCCTTGAGCTGTGGAAGATAAAGATGAAAAAAAAAAGATCAAACTTCTTACATGATTTTTTTTTGGAATATACAGGGTGTGCTTAACTTCTGCCCACCTAAACAAAATCTCCAACTTCTTCAATCATTCACCAATTTATTTATTTATCATTTTAACTGATAATAAAGTACTAGTTCATTGTACTAAAAGAAAAAAAATTCAAAACAATTTCTTCAAACAACATCGATTAACAGGATGCTTTCAGTCCAAACTGGGAACAGTGTTAAACTCAACCTGTACTGTACCTGGCTTACCTGAGCTAAAGTGGCCTCAACGACAGATGAATCATTGAGAGACTGTAACTGCAACACCATCACGCCACTATCGAATGTCCGTAGCTTAATGGGGAGGTTGAGCTTCTCTAACGTCTTGCTCGCTCGCAGCATATCCTCGGGTGAAAGCAGCTCAAGGCCCCTAGCCCTGTTCACTCTGCAGAATGCGTCAGCAAGGGACATCATACCGCCTTGCTCCTTTATAGGGCCTTCGAGAATTTCGACGAGCTGCCTCGCCAAATTTTCAATGTAGGAACTCTCACTTGAAAATGTATCTCTTGTCACGGGATCATCGATCCCAAGGCTCAGAAGGTACGATTTGAACTGAATGGTTTCATTTTCAGTAATGTTCCCTTGTTTTTCCTGAAATATTTTACATTTATATTTTCATCATATTTAGTTCAATTTTATCATTTTTAAATAGAATATTACTCTAATTTTTGTTGATATTGTTTTGGAAAGCGTCACCATATCCTTAGCCATATTCATAAGCTTGTTCAAATCTTTAAAAGCTGCTGAAATGCTTTCATCAGTAGCTTTTTGTTTTTCTTGAATCGTCCTCTCAATTCCAACTATGCCTGTTCGTGTTTTTATTTCTGGCTAAACAAAACAAGTTGGATATTTTATTTATTTTGAAAACATTATTTACTATAAACACACACAATATTTTTAATTTTTCTTTGATAATCTTGTCAAGCCATGTCATACTAATTCTCTATTCATGCCAACATTGTTCTTAATTCTCTAAAAATATTTCCAAACAGTAATTATGTTTGCAATAGTTTAAAAAAAAATGTTACTAATGCTCTCATAAACTCTAGATTCTCCAAATTCACTTATTAATTGTTATGATATTCTAATCTTTGTGATGGCCAGAAAGGGAGTGTTTGCAGGGATCGATTTACTCCCAAATTAAAATAAAACCAAAAATATCCTAGAGGAATTAAAGTGAAATAAAAAGAAAGATAAATCACATCCTCAAAAGTTTATTTTGAAAGTTTACGTTATATACTCCTGACCCAACACCTTTAGAATGTACAAGCTAGCCCAAAATTACCCATCATCAAAATTAAATTAGAAACCAAAAATATGGTGGGGGATTCGTACCGAACATCACTTCGGATAATAAGGAAAGTAAGGTGTAATTTCTCATTATATAGGATGCAGGGGGTTTCTACAGTTAAATCTAACATAGTAATGTCAAGCCTTGCTTATAATAGTGTGGTACATTAATATATACAGTAGATTTATACCGTTATCTATGGGGGATACATACCAAGCATCACCACAGATAATGAATGAATGAAAAAGTACTTTATAAGATAAACAAAAGAGAGTAAAAAAATATTGTACATAACCAAAAAGCACATAACAGCAATGGTTAACAACTGTCTGCCGGAGTCGGACTATAAATTTTTAATAAACAAGGAAAACATTTCTTCTTAAGGAATAAGCAAAAGAGAGAGAAAAAAGCTATGTAAGTAAACTAAAAAAATAACATATCTATTTATGCACATATAAATAACCAGGGTGCCTCTGATATATATACAGTAAACATTTAATAAATAAAAAACAAGCATTTTCCTAGTTCCAGGCTTCCATCGCAAACTTTACTAGATTTAAAGACTCTGGGTTATTTAATAAAGAGATTAGGTGCTCTCTTGTCAACGTGGGCAAGCCTATATGCCGTGCTTGGAATTCCGCTAAAACTGGGCATTCTGCTAGAAAATGAAAACAATCTTCTCGAGCCTGCCTGTTGCAGAGAGAGAGCACTTATCGGGAACTATTGACTCTTGTGGGGTTATAATTAAGGTAAAGTAACATGCACCTAATTTTGAAAAACCAGCGAGCTAGCGGAATAGACGGAATTTTAGAAATTTGCGCTATGTTCAAGAAAGGTTGATTGATATGAAGGTCCTTATACAGCAAAACCCTAGAGGAATTTTGAGCATGAAGGAGACATTTTACTGCCACAGATAATGAGAACTGCAGATAATAGGAAACACCTCGAATTTCAGGCTTTGAAGCATTTTCTTCTACCTGCATACCAACAAGACACTTTCTGTATCGCATGTGTGTACTGTCATTGTTATGTATCAACTTATGTACACATATTTCAGCGGTTTTTGTTTTCTATACAAAAATACAATATACACTACCTACTAGATAAAGCTTACTCCCCGGAGGAAAACAATATGTACATCAACAAGTATGCACCTATGCATGACATCGCAACAAATAAGAAAAAATTATTAAGGGCTTAAAAAAGGTAAAATTATAAAAAATGTAAGATAAAAAACTAGGGGGTAACAGTTGATGAGTGAAAGCATGGAAATGTGAGTTTATTGATTTGAAAATGAGCTTCAAATGATTTTTCAGCAATGTTTCTTGTTAAAAACAAAATTAAAAATTTGGCACTGTATTTTAATTACTTATATGGCCAAGAAATGAATCGCGATAAATGGTAAACTTTTTTATTTAACAAATTACCAATTTGGCTTTTGTGGGTGGTGCAGTTGCAAATTGCTGAGGTAGAATTTCCCATTTCTTCAATGCTAATGTGTTCCTGAGCAAGTTCACAAACCTATCCTCGAGCCCATCTTTGAATGACAGTTTGACAAAATTGTATGGGCTCACTTGAACCGGGCCAGATTTCTTGTCTGCAAAAAAAAATTAATTTCCTGCTAAATGATCAATAACGCAGAAAACTTACCGACTCTTGCTGCCGAGAGATGTAGAACTAGCTTGCTCGATCTTGTGAAAGCGAATGCACTGGGGATCTCCTCTTCGATAAAGACGACATAGTAAAGAGGAAGCGACAGGCACATCAACCCTTGATCTATGGTGCCCGGTGATGCCCACCAAATCCTGTGAGTGGTCAAAACCAGCTCGCCTCCTTCATGTGAAGTCTTTTGTGGAAAAAGCAAAGAGAATGATCAGTTTTTACGGATAACGTAATGAAATACCTTCTGATCGCCATCGTATAGCTTAATGTTCCTAGCCCTGGTCACATGGTCCTCGTTGTATTCCAGTACGGGTATGGTATATTCGAATCTGTCCATCGGCGAAGCTGCACTCGACCTCTGTTGAGGTCATAGCTTTTCAAACATCACAACAAACTAGTGTCAAAACTAAAAGTGTCAGGTTTCATCCTTGTTTCTGCAAAGTGAGTCGGCTGATGTGAAGCCTTCTGCAGTCATTCCTCCTATCAGCCACAACTTTGTTTACGTTATGTAAAGTTTCCAAATTCCAATACCGGTTCCGTGATAAGGGGGTAGTTTTGGATTTTCAACATTTTTAATCCTCTTCGCCTCACTATAGCTTTATACAAATGAAATTACATTTAGAATGCCAATTGTTCTTTTTGGCCATCAGCAGTTTCTCTTGGAGTTCATCCGTCGACGTGAAGTTGGAGGACATCGAAGTTGAAGGTCCCGGTTTAACTCCCGATCTCATCGTTCTGCCCGTCCGCTATTTCTTCATCTACTTAAGAGGGCGGAATTACACTGGGTAAGTGACATTGTTGGTGACCAGGAGATCAAAGACCCTCCACCGGCAGAGAGAGGGTCTTACGAAAGAATAACTGAATTGGGCAAATCAGGGATTCAGTGATTTACATGCATATGAAGTAGAAAATTTCAGTGAACATCAGAGGAGTGATAGGACTGGTCACTGGCATCGAGATAACATCTTCATAACATGGGCATATGTAACGATGATTCATTTGCAAATTATGTAATGCGGAGGAAGAAACAGCCACCCATTTCATCTCTGAATGCGAAGCAACGCCTCATTAGAGACATAACCTACATAACCTAGCATATAGAAGAAACCTAGGAATAGAAATTGTAGCAGCAACAGTCGATGACCTAATACTTCTTAGAAGAAGGATTGGATCGATTGCACTGAACTAGGGGACTAGGGAGGTGCAATAAGTCGTAAGGCTGCAGTGTCTGAGGAGCTTACTGCTTCCAAGTATCCTCATCACCATCATGAAGCACTCACTAACGGAGAATTAAATCAAATCAAAGCCAAAAGAGGATGAAGAAGAGGATAAAATAGAAGCAAAACATGAATAGACAATACAAAATTTTGGAAAAATAGATCAAAAGTTGAAAGACAAAATCATATTATGTGATCCAATAATTTAACATGACTGCTAACTCAAGCAATGGACCTTCTCCAACAAAATTTCCAGCAGTTGAAAAACAGGACAAAGCCTCCTGTAATAATGTTCTTTGGTGGTCACAACGCTTGCTTGCAAAAATCACCCACTTTGGTATTTTGGTCACCTGGGGTCCGAAACTAGTCTTATTATGCTCCAAAGTTATGCTCAAGGTGCTATCAACAACATGGTCATTTCAATTTCCAACACCTGCAGTTTATTTATTGCATGCATGCAGTTATTTACATACCTTTCCTCAAGTAGACTGATGGAGTACTACTTCATCACTCTTTATCATGCAAATAAACAACTATATATCCAATACCTAGTGTAATTGAGGTTTGATGGGTGAGATTTGATAACATTACGGTTAAGATATTGACAAAGTGCTCATTACTGTAAGGTAAAGGTCCTGGGTTGCAAAGTAGAACCACAGAGCCGCTGGATACTACCTGACATACCTACCAATGGGCTTTTTCTCAAAAATACTCACACCCCGAGGGTGGGGCTTTGGTGATTCATCACAATTTACTTCTAACTGTGCAATTTAATATATCTTCTTTATAAATTTTAACTTTTTTAGGTCCAAATATTTTTTTCTCATTTATTTCATTGTCATGCATAGGTGCACACCTGTTGATTTGTAGTGGGAGGTCATGGAATCAGTGACACCAACGACCTGACTCTGGCATGGGTCCCTGGGCATTCAGGGCATAAAGGCAATGAAAAGGTTGACATGTTGGAGCCAACATGGACTCTAGGTCCCGAACCCTAGTGTGGTCTAGCATCTTGCCCCCAAAGAGGATATATATTATAATGGATCCTTAATGAGTCCATAGTTTGATGGAATAACACTCAACGCATGAGGCGTGCAAATTTTTTAAATTAATTAATAATAAATTAATAATTAATTTTTTATTTTTAAAAATTGTTATTCTCCTTAGTCAGATTTCTGCTTTTAGTCTATTCCAGTGATTTCTAAACTGTGCGCCTCGAAAATGTTCTATAAAAATTATTATTATTTTTACATTTATAAAAAACCTAAAACCTAAACTTCCTTTATAAAACCGTAAAATCTTAGACTCCTAAGTGTTTTCAATTATTTCATTAAAAAAAAAAAATCTCTTTTATGTTTCCTATTAAGTGGCTTTTCAAAAGGCAAGTTTTTCGATTTCATAAGAAAGTCAGGCGTTTTGATTATTTAGTAAATAAATTTGCAACCAAATTATAGGTTTAGATACATCAATGCTTTTCTGAATTGGAAATGAATTACTACTACTATTAGTACTTACTACTTACTGCAGTTTTCGCCCAGATAGACCATTGTTTTGACTTGGGGCGCAGCAAAAAATCCTGATATATTATGGGCGCTGGAGACTGAAAAGTTGGGGAACCGCTGGTCTATTCAAACAGATATACATTTTTTAGTTCTTTGACTGCTAAAAGAAAATCGGCCGATGTAAGATTGTATTATGAAACACAAATTAAAATGAGTGATCATAATTACATAATTATGAAAATTGTATGGTAAACGGTGTATATGCCTCGACATAGTTAAACTAAACATTTAGAGAAAAACAGGGATTAAGCTGCCGAGGGAAAGAAGCTTTGTTTGTTGGAATTTCGTAGAAATTACCCATTCGCTCAAAGTACGTTCCCGACGGTCAGTATTCTTCCCTATAGTTAAGTTTAAGAAGGTACGTGCTTTCCAGGCAAGAAAAGAGCTGGGGAAACCGCCAAATAGTGCTCCTCCAGCGTGAAAACAAAAGGGCTCACATTTCAAGTCAGCCCACATCAAATATCATTGAACTGGAAGTTGTACTTTGCTCTCACCCCCTGATATTGCCGAGCCGGTTATCCACTTACCGTGGTTCATATCTTATTCTACCCAAGGATTAACAAGAGCGATTAAAGCCTAAATGTAATAAGTTTCTAAAGACACACAAACCGACAAAAAAAATGTGACTAGGGCGATGATTATTTATTTGTTTATTTGTTTAAAAGAGAGAAATCCTTCTCAGGTATCTAGGGAATTTACGGATAATCGACATATTTTTCTAAACTGAAGAATATAGATTTTTTATATCTACATTTAGTTTTTTTAAGAGCTACTTTAGAAACTATTAATGGATCTATAAAAACTTTTGTCTGGCTGTTAATTTATACCCTTCAATAAAATTTAATTTCTTTCAATTTTATAATAGTGACCAGTCTCATAGCCGGTAGATATATTATTGAATTGCGACTTTTGTGAGAATAATCCAGGATTTTGAAGTTAATCTGCGGCTAAATTTTCTCCTTTGTGTAGGTCTGTGTAGGTGCAGATTTGTGCAACTAGGAGAGGAAAAGCCGCAAGCAAGATCCTACACTAAGGAGCAAGATTAACAGCCTGAAGTTGGCTAGTGAATTATAAAAAAACAAAAGCACAATAGATCTACTCATTAAGGCGCAGAAGGCTTTGTGGCCACTTGTTTTATCCCTATTCCTACCCTTATAGGTGCATATCTGTTGATTTATATATGTATATATTGTTTTCCTGTGTGGAATAAACTTTATGTATGTTACCGTACATTGTATTTCTCTTATTGAAAAAGAAAAAATGTCTATGTCTACATAAGTTCATATATAATATTGATGATAGACACATGTAATACAGAAAGTGTCTGATTGGTATGCAAATAGAAGAAAATGCTTGGAAGCCTGAAATTCAAGGTGTTTCTTACTATCTGCGGTCTACTGATATAATGTAACCAGACTATTGCAAGCAATGATGTTCTGATGGTATCTCATTACTATATTTTCAAGAATTTATTTTGAAATTGCATAATGTAGTCATAGCATCCTGATTACTTTAATATGTAATGAATGTTGGTCCTGAGGGTAAAAATAAATTATGTAAGTTATTTTCTAAGTATACTGTTATATAGGGACCCAACAGCCTACGAAATACTTTCAAAACGTGATTGCTCAATGTTCTCAATACTATGCACCAAGTTATCACATTTTGATAATTGAAAGATCTAATCTTTGGGTTAGCCCCAATTTAAAGTTAACCAAATATATGTTTCAAATTTGACATATTTGCAATATATCTGAGAAGCTGGATTTTTATTTTGGCTTAAATCCATTTTATATATAAAGTGTGAATGCTTTACATTCAGTTTGCTGGTTTGTTTGGTTTGTTAGCCAATTTTGGGGGAGTTGTATGGGTGATTTAATTGTTTATTTGTGGTGGGAGATTTGTTTTACAAGTTATTGCAATATGTGGTAGGCTTTTCTTACTTCTCTCGTGATGAAATCATTTGAGATTATTTAGAAATTGTGAGATGCGGTCTGGTGTGATGTAGGTTTCAGAAAAACTTTTCTTTATTGTGCCAACGTTTCGGTCTTTATTGAGATCATCTTCAGAGCTTGGGATTTACAAACATTGTTTACATTTAACAAATACATGAAGGATGTGGAAAAAAGTGAATTTATACAATGCAAAATATATTTTTTATATGTAATCAAAGTATTTCTACTCAACTCAAAGTGTTTGTCTTCTGTGTAATTGTGCCATTCTTGCGTGGCACATGACAGCTAGACTAGCTTTTGTAATGCTTTAGTCGTCCCCTGTTCTGATGTTTTGAGTAAATGGTTTTGAGTAATTGGCTTTGACTTTTATTGTATGTCATACTGATATTCATTTTGTGAATATTGAGAGTCAATGTTAATAGTGTCAATTAGAGTAAATGTGTAATGTGTAAAATGTAAATGTGGTAGGTTCAAAGATGCATTGAATATTCGACCACTCTACTTTGAGTGAATGGTATGTTAATAGGAAAAAATTTAAAAATGATTGTGGGTGCGTCTAAGTTTAAAAATTGCATTCAAATGTGGGTTGAAATGACCTAGGTGTTGACAGCCGCTGGAGCTTAACTTTGGTGGTGGGACAGATAAGCACAAGGTTTGAGACTGGACTGCCAAAATCCAAAATGGGTGAGAAGTGATCAGCTCAATTCTGTGTTGTTTCAGCAGGTATTTGTGGTATCTTTGGCTACTGAATAATGTACAGGCCTAATACCAATATAATTAATTTTGGATGCAATAAATATTTTCTTATCTTTCTTAATAATCAAATTATTATATGCTCTAGATGTTGTTGCCCTGAGGATTAATAATATTCAATAATAGCAATTATTTGGTAAAGAGTGTACAACTTGAAAATTAATTATATGACTGAAGTTGTGTTTAGGTTAGCTTTGAAGGCTTTTTCTTTAAACCATTTTTATTGTAATATGAAAAACGGTATAGTATTGACTATGTAATAAAATTATTATCTGTTTGCAGTGATGAGGTGGTAGATGTTAAAGATGTCGAAGTGACAATAAAGGGGGAGCATAAGGAGAGAAACTGCCGAGTTATGACCAGCATGCTGGATCGTAGAGATAGTTCATTCATCGTACGATATAAATTATACGAGACTTGCAAAAACTTACATATCAGTATACAGTACAAATCTAAACATGTGGCAGGCTCACCTTATTTCGTTAAAGGTAGGTCTTGGCAGCTGATGTCAGTTAGTATATTTGTCGTGTTGGGATGTGGCTGATGACATTAGATGCCACATGATTGAGATATATTAAGATTTGAGTTTTAATTTTGATTATCTGTTTAAGGTACGGTTCTTCACGATGACTGCTTTTGCCCTGAGCCATTTATAACAACAATGCTTGAAAATTACGGTTGCAAACAATTTAATCAAATTCATTATGACCTAAGCAGATTCAAGAGTTTTTCGTTTGACAAAAATTTTGACATATTGGTTAAACGGTTTAAAAACTCCCATTTAACTAGTGTGTGCCATTATGTTGTTAAAAACAATGAGGTAATGTACAATACAAATAAATTGTGCAATTTTTCTCTGAATAAGTGATTTAGGTTTACAGGAATTGTTATGGTGAGCATGTAGGCTTTCGAATGTTTATGGACACTTTATTGTTATCCCTGACCCGGAAAGTGGAACTTCCGGACATGGAGTTCTTCTCCAACCTTGGTGACTGGCCATTAGAGAAGTTGTCAAACAAAGTGGTGTTTCCAATGTTTTCCTGGTGTGGTTCAAAAGAAACGGCTGACATTGTAATGCCAACTTATGATATTATGGAATCATCTTTGACCATGGGAAGGTTGGTATTGTTTTAAAAATTGTTCTTTTATTAATGTAAAATAATGAAATAAACAACGGATTGCAAATTGGAATTATTTAGAGTGACCCTAGACATGCTGTCAGTGCAGGGAAACATAGAAAAAACCTGGAAAGAAAAAGAGGAAAAAGCATTCTGGCGTGGGAGAGATGCAAGTAGGGAAAGGCTCAAATTGATAGATATTTCAAGAAGTCACCCAGATCTTTTTAACGCTTCATTGACAAACTTCTTTTTCTTTAAAGATGAAGAAAAATTTTATGGACCTAAAGCTAAACATGTATCATTTTTTAAATTTTTTGATGTAAGTGGTTGCAGTTTAAAGATTTAATTTAAAAAATTGAAACGTATAATTTAAACAATAATAATTGTTTTTATTTCAGTACAAATATCAAATCAATTTAGATGGAACAGTAGCAGCCTATCGGTTTCCATACCTGTTGGCTGGTGATTCCTTGGTACTCAAGCAAAATTCACCTTATTATGAACATTTTTACAGTGAGCTCGAACCATGGGTTCACTACGTTCCTGTTAAGAGAGATCTGAGTGATCTGGTCGAAAAGATTAAATGGGCGAAAGAGAACGATGACAAAGCAAAAGCTATCTCGCAAGCTGGGCGGAGGTTTGCAGTTGAAAATCTCCTACCCCAGGACATTCTATGCTATCATGTACAACTATTTTATGTACGTTAAAAATCTGTTATTATACATTTCAGTTCATTCAAACTCTACGTAAATTATTTCAGGAATGGAGCAAACGATTACTGTCGAAAGTAGAAATTAAAAAAGGTATGGAGCGTGTTCAACAGAGTATTGATAAAGGTTGCTGTCATAGATTAAAAAAGGACGAATTGTGAGTATTGACATGCAATGTACAAGTAGCTGATATTATTGAGAATAAGTCTGTGCATATCTTATATAAAATGAAAATTACAATGTTAAGGTTAATTTTTATCAAATTCCTATTTAAAAATATAAGTATTCTAGTTATGTGGCTTAAGTAGTTTGTATGTAGGTAGTGAAATTAATTTTATTCATTAAATATTTATCAATAATGAAATGTTATCACTTAAACTAGTTGGTTGTATATTTATATGTGGTAGTTGTTATGTTTTTGTATTTGATATTGTCATTATTTGACCATTAGTTTTTATAATTTGTGCCATGTTTTCAATGTATTTCTTCCTAACTAACGGTTATATTGCTTAGAATGTTAAAAAATAAATAAAACATTAATTTTTCAACACATTAAATAAAATATATTTTTTGAAATATATGCTGATGTTCATTTTTCCTTTTAATATTACCTTAATGATTTATAAGTCATCATAAGTAGTATATAATTTATCAGGTAGATGAGCAAAGTTTGCTGAGCTTTGTTCAAGAATGTTTTTGTTGGATATCAAATGTTAAAAAATGTAAATGATATCAAATGTTTGTTTACACAAAAAAATTATTTATTTACAACTGCTCTTTAAATATGCAACAAGGAAAAATATTGAAACAATGATTATATTGTGTGAATGTGCACACAAGGTATGTATGTATACACAGACACACAAAAGGATGTGTAAGGCGATTATCCAACTCAGTTAACCAACGTGACGATCATTTGGCGACTATCCTTTGTCAATGTTAGGCAATTAAGTTTCTTTGATAATTACCAGAAAAATATCTAAACCAGTTAATAGTTAAAATTTAATTCAATTAATTAAGGTTTTAAGTTGAGATAAAAAAGTCAGTGTCACGAGCGGGATTCGAACCCACGATCTTCGGCTAAATACGCCTCTGCTCTACCACTTGAGCTACCGTGACTTCGATCCCCTCGGACACTAATTTCCCATCTCAACCCCACCTTTTGAATTTTCCCTCCTTTTTGCCATTTTTCAAATGTCGTGTAATTGGATTCAGAGAGGATCGAAGTCACGATAGCTCAAGTAGAGTAGGGGCGTATCAAGCCGAAGGTCGTGGGTTCGAATCCCACTCATGACACTGACTTTTTTATCTCAACTTAAAACCTTAATTAATTGAATGTTATTAATTGGTCAAGCAGACCACAAAAAATAGTGAAGTTAAAATTTAAACTCATTACTATGTTAGATCTTAAAAATTGATAATTGAAGAAGATTATTTGAATAAAAAAGCTTACATTTGGGTCGTAAGGTGATTTAATGAATAACAAACTTTTTAATATGTTTTTATTAACTTTACATATAAAGCGTGTTGTTTCAACATTTCCCACAAGCTCAATGCGACATGCTTTGGCTATGCAAAATTTATACTTATAACAAAACCATTTTTTTTTTAATTTCTTCAATTTCATTCTTTAAAAATATATCTTTATATAATATTTGTATTATAATATAACATGTATCAACGTTTGGCACAAAATTGGTATGCTGAACATATTGCCCCACCTAAATTAAACTGTGAAGCATTTTCTAACTTAGCTAGCTTTGTGATTTTTATTAAACACTATAATATTTATCCTAACTCATTATGGTACTTCCTTGGCCATAGATAGACCTTGAATAGGGAAGATCGGTTTTTAATTTTTTTTTCTCATGTGGCAAGGTATGAAATAGCCTATTTATATAAACGTGACAAGGAGTCTTTTAAAATGTGTTTCAACTTTAGATTTGTTTAAATTTTTAAAACGTGAATCGTTTGTATTAAAAAATATATTTTTAGTCAAGACGTAGACTTAGTCATTGGTACTTATCCAAAGAGAGGAAACTTCCATCTGAACTAGTACGAATAAAAAATTTCATTCCATGACATAAGTTGTACTTGAAAGGCTTAATGATTTATGAAAAATCTCCAGCGGTCTGCCTGAGCCCTCATTTAAACATACTGTGGTGTCAGAATTGTACTTTTAGTCCCTGAAGAATAATCGTAATACCTAGATAAATAAATGAATTTTGACTAATATTCACCTAAATGGAGGCCGCTGGACAAGTTTCTTTTTTTACAGAGGCAATAAGGCAATGATATGCTGTTGGGTTTCCATTTATACAAAATTCAGATTTAAAGAAAAGCAGGCTTCAAACATCTAATTGTAAAAGAAAAATTACAGCCAGTTTTTATACTTTGAATATACTGACTTACTTGTAACCACTATGATTCAAAACGTTTGACCCTGTAAATAGTGTACATTACTTTATATATTGTTATTTGTGTTATACAAAGTTGATGTGATTACAAAGTTTGTGTTATGAGATTAAATTTTTATCTATCTGAAATGTAAATTTGTCAAAAAATGTCTTTACTTGGCAAAGTAGTTCTAGATGAGAAGCCTCTAGATATTATTTCTAATAATTAAAGAATTTTCTTTTTCCTCAGTACTCTCAAAGTATAAATTTGTATTAAAAAAAAAAAAATTACGAAAACCCATGTTTTATTATTAATTTTATTATACATTGTTTCTATAATGTAGTATCCTTGAAACACCATTTTTATAAAATTATTACAGTAGAAAAGAATAATTATCTTCAAAAATAGATTATAGGATTTTTGCAATATAAATGCTTCTCACTGTACCTAAATTCTGGATTCACTTTGTTGTCATTCTTAAAACCATTAAATGGTGTTTCCAGTATGGTCTTTCCCTTTATATTTGAGCCACCATTATTTTTACCATCATTCTTTCCCTTAAGTTTATCAGTACAAAATATAACATACAATATACAGAACAGTAAAAATATAACAATTCAACATCTTACAAATTAACAATGCACGCAGAAGATTTATTCAACTTTAACCTCCTTGCACAATTTCAAGTGTATAAATACTTTGAAACGAAAATAAAATTAAAAAGGCCACACAATTCTGATAAGATGAGGTTGGTTTTATGCCTCAAGGAAGATTAGAGCTGTAGGCTTTGGCTCCAAGTTGGATTTTTTCGCTTCAACGACGAGGAACTCTATGTGTGGTTTGTCTCGTTGAGCAAACGATTCTGCAATAAGTCTTGCTACCTCTTGGTGATGCATCCCTGAGAGTAAGAAAATTACTTAATTTTTAAAAACAGCAATATTTAATCAAATATGAATAATCGTAAAAATAAAATAAAAAATGCGTACCCTCTACTTTATGCCCATCAACTTCCAAAATAAGTTGTCCGACTTGCAGACCTCCAGCATCATATGCTGCACCATTTTCCTAAAATTATAAAATTTATTTATTTGTCAAGTTACCAATTTGATCAACAAATCATACATTTATATTGATTATTCTCGGCAAGGGGTGCCTTGTATTTGCACCTCCTTCGATAGCAATTCCCAGTAGGGGTTTTGTTTTCTTAACAATTATCCTCAGATTTCCAGCTTCATCGGGGATTACCTGCAGATCAAATTGAGCTTGAGACTATCTACTACAAGGCAAAAAACAAAATTAAATTAAAATTTACCTGTGCTTGCTGTTGGTCATTTTGAGAATGCACTAAATTAGAGGAATCATCTCGCTCCTGTGAGTTCAGCTGGTCATCACCAGATCTGCCAAAATCCTATACACATATAGCTTAAAAGCATTGGCTCTAAGTAGTCATTTTTTGTTCTTCTAAGCTTAACAATAGCTATTAGTTTTTTTGAGTAGAAACCAAAACAACAACTTCATTTGCTTAGTGCTTTATGTGCTTTTATATTATAAAGAGAAAATATTTTAAGAATAAAAGTAACTAGAAACGTGCATATAAATTAAAAGAAAACAAATATTGAGAAAAAATGTTAAAAAATTTCAGAAGGTATTAAAATTGTTCGTCACTATTTTTGAAAGTTGTACACCTCATTTGCTTTAAAGTAACCGAAGTGCATAAATATCAATAGATATTTTTGTCAACATTGGTACCAAGTTAAGAAACCTAATGAAAGCTAATGAGTTTTGGTGTTATTTTGAAGAAATCTCTTCTTTGGTATTCCTTTATTGCATCGCATAAAAATCCATTAATATATTTTCTTTTATAATCATTGAACACATGCATTTTGTATAACATGACAGCATATTTGTGTTAAATTTATTGTTTAAAGTGTTACATGTATCGACTACTAGATATATAAAACCAATGCCCATTTTTACTCTATCTTGGTATGGTCTGAATGAAAAAAAAAAAAAAAAAATCAACTTTATTTCCAAGCTTTTGACCTATTTTGTCATAACCAGAGCGAAACAGTCTTAAAGATGCCAATTTGTCTTTAATCTTTAAGATAATTTTGCCCTGATGATGACTTTAAAATAGGTCGAAAGCTTGAAAGACAATTGAATTTTTTTTCATCCAGACCGTACAAAGATCAAGATTATCCATAAATTTATTGTGTTGTATATTCCCAAAGCCTATATAAAGCTTCACACTTTTCACACCAAAGCAAATAAAAAAAGCAGTATAACAAATTTTTTATGGACAAAAGTGATTCAACTCTCTCAATTGAAGGATTTTTATATTACAAAATTATAATTATATAAATATAAACATAAACATGTTTTCAAAGCATTGCCAAACCCACAATGAAGTTATGGTGCATAATTAGTAATTTTTTAGTTTATAAGTTATGTTATGACACAATATCATCAATTATTGGTATTTTATTTAAAAAATTTTTTTTCTTTTCGAAATAGAAACACATGATAAATTATGCACAAATCTTAAGTTAAGAATACAATTACGTTAAATTTATTTAAAAAATTAATTGAACTAATTCTTGTTGCTTTTATCCAATGCATTGAAAATCTTTATTCCCTCATTTAAAATTCTTAGTGGATTTTTTTTTTAAAGTTCATTTCCTCATTGTGCTGTGTTGTGAAAATTGTAGCTTATAAAACCATGCCCATTAGTTTATTATTTATTGATTCATGAGCACCTTTTACTTACATATATAATTTTTTTGCAAATGAGGCGTGAAAAGTTAGATATTTATCAAACCACAGTGTGAACCCCCCCTGACAGTCAAAAAATGTTTTAGTTTTACAAACGTGTCTTTTGTGTGTAGAACGCTTACAATATAAATGAAGGTGTTGTTTTGTGTATTGTACATTTTTGCTAACGTGGAGTATATCTACACTCTAAACTAAATTTGAGTGCTGTCGCATGCGGTCTACTCTACAGATGTGAAATACTGTAGTAAGGTATGGCATACGACATGCTTGGCTATCATGCAAATCTAAAGAGAGATTCCAATGTGAAACTATTGTGGGGGATGAAACGGACTTACTACTAAAGGGTTGCCCCAATACCAGGACTTCACTCTCTGCGTCCAACCTCCTAGCTGAGACTTGAGACCGCCTAAGTATCCACACTGAAACCAATTTTACCCAAACTGCTACTACTGATGCACACTTTGATTTTGAAAAACAAATTCTAAATATTCCATCGAGGGGTTTCTGAGTGTGTTTCAATTACTAATGTGAAAAAAGAAAAATTAGATTATATAAATATAAAAATATCAAGCAAAATGAAAAGAAGATTTTGATTTTATAAATGTAAATATTAATTTTGCTTAATAAAGTTAAAAAACAAAAACATAAAAACAACCAATTATTCAACAAAGTAAAGAATACAAATCAGACCTTTGGAAATTAAGTTTAAAAAAAATTAAATCAATTCTACATTTTATTTTACCTTTCAATTGGCTATGACTCATAACTTTGTAACATTTTAGGTCAAAAGAGCATGGAATTGGATCCATTTTCTTCTGTAGGTTGAAGCTAATAAATAAATTTTTATCCTGTTATGTTAATATTAGCAGTGGAGAAGGGGAAGGCATTGACCTCTTGTGTTATGGCCGAGCCACAACAAAGTTCCAGTGTGACAAAGAAAGGTGAGTGTCAATTCTATTCAAATAGTGAAACTTGTTCAATATTTCTGTTTTAATCGATCAATTTTGAAACAAAGAATATTAAACGGACAAAGGCAATCAACTTAAAAAAAAGAAAGAGCCATGAACTTGAAATTCAAAACATGACCTACTTTTTCCCTCCCAAAACGTTATGATTAAAATTTGATTCAAGGAGAAAAACTGGAGGAAATCGGCCGGCTGCAAATACCAAGGGCCAAATTGAAGAGTGGGAACAGTGTCGTCGAAGATATGCTATCGGAAGAGAGAACTAATCGCAACCTACATTTGGACACCTCGGATTTTTCAAAATCCTACCGCATCTACACTCACAAGTGAATGCCGGCTAGCCGGGCAGGGTCCAGGGAGTGAAAAAAAACATCAGCCAGACTTATTTACTACAGTACTGCACATCGCAGGTCACTGCACGCCTTGCAACACCTAGAGCTAAATCCGTTATCTGCAGTACGATATGCTTCTACAGACACTCAAGCACTCTATTAATTTGTTTTACCACTGAAATCTAAACTACATTTCTTTGTAACCATTTAACCATAATGTGAACTTTTTTAACTAGAACCCAAAAGAAGTTAAGTAAAAAGTATATAGTATAAAAAAAGAACTAATAATGTCTATATTTAAAATTTAACTTACAATTACATTTATAATTGAATCTCCTGACTGCAGTAACTAATTAATTACACATGGTAGTGACTACATCTATAGTTTTAAATATAACTAAACTAATTAAATTTACAAAATTATATTTTTATTTTCATTATTATTTATAGTCAGAGTTTTTACTTTGTTTATTGTTACTTTTCCTCAAGAAGGCAATAGCTGGTGACTAGCGAATTTACAAACTCAAAATTTATGTTATCTCACTATTTGTATATAACAGTTATATTTTATAATAACAACTATTAATGCTGCAAAATAAACACAGTTTTGATAAACTTACTTTTTAATTTATGTAAGATTGCCTTCTCAAAGCAAGAGTAATTATATTGTTTAAGTAATGTAACGTACTTACCATATTGGCATCATAGTTATTATTATCATGACCCTGAGAACCTCCAGTATCCTGGAAAAAAAGCATTTTTTTAAATACAAACATTTTCCAATAAAAAAAGAAATCAAAATATTTTTATAGACAATAAACGCTTTTATTAACTATCTACACATTTAACTGCAATTAACAGTGTATTAAGGAAAATGCAGGTGTTTTACATAGGCATTATTAAAAAAAAAAATTAAGCAGTTATACTTGAAACGACATCTATAGACTAAAAATCAATTTTTTACAATGTTCCCAGTGCATTAAAGGTACGATGTTTCTTCTAATTTTAATAAAAATTAAAATTTGGATAATTTAACTAGACGCAATTTTTCCAAGTTTTAATTATAGCAATTACTCTGCAAAGTAATTTTTATCATTGGCTGTTTCAAACTGGGAAATTTTTACATTATAGGCCACAAATGCTGTACAAGAATTTAAAACTTAAATTATATTTTTTTAAATCATGAAGCACAGAAGCAAATGCAAATAGAACTTAGTAGCGATCAGCTTGCCTTTTTTAAAACTTTTTTCTATGGCAGCCTGAAACGCTAGGTGCATATGCAACAACCATCAAGCATATTTACAACACTCTTTAGAGCGATAAATAATCAATTACTATGTCAATTTTGAAAATTCTCAATGAGTGTTACTTTAAAAAATTATAAAGCTTTAAATTTGTACGAAAGTGTTTTCACTATTGATCACTTTTATTTGTATTCTTAAAAAAAAATTATGATATGATGGTAATCAAGAACATAGTCTGTCTAACAACAATAGTTATGGGAAAAACAATAAATAGAAAGTTGATAGTGCGTGTAGGACTGCGAGTCAGTGAACATATGTTAATCCACCATTGGATCACTTAATGTGCCCGTCTCCACTCGAGAGTGTAAGCAGTTCCTCACTGAAGATGGCACAATGCTTGAAACCCACCAAATTTGGTGGACCCAGTAAGTTTGTTTCAAACAGCAAGTTTGTCTAATACTAATAAAACTGAAGAAAATATACTAATGCCATGTAGAAAAGAAAAGTATTGTCATTTATAAATGAGTGGCTTGAATTGACAAAAAAATAGAAAAATTTTAATAAATTTTGTCATGTCAATTAATGTATGTTTTGAAAGTGTTTCATACTATTGTTTCATATGTGTTATTCATTCAACCATGTTTTTCCTTAACTGCCGTGAAAAAGGTGCAAAATTATTCATAAAACAAACTTAATAATGTGAACACTAAATATTCTATTGCTATAATTTAGCTATTAATTGTTTAATTATTTTTGTATAAGTCCTACATTTCTTGCAATATACATGCATTTTGTATTTCATGTGTGTTTTGTGTGCAACAAAATATACCAACTGGAATGAAGTCATCGTACTGTATCTTCAATGCTGAATCAAACCCAAACACATGCTATCTGTTATGACTCAATGGCCCAAAACTTTTATTCTTGTAAATTCTTGATAGGATAGACCAACAATTTTAATTGTAAGGTTGACCTCAACCTCGATTATTAAATCATTACAACTAACTTTTTTTTATTATTATGCTTTTTTAAATATATATACAAATATGGTTAACATGTATCGATTCAGAATTGTAGGAAATGTTTTATTGGGGGGGGGGGAGAAAGAAAAGGTAATAATTATATTATACATTTGTTGAATTTATTTTTTTTGTGAAACAAATATTATGATTTTCAAGTTACCAAGTTTCAAGTTTAATTAATTATTAGTTAAAAAAATATTTTAAAAAGTTTATGGAAGGAATGGTGATGCTATTTTGATTAAGGGACAGATAATTGCCCAAATTTTTATAATCAACATTTAATAATTTCCAAAATTGACATAGTAATTTTTTTATCCTGAAAATTAACCTAAGGATTTTGATAGGGCATTTGTAGTACCACCATTTTTTAATTTTTTTTTTTTTTGCAAAAAGCTTTCATATACAACAATAAATAAGGCAATATATTTGTTATATTAGAACAGCAACAGTGCATCATGAATCCCCTGCTATTAGCTGGCTAAGTTTGTCAAGATGTCACAACAATTGAAAATAACAGGGATAGATAAGGAAGAACATGTGAAAAAATTGATAAACTACTAGCGGTTTTACCTGCTCTTTGTTGCTGATGTGTTGGGTTGAAGATTTGAAACTCGGGGACACACGATCGTTCCTGTCAAGACATAACAAATAAACAACCCTAATAGTCGATTTTGTGTATTTACTCTAAAATCAGTCACAGATTAATTATTCATTATTGCTGTGTTGTGAAGGAAACTCTATTTCTCGTATTCGTTTAAAAAATAAATAAATAAAATGCATATAAAAAAGAAGTCTAATGTTCCTATGTTATTTAAGGATTTTATGAAATTTACTAGAGGATTTAAGTCTTATAAAGGCAAAACTATCAATGAAGCAGAAGGAAGTTTCCTAAAGCAAAGTTGGATTTTTCAAAAAAAAAATATTGTTAAACAACTTAGCAAAACATTTTGCAAATAAAATGTTAGAAGAACATTTGCCTTATTTTTATATTTTCACATCTTTACTTATAATTATGTCTATGATTGTTTATTATCATTCTTAAACTTTCTAATCGGTATCAAATATTGATATTTTAGATGCTTTATTCTTAAGGGATTGCTTTTTTGAGCAAAAACCAGTTAACTAATATTGAACATCAACAATTTTGAAAAAAACTTAAAATGGAAATGATAAGATTGGTCAAATAGAAGTAAATAATTTTCATTTCCTTTTTGTTGCCTTTTGCTATAATACTGATCAATTTATAAACCATTATCACTTCATTGATCTGACTGATAATTTATAATTTATAGAAATACAAATTTTTCATCTGAATAATGGAATAAATAATGGAAAGAAGGAGTAATGCAGTATATGTTGTGTACATAACAATGTAAAATTTGTACATTTCAAATTCAGCAATTGGTAGAATTAAATTCACTAATTTCGTGGTCAGCTTAACCAATTAATACATTACAATTAATTAAGGTTTTTAGTTGAGATGAAAGTTAACTAAACTAACTTCCTATCTCCCAAAGGAGGGAAAACTCATAAGGTGGGGTTGAGATAGGAAGTTGATGTCCGAGTGGTTCGAGGTCACGATAGCTCAAGTAGTAGAGCAGCAGCGTATCTAGCCGAAGATCGTGGGTTCGAATCCCGCTCGTGCCATTAACTTTTTTTCATCTCAACTAAAAACTTTAATTAATTGTAATTGGTAGAATTTTATGACAACTGATGTGGTTGCTAAAACACAAATGTGAAACAAAAAATTTTATTTCACCTCATTTTTATGATCAATGAATAGGAGAATATATGTTACATAAGACAATATGTAATTAATTAGTGCTTCTCAAGTCCTATAGTGTTAATTTTTGTTGTCTTGTACCATCTTGTAGACATTAATTAAAATTTGATTAGATATTAATCCAGATAGCTCAATTTTGACAGACCCTTCCAAGTAAATATAGACAGTAGAGACATTTGGAAGAAAAGTGACCCTAAGTTTCAAGAAGGGGCCCAAATTTGGTATACAGATGGATTGAAGATCGAATAGGAGTAAGCATAGGGGTAAAAGGGGCGAACTTCACCCTGGTGAAGCCTCTTGGACCTCAACAATTTTCCAAGCTGAAGTCCATGCAATTCAACTCTGTGCACTGGAATTAATAAAGAAAAATATGAAAGGTGCACAGATATACATACTCTCAGACAGCCAAGCAGCCATAAAGGCACTAAATACGTCGTTCAACTCCAAACTTATCTTAGAATGCCTAAACTGCCTAATGACTCTGGGAAAGCAAAACAAGATTACTTTATATTCCCAGATATGAAGGCACAGAAGGAAATGAACAGGCTGACTAATTAGTCAAAAAAGGGACCCTCTCACCCATGGGACTAGAACTAAATACTTCAGAGTGTGTAGTTAAGTGTGTAACTAGAAAAATGGATTGAGAAAGAAAATAAACGCTGGACAAACACTCCAGGTAGGCAAGCTAAGATTTATAAATATCTCAAAATGGAAGGCGAAAGAACTCTCTCTAAGCAGGCAGGATTCGAGGAAAATTTAGGCCTCTTTACCTGCCATTGCCCTTTTAACTATCACCTTAAGAAGATGGCTGAGTCTTCTGCATAAACCCCCCAAAAAACCCTTAAAACCATTAAATCCAAATTTATTCTACTGTTTCAAATATTTTCTTTGTATTCTCTTAAATTTCAATTACAAATAAATTTAAAAAAAGAGATTAAAATGTCCTAATATGGATAAAATGGTTTATATAATATATGACCAACTGTATTTGCTGTCATTTATCAAATTGCAGTAAACATCAGCTAGCTTTTAAAACATGCACCACATTTTTTAAGATGTGTTTTTATTGTGATATCCTGGTAGGAACATATTTCCAAAGATCTCACCCTTAGTAAATCTTTAATTACAACGCTAGTTTGAAAAATTCAATCCTTAATCTTTTTGAACTAGAACATGACTTCTTTTATAGGCTGTTTATTTAATGTACATTATAACAGTAAAATATTAAAATTAGGAACAGAATATAGTAATTTATTCCCTAGCCAATGGAAATAATTCATTTACCTATTAAATTTAATAAAATGTAATGATTAGTTCAATTAATTATTCTTGTTATCTAAAGCCTTGGTTGAGATGAAAAAATTAGTGTCATGAGCGGAACATTAACTTTTCCAAGGCCTCAGATAAAAAGAATAATTCATTACTACTTTGACTAGCAAATTAATAGAAAAGATTGGATTATGTTGTTCAATTTGTTTTTTCCTACTCACAGTAAGTTGTTTTAACGGTCCGGATTTCGAGCCTACAGCTCATCATCAGGTTGAAGGAGCTCTACAACCATGTCTCTCGATATGAATTGCAATACAAGAAGAATACTTAATTGACATAATTAATATGGTCAATTATCCAACTTATATGGATTAATAAAATGTGTTTTTATTATTTTTTGAAAGAAGATAAATAGCTGGAGTTTCCAGGTTTTTACAAAAGGTGGTGTTAGGACTTGGGCAACAGATTCTTTGTTTGTCACCCACCAAAAAATCCTCAACTTGATCCAAAATTCTGCCCCTCTAAAAATTATTCAACTTAAAAATTACTTTACCTATAAAAACTAAAAAATAAAATATTTAAAATGCCAAAAAATTACCCCAATATGTCTGGTTGCTTGTGGGGTATGCAGCCCTAGGCCTAGGTCTACTTGTGGATACAACAGTACAAAAGGATAATAAAGGCTTTGTTTTACCAACTTCGGTGCACAGCATTTCCTCTAGCAAATGAACCAGACATCTATTGCCAATTTGATTTGACTGTTTCCATTTTTCAACAGCTTTAAAATTTAATAGTTCTACATTTCAGTTTGATTTTCAATATGTAGTTACTATATAATCATCATCCTATAGTTCATGAGTTTGTAAATATTTAGCTACCATGTGAGGACAAGGGGTCAAACCCCTTTACAATACTAATATTTCTAAATTATTCACAATCGAAATTTACGTCTGGCAAATATGATTTAGACATTCTAACCACTTGGACACATGGTACCTTTAGAGAACTCTACTACTGTACTATTTATAGTTGATAGGATTTAAACAAATATTATCGTATTTTAACACTTACTTCTTTTTTTTAAATCAATTATCTTTTAAACTTTTGAGCAATTTACTTTTCCTAGTATGTACCTACTCATAAATCTAAGCAGGATTTTGGATACCAAGATTTGTAAGTTGTTATTAGTAAAATATCTTTTGTCTAGACTGCTTGTAAATTCAACAAAAGCTCATATAAAAAAAAAGTTTATCACACCAACAATAAAATTGGTTATTGTTATCTATTGTAAGATTTCTCCTTGAGGTTTGCAGTGTGAAGACCCTGCAGCTTGGTTATTTCTGCTAATTTTGGTCTGCCTATTCTAACTGTTTTATGTTAGTATGTTACATGTGTTTTTGGTTTTTTTAATAAGTTATGTGAAATGGCTAATCAAAAATGATTGGAAACAAATAAGGTAATGCAATAACTGTCAATCACTTAAACTTTTGCATTATATGTTTTCATTAAAAATAAATTAACAATTATTAATTGTACCAAACAATTCTAAACTGTTTTCCAAATTGAAATGTATAATTAGTCGATTAATTTTGTTAATGGTTGAATAAAAATAATGGTTTGCTTTAGGAAACAATTTTGGGCTTATTGATCAATCAATCTAATTATTGAGAAAGGGTCACATCACTCTTTTAAAAATGTGGCTGACGTTCAAACATTTTTAATGGGGACAAAGTAAATGAAAGTAAATTTTAAACAAACACCTAGCGAATGAGAGTATACATTCAATTAAAGTAACTACATTAAATAGATGCCACATCAAGTTATGTAAACTAGTACGATAGGCATGCTACACGATTTTATTTTTCTGTAAATAAATTGAGAAAATGTTTAAGTAAACTATTAAGTAATAATATTAACTATTAACATGCCCACAAAATTTTCACATTTTTGCCCAAAATGTTTTTACCAACTCACTCATATGAACAGTTTTGCCTCAGAGAAAACTAAAATGAGAGTGTATTTTTAGTTTGGAATGATAATGAAAAAAAAAAAAATTAAAAAAGAGGACAGTTTAAATAACGAAAAAGACACAAAGGTTAAATGAATAAAGCAATATAATAATTGTTCTAACTGAACTATAGGAAGAAATAAGGATAGAAGGCATTATAGGATTTACCTAATAGAACGGCTGTTCTGTGAGTCTAAAGGGCCGAGACCCACTCCTGAGTCCTCAGAAGGTGTTCTCAAATCTTCAGTGTTACCCCTCCACCCATCGCAATCAAGCTGAACATATACCATACACACAAAGCCTATACTTCCAATTGTTTCATCAAGGATAAAATTAAATGGTATGGAATTTTTGTACTAAATTAAAAAGAAAAAACTAAGAAAGTTTGAGTGTGGAAAAAGTGAACGTTCACTAAGAGAAATAGTAAGTTCAGATTTTTAATTATTTATTCAAAAGTGCTCTTTCTCAACAAAGTGTGTAATTAACGAGAATCAAGATGTGAGAAGGAAAATATAGACATAAGTGAAAAAGTAAAATGCAGCATACTCATGTATTTTTCTCGTACAAACAAGAAGGAGAAATGTTAAAACTTTAACTCTGACAAAATTAATAATTAATGAAATTAAAAGTAGTAAAAGATCAAAAAAATTGTTTATACTATTTATTCTCATTTTGAGTTAGAATATTGCCTACAATGTGAATCATGAAACAGAGGTTGTAGCCCCCAATTTGTTAAAGATTACCAATGAAAAAGTCTTTGTGGAGCAAAGAGAATTTGAATTTCAGCAAATTATGAAAACAGTGTAGCAGATAAAAATGATTAATACACTTCTTTAAAAAGAATTTACTTGCATTATTGCCAAACCCATGTAAAGCTTTTGATTAGTTGTTTCAGATAAATGAGGCAAACAATATGTTCAGTTTTTACTAGTTGTATATTTGTGTTACTTAAATCTGTGAAAGTTGAAACATCAGTTTTTGTAAAAATATAATTACAGACCATAATTGATCATTAATGACCATAATTTCACGTATAGTTTGTTTCATTTGTTACACTTCTCTTGATACAAAGAAGTGTATTCTGTGTATAATTCAATGAAAATTAATTGAAAATTTTTGTTGTTTTATAACTAGTCAACATCCTTTACTCAAAGGTTGCTGATAATTTTGAAAGAAAGATTTCATGCTATACTAGGTGCAAAACTAATTTCTGCTAACAACTTTTACAGGGAAAATTTTTTAAATTTAAAATTAAACAAACTTGAAGAGCCCTTTAACAGCATTAGCATGACTTTTTCTATATCAGGGGATTGTTGTTTTAAAAATCTCAGATAGCTGAAGTCAGTTTAACCCAATAAACACGTGGCATTTTTGTACAGATTTACAAAATTTCAATTTTTTTTTTTAAATTAAAAAAACAAAAAATATTTTTTATAGTACACATTGCAAGTTTTGGGTGGCATACCTACTTTTTTTGTTCCCTTTCGTCCTTTCTTACCACCGGGCTATTGCCACAGTTATGTACTAATTCTTCCAGAATATTTAAAAATTTTAAACATGGGTATAAGTAATATTCAGACAATTAAAAATATAGAAAGAAAAACAAAATATTTTCAAAGTAAATTGTCTCAATTCACTAAACTTCTTAACAATACTGAATATTTAAAATATTTTACTCGCACAATGTTCAACTGTTTATTTTACATCAGACCAGTTGTACATTACTTACATAAACGTACATGACATTGGTAATTAAAGTTACAGCCTTTTCAAATTTTATTACATTTCATAATTTTTCTGTTAAAAATTAATTTGATCTGACAAATTAATCTGATTAAAATATTAAACGAGTCATTTTTTACAATTTTAAAAGCAATTATTTGCAAAACTTTTACTAATCTTTGTTGCATATCCATGAATAAGTTTCAATACCATCCTTGTTAAATATCATAATTTTACTTGAATTTAAAGGATTTGAAGACAACAAGCAGCTTTATAAAGTGAGATGTACTAAGTGTAATAATAATTATAAAGAGAATTTATTCATTTTATTTTACAAATCATTATCGATTTAATTATGCCATGATGTTAGCTGCTCTTATATTTACAGCTCTTATTATTTACTATTAGAACAATAAATTTTGGTAAAAACGATTTTATTCTATTGTTTAAAATATAATTACAAACAGTTTTAGATGGAAAGTAGGAAATGTAAACATAAAATATAATTTAGTTAGTAATGACCTCTGAATCATGATAACACTACCTCTATTTATTTTATTTTTGGTATAGTCTTTATGTGCAAAAAATACATTAACAAAAAAAAGGCTTTGTGATTAGAAAATATGAAATTAAATAAGTAGAAAAAATGTGCAAATTAATGTGCAAACTTAAATTATGGGACAAGAAAAATAGCATTAGCTGCAATTATTTCAAACCTGACCTTAAAATAAAAGACATGCAATTTTTTAAATTTAAGTAGTTATTAAACGTTTTGTCTACGAGTGTAAATTATGACCAAGCAGTTGTCAGCAGATATATTCAAAATATTTTTAAAGTATTAAAGCATTTAATCGAAAAACTTATATATGTCTATGCAGCAAATGCTAAGAAAAATTATTAAATCAATATGTTTATTCTTGTCACTAAATAAACAAAAAAAAATGTATAAAATTGAAAAAGAAATGTGGATTTCAATAGATTCATAGCTCTATAGTTATTTGTTGGTTGGATCACAAATTATTGAATAACAACTGATGAACAAAACACATTGTTCCCAAAATTGAACTATTTCATAATTAATTAATCGTCAAGTATAAATTCTTTGACAATGATTAGTATCGAAAATCTTATTTTTCAAAGTTTTTTCTAGACTGTACTAATGCAATTTACAAGCTTAATTCCTTACAATTAATTGAAATTCTAAATCTATTTATGTATTTAATTGCATTTAATCTAGGATATTTTGAGGCACAAATAATCAAATCCCTTTACCCTTAGTAAAGTGATTAAATGTTAAAGATTTGTACTTATTTATATTGTGTTTAAAAATAATTTTTAAGGAAGTTTTATTAAAAATTCAAGTTGTTAATTTTCTCTTTCGTTTGTTTTAACCTGTGTCTATTTACTGGAAATTGTTTAAGAAAATGATATATTTTTGGTTTTACAACTTTGTTAGTAAAATGTCTAAAAGTGCTAAAAGTCAATCATCATCTGTAAATGTGGTCCAATAATGGGACTTACTTTATCAATAAAGAAATGACAAAATCAAATGTAGTTTTGTATTAATGAAGAATGTATCTTTTTATCATTTTATTTTTAAAATAACAGTTTACAATTAACAGTAATTTGAAGGAATCAAACAAATTTTTTCCAATGACTTCAAATTCATAATCTCTTACCTTAAAATGGAGAGATGATGGGTAGGAAATAAATTGTTTTTTCCACAATAGGTATTTATTTCATTAGACGCGTTTTGGTCTAATATAGACCATCTTCAGTGACTCTTTTTTATATAAAGTGGTTTGACAATTTTTTTACATTGTTTTTACATACATTAATGGTCTATATTAGACTGAAAAGCATCTGAAGAAATAAATGGCTATTGTGGAAAAGACAATTTATTTCCTACCCATCATTTTATTATGGAGTTCCACTAAATCAGGATGGACACTATCAAAAAATTAAAATGAAGAAATTACATGTCCATGCTGAATTTTTTAAAACCCATTGAAATACATATTTTGTTTATACCGTTAAAAAAGGTAAGTAAAACCTAAAGATAAAACTCGTCATTTAAATTGGTTTTATAAGGAGTGATATTAGTTTCCGTATAATCAACAAAACCTGTCTTAAATTTGTGTTGACACTTGTAGTATGTTTATAATAATTATTATTGTTTTAATTGATCAAATTATCAGTCAAAATCAATCATCTTCTTAACTGAAGAAAACTGTTTACTAAAAAAAAAAAAAAATTACAAATTTTGTAGAGAGATGAAAATAGTTATGTGCACCATATTTTTAAATATAGGCACCAGCACATTTATTCTAAACTGAAAATTGTTTGCTAGAATGTTTAAGGTTTGATTTATATTTGTTCAGCCTTATTAAATTTATTAAAAGTCTGTGTCCCAAAGGACATTATACAACAATTAACAACAATATTAACAAACAGCCAAATACCATTTTTTTTATGTTATCAAAATATCAATTAAAGAAAATTAATTAGGGTCCATGATAAAATTAGAAAAAATTAAAATGTATTAATTAATTTTGCTAGGAGGTTTTCAATCATTGCGCCAAATATAAAAATGAACATTGTATCTACAAAAAGTATTTGAATTAAATGGACTAATGCAAATGAAGGTGTGACTTCTCAGAATTTTTCACAAACCGTACCAAAATTTATTTCAAAGAGAAAATAATATATCACTGAATAAAACTGTCGATCATCAGGATCACTACAATTCTCCAGCAAATGGGTTTTCCAAATATTTTAAAAGTTTGTTTGAATATTAGTACCCTACTTTATTGCTTGTCAGCACGTGTCAGTTAATATATATATAATTAATTTTTTTATTGTTATTTGAGAAGACCTGTTATTACATTAATGTTACCTTCAATTGCAATTTTATAATTATGCTGGAAACTGTTAAATACAATTGACATAATAATTTAAAGTTAATAGTTCAACTTTTTAGTTTTTAAATTTATAATTTATATCATCACCCATTTTCTAGATGGAACATTTTTCCATGGGTTTTCATTTTATTAACTCGCGAAATTGGCATGGGACAAATCTACCATTGTTACATTTGAGATTTAAACTGATATCAAATTTATTTTAAAAAAACAGCCAAAGTAAAATTGAACTGGTTAAAGTTTTGATAATTTTTTTACAGCATTTGAAGTCTTGTGAATAAAAACATTTCTATAAGATCTTTTCATGCATGGTCATAAATACATACATATCGAGTGAGGACATATATTATACTGTGTATTTACTGTGATGCTGTGAGATTCAAATTTTCAAAGCAAAAATCATTTTGATGGCTGTAGTGGTGAAAAGAAAACAAAAAATTGTGTATAAACATTAATTTAAAATTTTTTTCAATGTAATTCTGCAAATCAATCACAATTTCTGAAGCATGATGATAAAATTGCAGAGAAATGTAAAAATCGTTCCTGTTCTTTGTGTATCACTAATCAAATGCATTTTATAAATTTTGTAAATAGTTCAGGATGCTTATTAAAAAATGATTTGAATAAAATAATTGCAGAGGTTTTAACAAATTTTCTCCTTTCATGTACTTATGAGCAAATTCAAGCTGCGTGTTTTTTGAAAAATATTTTTTGTAAAAAAAAAAAAAAGAAACCATATAATTTGTAAGTTAAAAGTATATTTTGCTAACAATGTAACAGTGCACTTTGCTAGTTGATTCATAAACCTGCTTTATTAATAAAATGATGAAATGATGTCAACGAGGAAAACTTCAATTCACCTTTATGGTTTTTACCAAATTTTGAAACCACAATTGTTAAATGAAATTCAAAGGGTTTACAAATGTTCACTGAATACATGTTATTTAAAAATTCAAAATATGAACTAATGCACTTGTTCGCATGCTTTCACAAACGAGCAAACACATGCCACAGTGAAACTAGATTGTAATTGCTTTGCTTCAAACAACACATGCATAAAAAATATTATGAACATGCAGTATTTAAAAATAATACATTATATCTTGTAATAACTCACCGGTGTTGGCATATGGTGGAGACTTGACATTATCATATCATGAGTATTATCACAGCACGGACCACCTCTCTGTGAAAAATCATTATAGTTATAAAAATAGTCAAATCAAAAATTTATGTATTTCTTTAATATTAAATTTAAATGATAAATAAGGAACATTTGAAAAATAAATTTAAGGATAATGTAAAAAAATAGTTAAAAACTATTTATTACATTCATCTGTACATTCCTGTTTTAAAAAGTGATTCTGTTCTATCAACTAACAATAAATAAATTAAAACACAATTCTTGTTGCATATAAATGTCTATAGTATAAAAAGTCATTTGTTTCTGCCTTCCACTTCGAATAGTTGTAGATTTATTTGAAAAAACTATTTAAAACAAAATTTTGACAGAGGTCTGTCAAGGCAAAAATAGTAAAGGTTCAATTTACCAAATTTTATTTATTAATGTGATATATTTTAATCAAGTTATAAATAAATTATTTTCTAAAACTGATATTACACTTTCAGAGTGAGAGGCAAATACAATGACCATTCTGAAACTTCAAAAATATCAATCACCAGTTTCAATATAAAATTAATTTGCATACATTAGGAAGGATAGTTTAGTTACCTACCATTGATCCGATCTTTTACTGTCTACAGTAACAGCCAAATTATTATTGTGAAATTGTGGTGCAAGTGATTTGATTGTGTGCAAAGGTTTAGTTGTCTCACAAAATAAAACAAAGAATATGTTTCATATTATGAATTAAGTATATTAAAAACTCTAGTGTTAATCTAATTTAAAAAAGCAGTACTTTGCATGCAAGTTTGATTAAATATATCATGCATTTTGTTTATAAATTAAAGGTAACTTTATTTTAAAAAAAATGCGCTACTTAATAATTTTACTACGCATTGGTTTATTACTGTTCAAGTAACCAGAAAAAATAGAACATAAAGATTGTCAATTGTATTCACTACTTTCCACCTACTGGGATAAGGAAATTATATATTGTTCATAAACAAGTGGAATATTTAAACATTTATTACTCTATTCTTCAAGGGACATGTTTCTATATGTAACAATACAATGTTTATACAACTATATCTATATCACGTATTAATTTACTCCATTTCAAACACATACAAGGTCACTTTGAGTCACACTTTGTTTGTTTTCTCTTAATAGTAATAATCAAAACGAACTCCTACCCGAGATGAATATTGTTCCCTGCGGTACACAAGTTCATCGAACCTTGCTCTATCTTCCATAGCGACCAACTCTCTCAACTCTGTAAACAGCGTGTGCTGGAAATGAAAACATTGCAAAATTATTGGCATCAAGAAAAATACTTGCATAATATGTATTCATTTTTTTAAACGTTATTATTGTAGGGCATTAGACAAAAAGGAGTATCAAATGTATTAAAACTACAATTTCAAGGTTGCCAGTGTTCGCCATTACTGTAAGGTAAAGGTCATAGGTTCGAACGCATGGTTAATGGATTCAAACCCGACTTACAAACTTATAAATGAGCATTTTTTTCAAAAACACCGCCACCCCGATTTTTCAAATGTTAACTACAGAAATGGCAACAATTTTTAGATTTTTCATATCTAAATTATTTAAAAATTGTCTAATGATTTATTAGTAAATTTATTACTATAAAACTTAAGATGTAAAGTTTTCTGATTTGTCTTAATATTATAAAATATATTTATTTTTTAAATTTATTTATTTATTTATTTTTTTAATGAGGGTTTGCAACAGCAGAGGTTATATGAACCCTCAGTAGTCCCGGTGTTTTTGAAAAAAAGCTCACTTGTAAGTATGTCGGGTTCGTATGCAGGGCCGCTGGATTCGAACCCAGGACCTTTACCTTACAGTGATGAGCGCCGTGTCAACGCCTAAACCATTATGGCCACCGACATCCCCAAAATAAGGTTTAAACATATTAAATTTACAATCATCTTAAAAAAAAAAAAATAATAATTTACCTTATCAGGCGTATTAAGTAGTTCTAGTAAAACGGCAACAAAGGCTTCTATCGTCATTTGCTTAGCAGAATATTCATCTAGATAATATGTTAAGGTATTGAATTCATTTTTGTTCAGAACTACTCTAGCTTTTTCATCGACCATTTGTAATGCCGCCACACAGCACCTGGAGAATTTCGTAAATCTAAATAAAACGAGAGGGGCAGAAAAAAAATTTAATAACGTGCTACTAACAAGTCAAAATAAAATATTATCTAAGTAAGTTTCAAAGCTGAAATATTTCTTTTCTTTAAAAAACTAATCTAATTTTATTACTAATTCATTTCTGATGTTGTGGTTATTATTTAAAAAAATCTTATTTCAACTTTGATTTGGACAATTATTACTAATTTGTCAAATAAACATAATATTTACTACCAAAATAATTATCAAATTAAAAATTTAATGTTTGTCAGTATCACTGCTTTAATCAAAATAAACATACTACATTTCATTCTATCTACCAATTTCAAAGCTAATCAACAGCTCAAACAAAATTTAAAAAATTAAATTTCACTGAAAGACAAAAAATCTGACACTTGTATTTGTTTATTTTCCATATTAATAGTTGACTTAAAACTAATTATTAATTTCTTTTTTTTTAAACATGGAGGACAAGTAGGGTAGTGGTAAATAAGGGCGCTAAATATAGAAAAAGTCTGGGAACTGCTGAGTTAAATTTTAACCTATCGCTAAATAATTTTCTGATGTTTTGGTGAATTTTCCTTCAAACCATCATTAATTAAATAATTTTTATTAAAACTCGTAAATTTCTTATCTATCTTGATTTGTTTTACATTAAAATATTTATGTTGGAATTAATATAAGAATAAAAATACATACAGCTGAAAATAAACAACAAAATACTCATGTCTGTTTGTTTTTGAGTGTATTATGTCATATTAAACAAATATAATTAATCCTGAATATAAATTCAATGGCTCAATTTTATAAGGATTACATCAAAACAAGTAACACATGGAATTAATACATCAAAGAATAACTAATTTTGAAGAGTGAAACCCACAATATAAAGATGATGACGATGATGATGAGTTATCATTATAACTAATGTTGTTGGACATGTGTTTAATTCCCCTTCTTCTCTCTCTTTTTTATTTTTAATACTAAGTACTGAACCATAAGTAAAAGTTGTTATAAAATTTCAAGGAGATTAGTATTATTATAAGATAGCCATTAACCAGTGGCACTAAAAAGCTTTTTAAAGAAAAATTTTTCCCCTGATTTTCTGTATGTTTGTTATTCATTCAATTAAATTAATTGTTAAACAGTTTCCAAGTAATTAATTATTATGAGTACAATAAATCAAAAGGTTCAAGTTGGTAAGAGAGCTTGCTTTTTTTAGTTTTTTTTGTTTATGTACGTTTTGACATTTCACCACTTCTGCTCAAAAGCCTTTTTACACACTTGTAAACATGTTACATAACAACAAACATGTTTACAAGTAGAGAGCTTTTGAGCTGAAGAGGCCAGTTAAACACGATTAAAAACTCAAACAAACACAGCTGAGAGGAAAGATACAAATATCTTGTACTACTAACATTATTTAAGTTTTGTCATAGCTATCAGAATAAAAGGTATTTGTACTACCAACTGTCTGAAAATATTAAAAGTTAAAAAATAATAATAAAAATCTAAATAGAAAAATAATTTACATTTATTATGTTATTCTAATCACTAAATTCATTCGTATAACTATAACACAAATTAATTACGAATAATCTGGATCTCAGTATGGTCTTATAGTAATTGTTATCTATGACTTTTTTGATCTATTAAATAAATAAAAAAAAATTAAAAATAATCTTAAAGATGTCTACAAATTGGCATAATTAAGTTTATTAAATGGTTTCAAATTTCTTTGAATATAGATTCAGTCCAGTTGCCAAGGATGTAACACCATTGCCCAATAATGACGTCTATTTTAGACATCTTTAAAATTGTTTTGCCCTGATGATGACTTTGAAATAGCTCAAAAGCTTGGCAGATAATAGAATTTGTTTTTCTATCCAGACCTATACTTACATTCAGATTATTCGTGATCGATAAATCTAACACTTTAAATACAAAATAATGTTAGTATTTCTGACCTGTGAGGGGTGTCTGGCCAGTGCATGTCCAGGGTTGAGCAAGAGTGTGGTATCTTGCCGACATCACACACTTTCAGGATCATCCTTTTATAGCATTTAAGCTGAGACACAGCCTCATCGTGGGTCACTTCTAAGAACGATTGCCCATTTACCTCCAGGATTTGATCTCCAATCTGAAATATCGAACATTACAATTGGAAGTTTTATTTTATGTACTTGAGCTTACCAGAAGTCCAGCCCGCTCGGCCACTGAGTCTTTGTCCACCCCGGTCACAAAAATCCCTAAATTGTACTCTATCCCTCCCCGTATCATAAGTCCCAAGCTTTGCCCAGGATCGACTACTATTTCCACCTGAAAGTTCAATTTATTATTTTTTTAAAATAAATATAATTTTTTTTCGGAGGATATGGTTTAATGCTGCACTCTCATTATGTGGGTATGTCGGTGAATTTTACAAATTCACAGCACAAAAACGATTTGATGTTTTGACATGAAGCAGAGAAAATATGCAAGTGCGAAGCGCGAGCTTGGTTTGGGTCTCCCCGGAAAAAAAGTACAACTTATTTCGACTTAGCAAGGCGCTTGAATAGATTAAAAGCCCGCATGACGGATCAGTCGTGCAGGTTTAACATAGCGAAGCGCCGTGATTCCCTGATCTACAGTTGTAACGCGCATAACGAATTATTAAGTACTACAACAAGTAATAATATAATATACAAGCACAAATAATAACGAAATATGTCAGTTTAGGTCAATCTGTAAGATTAATGACCAAACACTTTTTTTTAGCAGTTGGTGGGGTAAATTAAAAAACTTGATAGTAATAAATTAGGTTTAATTGATTACCTTTCTCAGTTTATCTCTATGGTATTGCCTAAATCTAGGAGGAGGAGACACAGGTCTTCCTTTTCTGTCGACCCAAGAATACGTTTGTATGGAAGGGCCTTGCATCGGTTGGACTACAGGCGTCGGTACGTATGGAGTCGTGCTTCGGACAGTTATACTCAGCTCCCTGCAAGATTTCAGTACCTAGGACCAGCAAATATTAGTCCACCGTTCCAGGTACATTTTCTACCTTGTGCAATACTTTGAGCGCATCTTCGTGGGATATGTTGGTAAACGGTGTTCCATTGACCTGCAATATTGTGTCTCCTGGCCTCAGACCTGCTCTTTCAGCTACACTACCCTCTTCCACGCGAGATATATAAACTCCTTTTGTATCTGTAAATTTTTGACCTGTTAAAAACGATTATGTATATTGATTATTAACGGTTATTAACTAAATTGTATAATAATAAAATATATCTAAACTAAAATATTACAGTGTATAACAAACATTTACTGTAATAAGTTAAATATGATTACAAAATGCAAATAAATGAAAAGGTTAAAGATAAATTTTAAAATTTATAATCCAACAAAAAATACTATAAATGTTTATTCTTCTTTATATTATCCTTACATATCCGTAATTCAATACAAACCAAAAATTATTGTTTGGCTAAGAAAACTACTTGATTTATTAATATAAGGTAATTCTAATTACTTGAAGTTCTTGCAAGCTGTACGGCCGTCTATTTACGGAGCTACTCAAAATAATCGTTACTGGTTTGTAATTGGAATCACTAATCAATTACTAACACATTAGTGACGCGGATTCATTTACGAATCCACTAAAATATCTTTCTTCAGAGAAATCATGGAAGGAGCATCATCTTTGTCCGTTCAGTGATGATTCAAGTGATGAAGCTGTCGTATTATCGTACTATCATCACTACAGACGATTTTACTCAGAAATCTTGAGATGCGGTCTGGTGTGATGTAAGTTTCAGAAAAACATTTTTCTTTATCGTGCCAACGTTTCGATCTTTATTGAGATCAACTTCAGGGCCTGGGATTTAAAAACATTGTTTAAATTTAAAAAATACATGTAGGATGTGAAAAAAAGTGAATTTATACAATGGAAAAAAATATATTTTTTATATTCAATCAAAGTATTTCTACTCACTCAAAGTGTTTGTTTTCTGCGTAAGTGTGCCATTCTTGCGTGTCGTGTTGAGAGTGCCCAGGCCCTGAAGATGATCTCAATAAAGGTCGAAACGTTGGCACGATAAAGAAAAATGTTTTTCTGAAACCTACATTACACCAGATCCCATCTCACGATTTCTGAATAATTATCGATTAACGGTCACTAATCACCACACAGAAGATTAGATTTTACGTTCATCTGTTTTATCAACTTCATGTTGCATGTCTTTTCAGTGTCGTCTTTCTTCGAATATCCTGGAAGTTGTATAAAACAGGATGTTTTTCAACTTTCTCAGAAATAATACCTTCACCTGTTGATCGCCTAACTTAAAATCACCCGGAACTGAGCTAATTCCAGTCACTGATGCGTCAGTATTAGTTTTAAGTGTTAGATGTATCGGCCACTTTTCTACTCACGAATACGGTATGGTATTGACGAAAAAGCAAATTCAATTTGGTTTTGCCCTGATGGTGGCCTTAAAATAGTTCGAAAGGTTGGCGAAAGCAATTGAATTTGCTTTTTCATCAAGAACATACCGTACGATTCAGAGTATTCGTGAAAGCGTAAAAGCAATCAGTAGAGTTGTTTTCGTTGTCCCATTCAGTTCCATTGAAAGTGACTCATTGCGGATTGGTTAGTAACTCGAGTCACTAATCAGTTTCCTTTCAATAGCTCCGTGTGTAGACATCCTTACACTAAAAAGTAATCGCTTGTTGTGAAATCAACATGTTTACGTATATATAAATCAAATCATTTACTTTTGATTAGGCCACTCTTTTTTTTGGTTTGTTCTATGTTACACTTTAACTTGCCAGGTAAGAGATTAATAAATGGTAGTTTTTCACTTATTACGAAAATATGTAAGGAAAAATATAAACGGGCTATAAAATGTTCAATTATGCAATAAGAACAATGAAACATCCGATACCAGAATCTCTGGAACCGCCCTTGACACAAATCCCAAAGCCGTGTCCCCCGGCTTCTGGAGGGCCTCGGTTCATGTTGATAGTTCTGACATGGGGGTCCAGCAATGACTGTGGCGGTGGAGGTGGTGGTGGTGGAGGCACTTCTCGATGGACCCCACGTTCCCGCGAAGCTCCCGTCCTCCCTGACCCCAACATCCTCAGAACCTGGGGGAAAAAAGATGGTGAAACATTACGCATTTTTAAGGTGGAAGCTATCTCTCGATGGTTTCAAATTTCTTAATTAATTTTTAGTGAGCCTACACAAAAAGAACTACAAAACAAAGGCAGCTAGTTTATTGATATTTGATTTTCATATTTGAGTTCGATAGGTACTTTACAAGATAGTTTTAGCTTTTATTCAGAATTATTTGAAGAAATTATAATGAATATGAAATGTATATTAAAGTAAATTTCTGTTTTCTAACAACATTCATTAGTTGTTAAAAATGTGTTAGGGTAACAAAACTCTGTACAAAAATTATTTTCTATGCCGGTTGTTAAACTACTGTTAGAATCTTGAGATAAATTGAGCTTCAATTGAATTTATGACGTGACATATGTCTAATTTGGAGAGCTTGTTAAAACGAACCCGATCCAAAGAAAATGATCCTGCTACGAAAACTGAGACCTAATTAAGCACAATTAATATTCATTTTATGTTAACGGGACGAAAGCTCTCGTAAGAAAAACCTATGTGATCCAGACCCTAAAAGAAAAACCAACGTGATATAAAATTGTTTACTACTTAAATTTCATAATGAATGAACACTCAGCATTATCGCAATGTTTGTTGGATGTAAACTGGCAGTCTGGGCTGTTTTGGCCTTTTAATATAAATTTAAAGATTTGCTTTTTCTAATTTGTGCATATTTGTATTTTTAAAACATGATGGGATGATACGGCATTCAAATACCTTCAAATCAATTATAGATAACCTGGAATCGCTAATACCAATTTATTTTCTTTTATTGTATTTATTTTGAAGTAATATCATATTTCAGAAAGTACAGTTGAAGATGAAGCATGGTCTTAGAGTAGTGGTACAATCAAGGACGCCGCCACTTTCCTCTTTCATGTGAACAGACCATCAAACCGTTCCTCAAATACACTTTATCAGACAAATCATTAATGACATGAAATCTTCCAATTTCACCACATTTTTAACTAGTAACAAGAATAGCGAAATTCACCGGTCACACAGGCTTTCGGGATAAAACACTCCAAAGAATATTATAAATCGAAATTTGCTGTATATTTTGTTGAAGCATGCATCATGCACATATTTCACTTTTGTTAAAATTTAATAATAAAGTTTCATCACATTTTATTACGCTTTGTCAACAAACCGATATATTAACTGTGACGCCGAAAAATAAAAACATTCTTATCGAGTTTATTTATTAATCTGCATTTTTATTAGTTCGGATGTTCCCGAAAGCCCTGGTTCGCCTATTCTAGCTGGACGCGTTTTGGCATTTCGCCATCATCAGTGGTAGATTTATGCGTTATTTCATTTAGTTCCTTTTATAGAAAGGTTTTGTTCAGCCGATTTTCTTTATTTTTCTCCCAAGGAAAAAATAGTAATACTTTGGTAATCATTTATATTTATAGTGCCGTATTTACATTGAAACCTACATAATTAATTTATAAAGCTAGAGACAAAATAAGTTTTTTTGTTATTTAGTGTTACAAGTTATAAATGACGAGCATTAATTGTTCGTAGAGACGGGCAAATATTAATTGACCTAGTATTTCGCAAAATCCATATTTTATTTTGTTACAATTCTACTGGGCGAGTTTGCATATTCTATGAGCAAAATTACTTTTATTTTGACGTTTCTTAGTTAAACATTTAACATTATTAACGAGGGTTAAAAGTTGTAATTGTTGGTAAACGTTGAAGAGTTTACTGGTTTTGAAGCTGTAAATTTAAGTACAAAGATGTGATTCTTTCCATTCTCTATTTGGTAACCTTTAATAGAAAAGATAAACAAGATTTTGTGTCTACTCCAAAAAAGTGCATGTTTGAACTTTTGATTTATGAATGAAAGCGTCCTTGAAGTGGAGGCTTCGCCCTAATTTTTTCCCCGAGCCTCTATTGACCGAGCCTCTTGTTTTATTCATCGGATTTCTCCCTTTTACGCACAAAGATTTTCCTTTGGAATTACCGAGTCGAGATGGAAATCGCGACGACAATTGGTTTCCATCTCATTTTCAAATGGCAAATTTACAGGCCATGCTTGAATGGTGTTAGGCACATAGCGGAATGCCGTCGTAGTCAACTCTAACGTAGAAACAAGGAAAATGATAAAAGAAAATTTCAGATGTCGAAACTGATTTATCGCTTGTTTATTACCTAAACGTTAAGTTAAAACGTTAAAAAAGGTCAGACAATAATAAATTTTGTTGTGTGAAAATTGTGAATTTGTCCATAAATCCAGCAATTACACTGGAGCCATGCTATTTTATGACCTAGTTTAAACTGTGCGCCTTACAAATAATTTAAAATTGTAGACAGCCACAACACTACATTCGTAACATAAATGAATTGTGGTGTGTTCAAATGCAATTTATTAGCGTGAATGGAGGAACCCAATAACCCCGAGGAATATCGAGTACTCTGGGATAGAGTGAATGCTAACCAGACAATCGTCTTTTATCTTGTTTCTGTTTTTATGTGTATTACCTTCATTTCATAGATACATCGTCGTAACTTGGCTGGAGAAACGGGAAAAGACAAGGAAAGTAAAGGAAAGAAAGAGAAGGCTTTGTATGAAGGACATTCATGATGACTAATGCAGTTTGCCAGCCCTAAAATTTAAAAAAAAATTTTTGCAATAAATTTTCAAAAGAGCTTAATATTGATATGTAAATAAATATATGTGTAAAGCGTTCTTGAGAGTTTTGTTTTTACTTACATTTAACTATTTAACCCTGTAAAGGATAACATATCAATTTTAATTGGGTGTTCTAAAATTTGACTATCCGAGAAATCAGCTCACAGTTTTGTATTATTAAATTCATTAGCTTTCGTGGTCCGCTTGACCAATTAATATCTTTAAATTAATTAAGGTTTTTAGTTGAGATAAAAAAGTCAGAGCCACAAGCCTGAAAATTCAAAAGGTGGGGTTGAGATGAGAAGTTAGTGGCCGAGTGGAAGGCACGATATCTCAAGCGTATGAAGTAGAGCAGCGGCGTATCTAGCCGAAGATCGTGGGTTCGAATCCCGCGCGTGACACTGACTTTTTTATCTCAACTAAAAACCTTAATTAATTGAAAGTTTTTTATTATCCAAAATTTTCCGCGATAGTCGAGTGAGTAGTGATTGAGTGACAGATTCTCGGCTCGTCAACCAGCATGACGCGGGTTCGATTCCCACCGATGCTCCTGAACTTTTTTCAAGCACCCCTTACCCCCCAAAAGTACCCTTATGCAGCATCTTTCGGAAGTTTTCTCTGGCTAATATGGAAGATCATAAAGCCATTTAAAAAAAAATTTTTCGTGTGTCTTTTGCAATAACGAATTTGGGGCACTGTTATTTCTTCAGCCATTTTCCGAAGAGATTTAAGAAAATAATTCTTATTCTTCTTACGAGAAAAAGCTTTATCACTTAATTAATATATTATATGCTTTTAGTTGGTTCTATTAACCAAAGTAATTATTTTCATTGATTTATTATATCTTTATGCAAAATATTGAGGTTGAATTGAAAAACCAATCCCGATGTTGTGAGTTCGATTTTCTCGTGATACTAATTCTTTAATTACTTTGTATAAAAAGTAATAAATCAATTGACAATTCAACTAAAAAGTAAAATTTCTGACAGATTTGTATCAATATGTGTTTGTCAAATTGAATTTTTAATTGAATAAACTCGTTCATCATTTGTGTTTCCAACTTCTGGAAACTACCAACCGACACCGTCGCGGTCGCCATTCGATAAATCGTAGGCTTTGCCGGCGGAAATGATCATAATTTAGGTCAAGTTGTATATCTATCTGATCGAAAACGGGAAATGAATAATAAATTACCTGTTCGGGAGATATAGGTCGTTTCTTGTGCTCTACTATTGTATATGATGTCCCAGGTGGCGAATAGTAGAGTCCACTGTGCGAGCTGCTCCTCCCCACAGCATCTTCCGCTTCTGCAGGCCGGTTCACATGCCGTGTCCTAGGAAATAGAAAATTGAGTATTTATAGGATGTACAAAAAAAATGTATCATATAATTCTCTCAGGATGAACTGACAGGGACATTTAAGACATTTAAAGTACCAAATTAATAGAATTAGAGGAATACGGAACACATGTGCAGTAATTAAGAGTTATTAACTACATTTCAATTTTGACTGTTAATTTTAAACGATAATATGAGAAAAGCATGGTGGTTTTGTTATTGAATTTTAATTCAATTAATTAAGGTATTTAGTTGAGATAAAAAAAGTCAGTGTCACGAGCGGTACTGCTCAAGTGGTAGAGTAGCAGCGTATCAAGCCGAAGGTCGTGGGTTCGAATCCCGCTCGTGACACTGGCTTTTTTTATCTCGACTAAAAACCTTAATTAATTGAATGATATTAATTTTTCAAGCGGACCACGAAAAATAGTGAATTGAATTTTAAGTTTATTCTGTTCTATCATCTCAGATGAATTAGCAGACTTTCAAATTGCTTTTAGAACTTTGCCTTTCACACACAAAGCGCTTATCCAAACGGGCCGTTCAATCGTCCATAAATTTGTAATAGACATTCACAAACGTTTGCACTTTCTCTTGTACATTACCAATTTTATAACAAAGATAGACGAGCACAGATAAAGTTTATATTGTCTAAGTTAACAATCTGAAAGTCTGTGGGAACTCACAGGTAGAATAACACCATTTTACTGACGGTAGAACAAGTTTAGCAGTTTAAATTGAATGGAAATTCATTGGAGATTAAATGGTTCGCGAAATTATAGCAGATACGAGATTGCATGTGGTCATCATCGCTGATCGATGGATTCCCACCACGCCCTTTAAAACAAGTCTCCCGCAATTAGGTAAAAAGCTTGTACAAAGTCGTTTAACTTTATAGTCGCGAATTATTAGATTATCCGATGTCGTAAGCACGTTCGTGTATTCCGGGTGACGCTTTATCTCGGTGGATAAACGAGGCCAAACAGTTATTGCATATTGTATACAAAATGATACAAAAATGGGTGGATTCAGTTCGGTGAATATCTTCTAACCAACGTAACATTACGATAGAAAGGTACAATAAAAATTTAATAACCGAGTAACGATATATATAAAGAATTCACAGGGGGCGTCGGTTTAGGCGTTGACACGGCGCTCATCACTGTAAGGTAAAGGTCACGGGTTCGAAACCAGCGGCCCTGCATTCGAACCCGACATACTTACAAATGGGCTTTTTTTTTTTTAAACCGGCACCTCGAGGGTTGAGATCTGCTGTTGCGAACCCTCGTAAAAAATATAACAAATTTTAAATTTACTCACAAAATTACTCAAGTTTTGGCTGGGCACAACCGAACGAAATACTGCTCTAACAGATTTAATATCAGCAAATGAAGTATGATTGTTGACAATAATATTTCTCAAACTTTGAAAGACTTTGTCTATCAAGTCCAGTTCTAGAACCCCTCGAAGCATCTGAACCCTATGGCTAAGTTTGCCTAAACAAACAACATTAAATGAAGTACTTTTATCTTTTAAAAAATAGACTTTTTTGTCCCACTGTTTCTTAGATACAGATAATATAAAATACCCCCGTAAAAAATATAATAAAATAAAAAATAAAAGAAATCACACAATAAACTACGTAACAAATATGATCGCACAAAATTATCGCTGCCGTTTTGTTAAAATTGATGGTTAAAATTAAATTTAAAACGAATCAGTTTAAGTAAGAAATCTATCTTGGCACATACACAAATTACGTGTCATTTAAAACATTTACGTATATAGAATCTTCGTGTACAACATTATTTTATGTTATCATGGGAACACCACTTGTGGTATCATCTGCGTATCAGTTGCATGACCACGCTTCATGAAAAGTAATACAACTAAAAAAGTAACTAAATTTAAAAACTATTAAAATACAAATAAAATTGAAAGGAGTGGACCAAGGTGTCCGAGTTGTTATGGCGTCCAATTCGCATTTGCCACACTAGCGGTTCTGAGTTCGAATCCCGGCATGGCTTTTTAATTAATAATGGTATGAATAATAAATTGTAAAGTGGTTTGACCCACTCGGCCGTGTCATCGAACGGGTCGTTGAACGCCCTTCTGTACGACAGAAATAATTTTACTTTATAAAAATAAAAGCAAGACGACAAAACAGACAGGTTGCTCCTTCAGCTAGCTGAATATTTTCACCTCAACTTTATATTTTAATAAATAACACTCGGGTTTTGTAGGGTAATTTGCAAAAATTAATACTTTCCCCTTTATTCCCCCATGCAGTAAACTTTCGCCGTTGTTTTAACGAACAATGTTCTACACTTTTCAACCCTTTTCACGCTCCGATATAGGTATTAACAAAAATTTCGTGAAAATTAAAAAAAAAATGTTAAGAATACTGACATACAATAGGTGATAATATATTAGATAGAAACATAAATCTCTAATTCAGAAATGTCATATCAGTGATTATGGACACAAAAAGACTAGAAATTATTATTTAAGACGGTCTAGATTGTAATATTATTGAGTTTTACACACAAAAATAATTATTTATTATATCGAGTCTTAAATGAAACAAGTAAAACGTTCAATATCAAATTATGCCCTTACGTCAAACATTTCCGTTTTTTAACCCAACTTTGCACTTAATGATATCAAAAGAGATTGTTATTATTCTAATTGACATTCTTTTCAAACTTTAGACAAATTTGTGTGGTGATTAGTGACCGTTAGTCGATGATTATTCAGAAATCGTGAGTTGCGGTCTGGTGTGATGTAGGTTTCAGAAAGGCATTTTCTTTATCGTGCCAACGTTTCGGTCTTTATTGAGATCATCTTCAGGGCTCCAAGTGTTTGTTTTCTGCGTAATTGTCCATTCTTGCCTGTCGTGTTGAGAGTGCCCGGGCAGCCCAGAAGATGATCTCAATAAAGATCGAAACGTTGGCACGATAAAGAAAATGTCTTTCTGAAACCTACATCACACCAGACTGCATCTCACGATTTCTGAATAATTAGAGAAATTTAATTTTTAATTTTGTTTGCATCTGTCGAACGTGCATATTTTCTGTAGTAAACGTTTAAATTAAATATAAAAAGTTGCAGACCTCAACACATTGGCATCTATAATATATTCAAATCACTTAGATTCAACGACGAATCTGAATCGGCTTTAGCCAGAAGGAACAGATGGTTTTTCAACGTTTGCTGAAATGCTCTAACATGCAAAATACAAAGGTCTTTTTGAGGAGCATCGATAAATTTCATCTGTCCGCAGTAGAAACAGTTGAGGTTGTGATAAGTCTTTGGTGAAATTGCGAGGTGGTGAACCTGCCTCACTCGCTGGTTTGGACTGTAAGACGAGTTTTGGAGTTTCAATATCATCGTGTCCTGTCAAACGTAGTGGGTTTGTTGGGCTAACAAATTTCAGAAACAAGATACTAAGGGAATACGTGTAATAGCTATATGAAATTATATCAATACCATTTTGCACAGATAGCTTTAAGAACTTATTTGAATGATGGCAAAACCGTTGATCGTTTCTTTTATTTGTCATTCCATCATTCAGATGTTGTGTCAATGTGTGAGAAGAGCAAAAATTGGAGCCGGGGGGCACCTATTCCCTTGTATCGATCCTGGCCGCCTCTCCGAGGTCGTGTGTAGTTCCGTGGGGCCTACGCAGAATCAGATAATAGAATCTGAGAAGAAAGATAAGCGCGACAAGGTAAACTCGGTATCTTGTAAAGGATATAGTAGAAAAACAACTCGGATAAAACACCAATTCGAATTTTATATGTTATAACATAAATTTTCAATTGCTGATACAGATTCATGGGACGACTGTGAAAAGGAACACACGGACGTGTAATTTCGTTTGTCGCAACTTGTTTGCTGTGGAAAACGTCTGAGGATATTGATTTAGGGTTGGGCAGGATTTAAAACCACAAACATTGGATGAAAAGCGAGAAAACGAGATAGAATTTCAAGCTAAAATATTAACTGCTCACTGACATAGAAAAACGGCCAAAGGCTAATAAACATTTTAGGCCATTGTCTTGTAGACTGACGATTGAAGGTGTGAATAATTTTGTACCAGAAGATTGGCAAGTTGTGAGAAGAGGCTTTTTTGGATTGTCCTTCTAACAGGAAAAACGTATCATTTATTCGGTTGAAGATTTGTTGAGCAAGAAATACTTTTATTATCTGTATCTAACAAAGGGACAAAAAAGTATATTTTTTAAAAGAGTACTTCATTTAATGCTCTTGGTTTAGGCAAACTCAGCCATATGGTTCAGATGCTTCGAGGGGTTCTAGAGATGGACTTGATAGACAAAGTCTTTGAAAGTTTGAGAAATATTATTTTCAATAATCATACTTCATGTGCCGACATTAAATCTGTTAGAGCAGTATTTAGTTCGGTTGTGCCCAGCCAAAACTTGAGTAATTTTCTGAGTAAATTTGTTCTCCCTTCTTGCTCCCTCCTACATATCTAATCACTCAATCCTCAATGACCTTAAAATTCCAAGTGTGAAAAATGTCATAAAATGCCGGCACATAAAAGTCCAAAACTCCCTTTATTACACTCCCAATTCCTTAGTTTTAATCCTAATATCCCGATCTATCCCTGAAGGAGATTAAAGCGGAAGTGGCCTCGCGACCTGTTGGTTCTAGTGCCAAATTTTGTTTCGTTTTAAAATTTATACATTTGAACGATTTTATCTGTAGTGTAAAAAAATAGAAAAATATTTAAAAAAAGGAAGGCGAGGGGTTTGTCTTGAGCAGCGTTTTCGAAAATCGACTGAATATCCGATCAACCGAAGAGCGATTGTGCTAATGTCCCGGCTTGCGCTACGTGCGCGGCCTTTTAAACTTTAGCACGAGAATGAAATGTTAATGCACATCCCGGAGCCCTTTAACTCTGAATAAGCAATTTCAGACATTCGGTACTTCTTTTGCTATCTAAGTGTTCTTTTTTATCTAAATAAATTAAAAA